CCTTTCTAAAAATGAACAAAAAGACATTTCAAAAGAGGAGACATTGCAAATGAAACAAAAGAAAAATGTGAAAAAAAACGATAAAGATACCAAGATATTCTATTGTGATAATAAGAATATTGTGTGTGTTTACACTGGTTCAGTCAGTTTTAGATACAGACTAAAAAATGAACCACAGATAAAATGTTCCCGTAAATAAAGACGTTGCCAGATTATTTTCTTTATTTGAAAAGATAAATTTTTTCTCATCTTATCAGTTATAAAAAAAAAGTTTTTGATAACATAATTTATTCTCATTTTATTTATTTATTCTATTGTCTCTTCCTCATTTTATTAAATTTGTGTGTTAGTACCAAAAGAGCTTTAATAAAAACAAATTAACTATTACCTGTTATAACTTTTCTAAAGAAAATGATTTGACAAACACGATATCTCTTACCTCTCAAAACAACAAAAATTAAAATCATCTTGATATAAATAAATTGATTCTATGTTTAAACAGCACTACCTAAATTAGTATATGATACCAAGAAAAGACTTTATATTCAATATATTAATGATGATTTCATTTTTTTTTCACTTGAAAAAAATAGACAAAGATGACTTACTTTATTATATTTTAACCAACATTCTATATAGAAACATTAAATTATTTGCAAAGGCATCTATTAAAGCTCAATAACTGTTTATTGTTAAAATAAGGGAATTTTTACTAATTATATCAACAAATAATCTTTATAACAACATAAAATGTAACTGACGATTTCGACATGTAAAACCCTTTTTCTAAATAGGTAAACAATCAAAAATATAAGGTTTAATATGGTCATAAACCATTAAAAGCTAATAAATTATCTCGTATAAAAATCTTGATTTTGATCAATAATTCAGACTTAAAAACGATTTGAGCTAATTTTGTAGCATTTTATTCTGAATATTCTGGAATTGATAAAATGTGTTAAATTTAGCTGGTACTAATATGTTTTTTCCATATTACAATGAGACTGTATCATTATCAGTGAATAAAATGAGGAATGCTAACTTTAAGATACTTTCTTGAATGATATAATGATATTTCTGTTTTTGTAATCCAATGTTTCCTTTGGAGAATAATGTTCCTATAGTGTAAATTTAAAAAGTCACTTCAAATATTGATAAAAGTAACTACACTGTAATTAATAATTGTATTAAGAAAATTTATGTCCACTTTTTTATCTAACATTTAAAAGGAATCATTGAAGCAAAATTAAACAATAAAAATGGTGGAAAGACTAAGGAAGCTAAGTATTCGTGTGTTTTTTTAAAAAAAAACGTTCTCAACTAGATTATAAATTCTTTCACAACTTAGATACAAATTCTGCGGGAATTAAATAAACTACTGAAACTATTATTGAAAAAAACAACAACTGCTATTACAACTAGAGTTGCAAGATATTCATTATTTGATATTTCTAAAGCTAGTTCCGCAGATATCAACAACACAAAACAAAATGTAATGAAATTTTCCTTAATATAAATCAATTAATACTAAAACAGATTATCAGTATCAAAGTAACTCATTTACTCGGGAGAGTAGAAAGAATAAAGTCTATTTGGATTTATAGGTATGTATATGTGACTGATATGAATATAATTTATATTTTCTTTTCATAAATCCGGTAAAATATTATGTTGCTCAGGTTAAAATTGAGAGTATAAACATTGTCTCAATTTTTTGTTCAGAAAAAAGGATAAATAATTTATTGTTGATGTACAAGAAGTTTAAATATTGAAATGTTGACCCAGTTAATAGCAAACTGCTTCTAAAAAAACTGAAAATTTTAAAAACAAGCATAATACTCTAGTAATACCGACAACCATTGAGAAGTCAGCCAATAGTAGCTTTAAAACTAGTATAGTAATAATTTATTGTATAGAACAGCAAATAACTTAAATTACTTAAGTTTAATGTTATTGAAAAATATGAATATTCATGATAAAATTTTTTGTAGTCCCAAAAAAACAGCGATCTCTATGAAAAACCTATTGAACCATATTGATGAATCTATAATGAAGAGTAAGCTACATAGAAATTGAATGATGGATGCAAGCAATACAAACATTTTACCTCCTGGATTATAGATATGCTATTTTGACTAAATTCAACAAAAGTAGTAAAAACCATACAATTGCATGTTTGTTTGTGAAATAATTCCTAAGGATTTATTCATCTATTACCTATTATCATGTAAGCTATTGTATATATATTAATATATTTATTGTACTACAATTGAAAAAAGTTTGTTTAAATATTTCCTTTTCAATGACTTTAAAAAATTTTTACTGTTTTTAAGAACATATTGTTTTTGTTTTATATGTATTGTATTGTCCGCATAAACTAATTATTCAATAGTAAAACTTTTTTCATTACAAAAACTCCCTGTATTTTTTTTTTTTTGAACTCTAGTTAAATATTCTACATTCAACTATACAATACTAGTTAGTTATAGATGTAAGTTTTTGAATAAAACGATCACAATCTCTCTATACTTTGACTAAACAAAGCTATTGTATTTAACGATCTAGTAGATAATATTTAGGAAGAAATTAAAAGCGTTAAAAATAACAACACATACTCAGTAACAGATACACCCCTTACATACACTTCATCTACCAAATTGTATTTGCCTCAAAATTGAAAACTATTTTTAAAACAAAAAGAAGACGAAAAAAAGATGGAGAGTAATCTCACGATTTCGAAAATAATACAGGCTTACACAAGATAGCAGGAAACAAAAACATTTGTAAAAAAAATTGGTAGTTACCCTTTTCACAAATCTTTTTCCTTTATTATTTTCCCGATATAAATAAAACAATTGTTTTTACTTGCCTCATATGTTGGAAGTATACTAAAAAGGAAATTCGAAATAGGTAGACTGTGAAAAATATATATATAGAAGTTATGATTACAAAAGAGGACAGACTAAAAAAAAAAACAACAAAGGATTTGAAATTTTCAATCATAAAATTCTATTGTTCTTAAAAAATATTCCTTTCTAGGAATTATCGGATTTTGTGAAATCCCTTAGAAAGTAACAAACACATCATAGGTTTTTTTTTTAATTTTTTCTGTTTTTTTTTTCTTGAAAAAGCATGTCTTAGATGTATCTTCAAATTTTTAATATCAAGCGTCTAGGGTAAAAAAATCTGCCCTTTGTTATTTTATTAAAATTAAGTACCTTGCAGTTCAAGTTTTAATGTTTTTTTTAAAGAATATTTAACCAAAAAGATAAAAAATGATTTTATTCTTATATGATTGTGGATAGGGATTTTATTTTTGACATACTGCGTTTAGTCTGTACTTTCTTCTTCTTCATCAGTGTAGATGTAGTTCAAAAAATTGTCAAATTGTTTTCTTGTAATATATTTAAGTTAGGTTTGACTTATCTTTTAGAATAATGGAACGAAGAAATCTGAAAAAATCTTTCTAGGGTAAAAAATTGATAGTGAAAAATATTCTATTAGCCATTTCTCCACCCTATTCTTTGCTGAGTGCATAATTGTTAAAGTAAGCATTCAAGAAAAAAAATATAACACTTAAAAGTTAGCTACTGACATTATGGTTATACAAACAAAGAGGGATATATACCACTTTTTTAGATGTATTGTTATTCGTACTATTATGACCAAACATGTGACTTCTTAAGTTATTGGCTGATATTTTTTTGAAGGAAAAAAGTTAACAATTTATTTTCAATAAGATCTCGCTTCAACAAAAAAATATAATGTGGAACAATAGCAATATATATAATATTTGCAAAGGCACAAACTATTGTTCAAAATTTCCTTTCTAGATATCGGAGTGATGTGAAATTTTCCATTCTTTATTTTCCTATTTTTCGTAAAAAGAAAATTTGCCCTTCTTACAGTATACAAAAAAAAGAGACATAGTTTTAAAGACCTATCAATTATGAAATATCTGAATTATGTAAAGAAAAATTTGATTAAATAACGTATCTCAAAAATATATACAAGGACTCATAGTTTAGAATGAAACGAATAAATATTTTATATTTTAAAAAATAAGTTACGCCTTGTTGCTTGAAATAATTAATTTTTGACGTTTAATTTGATATAGCTATTTTGTGTTCCTCAATAGAATATATATTTTCGTTGAGAATCAGTACTTGTATCTATCGAGTAAAATGGACACATCCTCATTTAAAACACCACATTGACAGACAATAAATCATATTTCTTATTCATAAGATAAACAAATAATTTAAAGTAAGCAAATGAATACTAAAACATATACTATTATAGTTTTTTTTACTCTTATTCGTAATAAATATGAAGGAAGGAAGAATACACACAGGAAATTTTATCTATTATTTCTGGAAACAATGTCTAGCATACACAAGAAGATACATCTGTTAACTTCTATATTTGGTCATACTCCAATATATAAAAATGGTATTAAATGCATTTATTTTAAGAAAGAATGAGAAACAAACTCAAAATTGTTTTGCAAAACCCTACTTTGTTTTTTTCCGATAGGTAATCATTTACCAAAATTACTACTTGGTAAGTCCAACAACCCTATAAAAAAGAAAACAATAGAATGCGCAGATCTTTTACGCCATCTCAACACCAATTTGGAAAGATCAAAATATAAATGCATAATGCATACCTGCATAGGTATATCCTGAACAAAAATCTAAATTTTATCGGTTATCCATATGTATGTTTGATGGTGTCCTCCATGATTAATTATCATACGCACTTGTAAAATATACGTATATGAATATGTGTTTATATCTGCATTTGTCAATGATATATAAACTGGATCTTTTTTCTTTATTCTTTCGTTCTTCAACAGGCTTGCTATGGGTCTTGCTTTATTTTCTTATTCTCAGTTCTCCACCTCTGTACCATCTGTAAATAAAAATCAGCAGAAATCAATTTAATAAGCTTACATAAAGTTAAATAATATTAACCGTTACTAATTTGTTATCATTAAAATGCAGACGTTAATTTTGTGGTCCTTACTAGGACTACTTGTGACCAAAATAACTGCTGCTACTACAACTATTTCAGCACCTACAACTTTGTCTGGTGATCAAACGTTTTCCGATGCTATCGTAATTGAATCAGGTGCTACTCTTGCATTAGTAGCTGGTTCTTCATATTCTTTCAATGGCAATATTGACGTTAAAGGTTCTTTAGACATCATCGGTGATTCAACAAACGGGTTAACTAGTTTACAATTTGGTTCTACTACAACAATCACAAACAGTGGTAACATCAACCTCGAAAATATTAAATCAGCAGGTTCTGCCAGTGATTTTGTTATTGCGCCTGCAAGTATTGATAACTCGGGTACATTTACTGTTTCACAATTAAATGCTGCTGCTACTATACCAGGTACTAATTTTACTATAGCTCCAACCGGTTCCTTCATTAACACAGGTACTATTGATTATGATACAGCTGATAAAGGGGGTACCACAAATGGGTTCCTTTACCTTGGTGCTATAACAAATAATGGTGTTATCAAGTCTGGTGGGTTTGCTGGCTTAATAAATCAAGAATCTTATTTAGTCCCTAGTAGATATGATATGAAAGGTATCATTTTCAATAATCCTATAGAAGGTCAAGGTGAAGTTACTGGTAATCAGGGGTCTATTGTTCTTATTAACACAAATAATATTGGAGAACAAACCTTCAATATTTACAAGGGTATGTATATTATTAATCCAAAAATTGTACCAAGCTCACTTATAGTCAAGAATTCAATCGAGTCTATGATTGTATTCTTAGGTGTTGACTATTATCCATGGTATGCTAAAAATTTTAACACCTTATCAAGATATCCACAAATTAATTTTGCAATAGATGGTCACCGTTATTGGTTCAACACAAGTTGTGATGGTGGTTGGGAAACACAACACCAGCACTTTACTGTTACACCATCTGATCCTCTTTATCAAATTGGTGGTACTTTTATATACCTAACTAAATTTTATTATTTTCCTTACTGTTCAATGATATCTGAACCAATTACAAAGACAACAACTGTTACTACTGAGGGTTTTATTACTGAAGCTACTACTATTTCAACAGTAACAACATCTACAACTAACCAGTACGGATATACTGTCACTGAAATTATCTATGATGTTGCTGTACCTGCAGAATCTACTGTGTATACCACCACTACCGGTACAGTCAGTGTTCCAACCACTTCTACTTTCACCAGCATTGTAACCAACAGTAACGGCTCTTCCTCTGCTGAAGTTGTTATAGTTATCATCACTCCACATCCATCTAGTTCTGTTATCTCAACTACCACTACTAGTGCAGTCACTGCCCCAGTTCCATCTACCTCCTATACGACTACTACTGGTGATGTTTCTGCCTTAACAATATCCACATACACCACCACTGTTACTAACAGCAACGGCTCTTCCTCTGCTGAAGTTGTTGTAGTTATCATCACTCCACATCCATCCAGTTCTGTCATCTCAACTACTACTACTGGTGTAGTCACTGCCCCAGCTCCATCTACCTCCTATACGACTACTACTGGTGATGTTTCTGCCTTAACAATATCCACATACACCACCACTGTTACTAACAGCAACGGCTCTTCCTCTGCTGAAGTTGTTGTAGTTATCATCACTCCACATCCATCCAGTTCTGTCATCTCAACTACTACTACTGGTGTAGTCACTGCCCCAGCTACATCCACTTTGTTTACTACCACCACCGGTACAGTCAGTGTTCCAACCACTTCTACTTTCACCAGCATTGTAACCAACAGTAACGGCTCTTCCTCTGCTGAAGTTGTTATAGTTATCATCACTCCACATCCATCTAGTTCTGTTATCTCAACTACCACTACTAGTGCAGTCACTGCCCCAGCTCCATCTACCTCCTATACGACTACTACTGGTGATGTTTCTGCCTTAACAATATCCACATACACCACCACTGTTACTAACAGCAACGGCTCTTCCTCTGCTGAAGTTGTTGTAGTTATCATCACTCCACATCCATCCAGTTCTGTCATCTCAACTACTACTACTGGTGTAGTCACTGCCCCAGCTCCATCTACCTCCTATACGACTACTACTGGTGATGTTTCTGCCTTAACAATATCCACATACACCACCACTGTTACTAACAGCAACGGCTCTTCCTCTACCGAAGTTGTTGTTGTTGTGATCACCCCAGCTCCAGCTACCTTATTCACTACTTCTACTGGAGATGTTTCTGCTTTAACTACATCAACTTTCACCACTACGGTCACTGACAGCAAAGGTTCTTCATCTGCTGAAGTCATTGTAGTTGTAATTACACCATCTCCAGTTAGCAGCTTCAAGAGTTCATCGACTTCTGTATCTTCTATTATATATGGAAACTCCACTATTCTTGGTGAAAAGACTGAAACTTCTTTGAGTGGAACTTTGGTAGTTTTAACTACAGTAGTAAATGGAGTTACTATGACTACAACTTATTGTCCAGAACCATCCATAACCTCTGAAACAGGTATGACTGCTATCATTGGACATACTTCTATTGAATCTATTTATTCAAATAACCAACAAGAAGAGACCAACTCATTTTCTGCTATGTCCAATGCAACTCCAGTTACTTCCATTGCATCTACCACAACTGGTCCAGTGTTTACCAACGGTAAAAATCAACCAACATCTAGAAACTCTAGAGCATCTACCACTGTTATAGGTAGTAGTGAAGCCAGAAAACCAGAAAAATCGTTAACCACAATGGTGCCACAAGCTTCCCAATATATTTCTGAGCAACCATCCTCATCATCAACTGTTACTGGATTACCTCATGGAGATACAGCTTCTCTTGTATCATATGAGGGTAACGGTAGTACTATGTATATGAAGTGGAGTGTTGCCCATTTCATTGGTTTATTATTTTTTATGATTATTTAAATTGTATGCATGTAAGCAATTTTAAGATAACAAATCCTAAATAATTTACTAATTATATAATGTTATATAAGTTTATATAATACCCCAATATTGTTGCATACTGTGTATTTTTTTTATTATCTATTCGATTGTTTTTCTAATATCCTATAAACCAAAAATAGATATAATTGTACTTGATAAAACAATAATACCGTCTCTTTATTCTAAGTAATTTAAATTATTCAACAAAGTTATACAATCTAATAGTTCCTCTATAAATGTTTTAATATAATTATATTTTTGTTACGATGTTTTGATTATATTTAATCAAGAAAATCATGTTTAAGTAACTCACTATTGCATAATCTTGAAGCTATAAACAATCATGATATAACGCTCTTAAGAATCCCAAAACTTCCCTAATTAAATAACTTTATAATTGTATAACTCTAATATTGATTTAATTCAATAAATCTGGAAAAAGTACTAATAAATATTGTAAAAAAAAAAAGGACCGTAACAATGTTTCTTTACCTACAGTTGTATCCGAGGATTTAATCAGAGTAGGGATCCATAAATAAAAAAACAAAAGTCTTAAAACAGTACTGTCATCCCACTGTCACTAATTATTTATTCAGTTCTTTTCCAGTATAATGTATATTTATATGTATATATGAATAAACACATGTGTGTTAAATGTAGCAGATGCACATCTTGCACACTTATCTTCTTATTTCCTAATCAAGCAATAGATCTATAAGAAATCTTAATGTAAGATAAATAAGAGAAAATCACGTGCTCTATTGGCCGATGTATGGCTACTTTTCTTTGTTTCGGTCAAAAATTCGGCCGGTTCCATGGTTTCGTTTTTTTCTTTTTCTTTTTTTTTTTCTGTTGTTTCGTCCTAAGGAAATTTCTGCTGCTGTTGGTTGGTCCAATCAAAATCCTCTTTTGTCTGCAACGGGAAAATGTCTCACTATCTCACTTATCTCCGTGGAAATACCAAAAAAAACCCTTCTCCAAGAGGAAAATCTGCTCAGCGAATCGATGGACAAGGAAGGTGGCATTTTAGTGGAAAAACAGTTTGCTGTTATTATTGTTGTGCTTTGCTAATTTAAATCTTCTACCCCATCTTTGAGACCTTGTAATGAGTCTTGCTCCCAAAGAACATTGTGTCTCTGAAACGCTCGAGCAGCAGGCAAGATTTCTATTTGTTGTGTTCGATAGAAGGAAAACCGTAATTCTTTATAGACCTTTGGCTTAGCCTATCTTGCTGTCAAAAACTTTTAACTTAAAAAAAAAAAAAATATAAACAAAAATTTCTTACTCTTTCCCTTTCTTTGACTTACCTACGTTTCATCGACCTGTTTCCCTTATTTGATCTTTATCTTCTAGGTTTTTAATTATACATCTTTTTTTTTTTTCAGTTTTCGTCTTTGCTAAACCAGACAAGTTAGTAAAAATAAACTTTTACTTCCAGTTTATCATATATTTTAACAACAAGAAAAAAAGCAGAAGAAGCAAAATAAAATAGAATAAAATATAATAATAAAAAAAAGAACTCGAAACACTACTTATACCCACAGAATAAAATCAACACAATATGGCTGATTCTATCCCACAATATTCTGCATCCGATTATTTTAAATTTGCTTTGGCTGGTGCCATTGGTTGTGGTTCTACTCACAGTTCTCTAGTTCCTATTGATGTTGTTAAGACTAGAATCCAATTGGAACCAACCGTCTACAACAAGGGTATGGTTGCCTCCTTCAGGAAAATCATCGGGGAGGAAGGTGCTGCTGCTCTTTTAACAGGGTTTGGTCCAACCTTATTAGGTTATTCCATCCAAGGTGCATTCAAATTTGGTGGGTATGAAGTCTTCAAAAAAATGTTTATCGATATGTTAGGCTATGACACCGCATCCCAGTACAAGAACAGTGTCTATATGGGGTCTGCAGCTGTTGCTGAGTTCATCGCTGATATCGCTTTATGTCCATTGGAAGCCACTAGAATTAGATTGGTCTCTCAACCAACATTCGCCAATGGTCTAGTTGGCGGATTTTCAAGGATCCTAAAGGAGGAAGGTATTGGTTCTTTCTACAGTGGGTTCACTCCAATTCTTTTCAAACAAATCCCATATAATATTGCCAAATTCTTAGTCTTTGAAAGAGCCTCCGAACTTTACTATGGTATGATCGGTAAGAAGAAATCTGATCTATCTCACAGTGTTGTCACCGGTATCAACTTGTTATCTGGTTTAACTGCTGGTTTTGCTGCTGCTATTGTGTCCCAACCTGCTGATACTCTATTATCTAAAGTTAACAAGACTAAGAAAGCTCCAGGTCAAAGTACTGTCGGTTTGTTGGCTCAGTTAGCTAAACAATTGGGTTTTGTTGGTTCCTTCACCGGTCTACCAACACGTTTAGTCATGGTTGGTACTCTGACCTCTTTACAGTTCGGTATCTACGGTAGTTTAAAGAAGACTCTTGGTTGCGGTCCAACTATTGAAATTGGTGGTGGATCCGGTCATTAAAGAAAACAAATATAAAATATATTTAATATGAATAAAACAGAAAGACTTGATGAGTTAATGTTAATATCTGACTTGTCCGTATGCCTTCTTTCTATCCATGTCATGCTAATAATTCCCTGTCTCTATTTATCTGTTTATATATATATATATATACATGTATATATTCTTTTTACCTCCCCCCTGTGCTTTAGTTATTCTTTTCGTATTCTTTTGATTATATATTTGTTTTCACTCCTCTGTTATATTAGTAAAAGTAGATTTACATCTATCTATACATTGAGTATCATATAATATATGGTTGTGCATACTCATAGAGGAGTCAAATATGTGAAAATAAAACATTTAATTATTATTTATTTGCAAAAAAGTATATATATATATATGTGTGTGTGTAAGTATGACTTTAGTTTATCTTTATGCATCTTTTACATCGCCAACCTTTGATACAATCTTCCAAAATTTGGCATTATCATGAGTAGTGAAATACAGTATTTTATGTGGATCATCATTTGTGATAGTGTTTGGAGCATTGAATGTGAATTCCGGGAAAATTAACACGTCACTTAAAACCTTTGGTGTTTTTAAATTATGGAACTCTTTCCATGTCACTTTCCGTGCAATCCCACTCCTCAAGTAATCGTTAAAATAAGTGAAAAGTATGTCGGTCCAGACACCCGACCCAGTCCAGGACATTATATTCAAGTCGTTTCTGAAATTTAGATTCAGTTCATTATCTCTTTTACGCTTCAATGTTGTCTCTGTGATCTGTGCCACAATTTCTCTAATGGCAGGATGTCCAGGTTTAGCTTGGATGATCCAAGTACCAAACTGTAGCCTTCTCACATAATCATTCTTCCAGGAATTGTCTTGTGCATCGTGTTCAATCCCAATAATAAGACCGATCTTGCGTGGATCAACATCACCTGGAATCCAATTGGGGATGGGTTGCAATGGAACAGTATCCATATCTGCATATAGACCACCACGTGCCAATAGAATCAGGTATTTAAAGAAATCGATTTTCAGAATCTTTGTTGGTAGTGCGTTGTAAGCCTCAATGACTTCTGGGACAGATGCATAGTAATGACGGACCATTGCATATATGATGTCTTCATTAAAGATTTCATGAACGAAGCCAGGGTTCTTTTCATCCCAGTTGGCCTTGTTGGAGGCCAGTTCTTCACTTATACCTTGGTTATTGCTGTTATTATTACTGTCGGAATCAGAATCTGCAAGATCATCTTGAACAGTTCTCCTATTAATTACAGGTTTATCGTAGGTCTGCCAGATGAATGCAGGAAACTTTCTTAAGCTGTCGTATTCAAAGGAATACACCAGTTTTTCACGTAAAGTGGCATCACTTGGTAATTTTTTCAGTTCTTTGATTTTCTTTTCTAGGATACGACGTTGCCTTTCGAATTGTTTGGTTTGGTCCTCCTGTTTTGTCTTAAGCAGTTCGGATAGTTCTTCGAATCTTCTTATGATGTCTTCGTCACTTTGTTGGTTTGAATATGCGTTGTTTATGCTTTGGCTGATCTCCTTTGGCAAGTTTTGTAGTAGAGCCTGTAAATCGCTACCTTTTGAATTATTAAACAGTTTCCAAAATAGGAGGATACCTATAGCCACAGTGGTAAGAATCCAAAGGGCTCTTTTTCTTTTGTTCCAAGTCTTTCTTGATTTAGACATAGTTTCTTTGAAAACCGTTAAGAAGAAAGGGAATAATAATAATAAAAAACAAAAATAAAAAATAAAAAAAAGATAAACAAACGGATAACTAATTGATTGATGTGCTTGTTCTTATGTAGGAAATATCCAAACCTCTATATACCCCCACATGTACATTTTAACAACTTGCTACCTATATTCCTATCATTTTCAGTTTTCAATAGCACACAGCGTAATGTTTTCTTTTTATTTTTTTTTTTTCTTTTGGATATCTGCAAAAATTTTCCCAATTTCTCGAGAAGTTTCAAAACAAAAAACAAATAGAAAAACAATATATAAACAAATAAATAGTTGACATTAGAGAGTCTACATAAACTCATACAGATACAAATATATATGGAAAAGAGAAAGAGAGAGAGGGTATGCATATATATATATGTGTGTGTGTGTACGGTATATGATTAAACGAATAATGATTTATCTCTTACATTAAACTTCACCACTATCTCTTGTAATAGTTGATATGCTACATAGACACGAGCAGGTATGGAGAATTTCGAATCTTGAGGGTCCGTTATGGTTAAAGTTTCATCGGCAAACCGTTTGGAATCTAATGGGACGTTAACAGTGATCAAAACGTCTGTATCGACGTCCTTGAGCCTTAATAGCCCGACACAAGAGAGCAGGACTCGTGGTGGTTCATTGACTTTCCCCCACTTGGCAACAGATTCCAGTAAGATACAAGTCTGTGGGACGATGCCTGCAGCAGTCGAAGACAAGACGCTGTGGGCTTCGTTGTCGTATTTGAGCATCTTCCAGTCGCTAGACCCGTTCAAGTCGCTGATCTCTTTCAAATGGAAGTCCAGTGCCATTCTATCGTCCACTACCTCGACCCTTTGCAACAGATCAAAGATTATACTTTCGTTGTAGCCCAAGCCATCGTTAGACACAGGGGCTGATGGATCACGACTGTTCACGTATACTTCTTGTGTGTCAGGTACCTCACGTAGCAGAGAGACATCTAGGAAGCCATCAGGTAGTACTGTAGTAATGGCACCCCCATACAATTCAACAGTATTCAAAGTCATCAATATTATATTATATTATATTATATTATATTATAGTATAGTATAGGATAGGATAGGATATATGCGCAAATATATATATATATGGTTTTTTTTCACCCCCCCTTTTTCTTCTTTCTTTTTTTCTTGGTGTTTGTCTAAGCAGTAAAGAGAAACAGTTTTACTTCAGAGAAGACGTTTATTCAAACCATCAACATGAACCATGGCACCAACATGAACCGTCTCATCACAGATTGTCACCATTAAAGGCATTTTGCGTTTTGCATCTGTCGCTTCTTTTCGTTTTTTTGTTTTGTGGTGGCAGCAAAAAGCGGCGATGCGGCAATGTTAGCTGTGTTTTTCTATGCGGTGCGTGGGTCTTGGGCACACATAATTGTGTATCTCTCTCTCACTCTCTACATATATATAAGGATAAGTGTAAGTGCAAGTATAAACGTGTATATATATATGTATGTATATATCTGTATGTGTGTGAGCCTGCGTGAAAGGAAAATACAGTTACTGCACTTCTTGCTCGTCATTCAACCAAGAGCCATACAATAAAATAATCGATTCAGAATTTCCACCCCATGGATACACAATTGTTACCTTCAGAACCAAAACTATCTATCTTAGAACACTTGGAAGCATTCTCTTCCACTGTAAACTTTGAGGACAAATACTTCCAATACTGTACCTTTTTCGTCGTATTTAACCCTGTGTTTTGGAATATTGTAGCCAGAACAGAATATAACTACCGTTTACTGACCAGATTGACCAAGTCCCCTAAAACCGGCTGCTACCTACTAGCCCTTATCATCTTCTCGCTCGGTTTACTCCGTGACTATATGTTCAATCAAGCCTTAAGACAACAGCTGCCTCTCACTCTTTTACAAAATGACACAGTGAAGTGCCTGGCTGTCCTGTGTTTTGCCATGGGCCAGTTACTAGTGATCACGTCCATGTATCGGTTGGGAATCATCGGCACTTATCTAGGCGACTATTTCGGGATCCTCATGAAGGAAAGAGTCACTGGTTTCCCCTTCAACATCTCCAATAACCCAATGTACCAAGGCTCTACTCTAAGTTTCTTAGGCACCGCCTTGTACTACGGGAAACCTGCAGGCCTGGTGATCACTTTGTTTGTTTACATAATGTATAAGGTCGCCTTACGGTTCGAGGAACCATTTACTGCCATGATCTATGCCAAAAAAAAATTCTGAACAAAGAGATAAAGTTGAAACAAAAAAAAAAAAAAAAAAAAAGAAAAATTGAAATGAACTTATATATATACATGTATGTATGACCTATTTATTTATTTATTTAGTTACTTACTTACTTACTTCGAATTCGATATCACGCATAATCACACCTTCTAGCCCCTTGCCTAAATTGCCTAGCAAATCCACACTCTCATTCAGTGAGTCGATGTTTGTCTCGTAATCATTGTCTAACCGTGCTGTTTTGCCATTGAATTTATATATACCTGAACTTCCAGCAAATATAGTTTTCCCATCATCTTCTATCCCACATCTGTTACATAGCAACAACACACTATTTCGGCCCTCAAATTTCCAGCTTTTCTCCTTGGACATGCCCATATATGATCTTTCGCGACCAACCAGACTTTCATTCAGCTGGATAAACTGTCTATACCACAAACTTTTGCGGATATTTAGATTTAGGAATGGTAGGAACCTTAGGATCCAATAATTTACATTTTCCATATCCGGTGTCTCCAACTGGTCATACTGAGAATCAGACAAGAGTGGGTCCTCTCTGGATATCCTCCTCTGTGTGCAGAGCTCCTTGTTTATATCAATCTGGAATACACCTTGTGACCCATGTATAGGTAATTGCAAAGTATCCAGTGACCTTCGTATACTTTCCAATTTCCGATTGATCGTATCTAAGTCATGGTCATGTTTCGTGATCGATTTGGAATGTAGCCATGCCATGGGGCATATCATCAAATCTACGTTATTATCGAGACAGAAACTAGAAAACTCAAAATCGTTGAACGGTGCCTCGAATTTATAAGGGTTCAAATCCATACAGATCCCAATAGACGTATCCAATTCAATATCAGCAGCAGCAGCAACGGTTCCATTTTTCTCTATTGCACATTTTTCAAAAACCATAGTGAATTTCTGGAAGGACTGAGGATTCTCTTGACAACCCCATTCGTATTCGGTATCATAGAGAAAAGACTTTCTGTAATTGAAAGTGAGATCCCCACTGGGATCAGTGACTAAAGCACTATTGTAGAGGACAGACTCAACTTGTCTACCGTGCTTGTTCGCATCCATCGACTCCTCAGGGTATCCTATCACTGTGTAGCACCGAAACAATTTAGAGACACTCTGTGCAAATTTGAAGGATTGACTGTTGCGTGTGATCGAGACATGGGGTTTGATTTGTTCTTTGGAGTGGAAGGAGTAGCCAGTGAGTGCAAATTCAGGAAAGACTACCAGTTGCGGGTACTTCGATGAGTCTTGATCCAAAATCGATTTGAGTCTATGGACCAGGTTCCATGTTCTTTCGATGTTCTGTTCCAATTGACCTACTTGTGGATTCAATTGAAATAATGCTACTCTCAAATCAACCAAATATTTTGACATTGATATATTATTGAACTACCTTCTATAACACATACACATACACACATATATATCTTATTACTCTTTCTCTTTCTCTTTCTCTTTCTCTTTCTCTTTCTCTCTCTCTCTCTCTTATCCATAGTAAACGAAATTATCAATATATATTTTTTTTGTTCAACAACAAAAGAGAAAAAAAATAAAAAATAAAAAATAAAATAAAACAAGAAAAGAACAATTTATAAGGGAATTTGTGTGTGTTTATATATATATATGACACCGGCATCACGAACAGACATAAAGAAGCAGCTGAAGAAATAATTAAAGAAACAGAGAAACGGTACGAACGTGAAGTTGAGGATGAAAGTGTTTGACGGTGGATACGATAGAAGAAGCACGGATCTTAATGGTGTTGACTACAAACCCGTGAGGATTCTTGTAGACGTTGGTCGTGAGTCAGATGCCAATGGTGGCGAGGATGGATTGAGAATAGACACTCTGCCATGCATCAAATTTGGCAATACACAACAAGATGGAAACACTGCCACTTCTTTAACCAAAAGTGACATGTCTCCCAAGAACATGAAAGGAACTGAACAAACAACAGGCAAAGAAGATGAGTATGTGTCTGTCAATAGTAATCTTCCAATCACTGAACTGCACGATCCAAAGAACCAGTTGAGTTCCTTGATTAAGAATGCAAAAGAGAATAGGGACTCCCTCAAGCAGAGAAACAGACGAATCAATCAAGCCCAACAATGGTCTAAGAGACAATATGGATGGTAAAAAGAAAAGCCATCAACATGTCGACTTCATTTCTTTTTATAATATGATGTTGTCATCTCTTCACAGGAACACGTGACCAGCTCATCGAAGCAAAAAAGAAAAAAAGGAAAAAAAATTTTTTTTTATCTTTAACTTTTCAATCTGCAGGTTGATGGTTTTTGTTATGTTAACGTTTACTATGTGGTTGTGGCTGCTGCTGCTATTGGTGCTGCTGGCTGTGTATATGTATGTGTGTGACGGTGCATCTCTGTGTTGTAATTATGATTGCAGGCTGTGCTAACATTTAGATGATTTTAAGGGCATTAGGAAACAAATAAGAAAGACAGATCTTCACACATACACATACAAACATACACACACACATACACAACCAGTGTTTGTGAAAACGTTTAGATTTCCCATCTTTTTCTGTTCCATCAACATAAACAAGAACATTCAGTATAAATTTATTGTAATAAACACATAAACATATACATATACATATACATATACACATAGACAAGATAAAAGAAAAATAAAGTAAAAAAAATAATTTAAAAAGATATGTCAGTTGTTGGTTCTCTTATATTTTGTTTAGATTGTGGTAACCTATTAGACAACCCAAACACAGTCCAAGGAGACCTAGTGGAGTGTAGTCAATGTCAAGCCACATATCCAAAGAAGAACTTCACCAATCTGGAAGTCGTGACAACAACCGCAGACGACGCTTTCCCAAGTGCATTGAGATCCAAGAAATCAGTAGTCAAGACCTCACTAAGGAAAGATGAGTTGAAAGAAGGAGCCATCATTAAAGAAAAGTGTCCTAAGTGTGGTAACGATGAAATGCATTACCATACTCTACAACTAAGATCTGCTGATGAAGGTGCTACTGTTTTTTATACTTGTACCAAATGTTCCTACAAATTCAGAACCAATAACTAAACCCCTTTCTCTCTTTCTCTCTCTCTATCTCGCAATATATATATTTATATATACTTATTCTGTATACTATCTACATATGTCAATTGCTATAGTACATTATTAATGCATTCATTACAAACACCAACTCTTCTCTTCTCTACTCATTCAACACCAGGCAATGGATCTTTGACAGTTTCAATCGATTCGGTTGCGCCGTTCAGAGTGATGGAAAAATTATCATTGTCATTATTACCATTATTATTATCGACAAACTAACCCAAAGATAAAAAAAAAAAAAAAAAAAGAAATAAATATATACTAATGTGCAATCTTATAACTGTGGAAAAGGCTACACGTCCCTCTTAGGAATATCTATTTGACGAACCTATTTTATAATCTAAAGGGCTGCGAGAGTATATATATACGTGCAAGTGGGGCTTTTAACTATTACATCTGTGAAACAGTCTCTCTTTTTTTTAGTCCTTTTTTTTATTATTATTACTATTATTATTATTCTCGTTTTTAAGATGACTACTTCCTCAGCTCAAATGGAAATGCCAGATTTATCTAATGCCATTGTAGCACAAGATGAAATGGGCAGGCCTTTCATTATTGTTAAAGACCAAGGTAACAAGAAAAGACAACACGGGATAGAAGCCAAGAAGTCTCATATCCTCGCTGCTAGATCCATTGCCTCTATCATCAAAACCTCCCTGGGACCTCGTGGGCTGGACAAGATTTTGATCTCTCCCGATGGTGATATCACAATCACCAACGACGGTGCCACAATCCTTTCTCAGATCCAACTGGACAACGAAATCGCTAAATTATTGGTCCAGTTGTCAAAGGCTCAAGATGACGAAATCGGTGACGGTACCACCGGTGTAGTGGTTCTGGCCAGTGCTCTGTTGGACCAATCTTTAGAACTGATCGAAAAGGGGATTCATCCAATCAAGATAGCCAACGGGTTTGACGAGGCATCGAAATTGGCTGTCCAAAAGTTGGAAGCCACCGCCGATGCCATCGTCACTGATAGTCAGTTGGACGACCTCCTATTTAAAGCTGCAAGAACTTCCTTAGGGTCCAAAATTGTGTCTAAAGAACACGACAAGTTCGCTCAAATGGCCGTGAATGCAATCAAATCTGTCATGGATAAGGAAAGAAAGGATGTGGATTTCGATTTGATTCGTTTGCAAGGTAGAGTCGGTGGCTCTTTAAAGGATTCCATGTTGATCAATGGTGTTATCTTAGATAAAGACTTCTCTCATCCACAGATGCCAAAATGTTTGGATGCACAACAACTCGGCAAAGAAGACATTAAGTTGGCCATCCTCACATGTCCTTTCGAACCACCAAAACCAAAGACTAAACATAAGCTAGATATCTCCACAGTCGAGGAATATGAAAAATTACAAAACTATGAACAAGAAAAATTTAAAGAAATGATTCAGTATGTCAAGGACTCAGGGGCAGATGTAGTCATTTGTCAATGGGGGTTTGATGATGAAGCTAACCATCTACTTTTACAAAATGAGTTGCCCGCTGTTAGATGGGTGGGTGGCCAAGAACTGGAACAAATAGCTATTGCCACTAACGGCCGCATTGTTCCAAGATTCCAGGATCTATCAGCTAATAAATTAGGTAGATGTTCCAAGATATACGAAATGGAGTTTGGGACCACTAAGGACCGCATGCTAGTCATCGAACAACCAGACACAAAACACACAAAGACTGTGACATGCTTCATTCGTGGTTCAAATAAAATGATTGTGGATGAGGCCCAACGTGCGTTACACGATTCATTATGTGTGGTACGTAATCTAGTTAAAGATTCTCGTATTGTTTATGGTGGTGGTGCTGCTGAAGTAGCTATGTCACTTGCCGTCTCCGAAGAGGCAGATAAGCAGTCAGGCATTGACCAATATGCATTCCGTGCCTTTGCACAAGCTTTAGATACTATACCAATGACCTTAGCTGAAAATTCAGGGCTTGATCCAATTGAGACTTTATCCTTATTAAAGAGTAAGCAAATAAAAGAAAATGCAGCTAATATTGGTGTGGATTGTCTTGGGAAAGGTACTAATGACATGAAGGAACTATTTGTTGTCGATCCATTGATTGGTAAGAAACAACAAATTCTTTTAGCTACTCAACTTTGTAGAATGATTTTAAAGATCGATGATGTTATTATCAGTGGTAAGGATGAATATTAAAAAGATCAAATAAAAAATCTATACATATTTTTCCTTCCACACTCCTTGCTCTCTCCCACTTTCGCCTTCTCTTTCTCTTTCTGTCTTTATATATATATATATATATGTGTGTGTGTGTGTGCATTATTATATGATAAACTGTGTAAATTATAAGAAATCAAGAAAAAAAAAATTAAAAAAACATTCTGTAGTGAGTTATATTTTAAAATAAATTCATTAAAAATCGTTGATATACATACCTGTGTTATTTATTTACTTATTTATTTATTTATTCATATTCCTATGTCTATTCTTGTTTATATACCGTTTTAAAAGACTATTTATACCATGTTAAATAAACTAAAGTTTCTAACAATTTCAGGACCATATTCTTCATAATCTTGCTTTGTATGACAATAGCCTCTAAATTCCGCGGTTTGTGCGAGTAACGAACCACCAAACCAGACTGCATTTCTTTGTTTTCTATGTGAAATAACTGAAACATCAACCCCTGTAGATTTAGTACCAGTCAATCTTTCATTTTGTGCAATTCTATTATTTACTATAGATTTTAAATCTCTTTGTAAACGACGACCAAAATCTTTGAACATCGTAGAACCACCCGATAGTACGATGTTGTTGTATAAACCTTTACGTACATCGATTGGGCATGCTTGAATAGTTTGATCCACTAAGGTTGGTAATGGAGTCAAGAAATCGGAGGATGCAATCTCAGGATTGAAGAAAATTTCTGGTGCCAAAAATCTTTCGTAACCAATATCGATTATTTTTTTGGAGGTTCTCTCTTTGTTTTCTACTACAAATTGTGCAAATTTTTCTGGATTTCTATCAAATTTATTGAATTCTTTAACAATATCTGGACACACGTAACAATATTCTTGCTTAATACGCTCTGCGGTCTTCAATGAGGTGTCTTGCTCACCACGTTCCCTCAAAAGTGACTGAATAAATAAGGTGATATCCCTACCTGCAATTGGGATATTTTTAATAGCTGAACCAATAACATACCCTTCAGCTACAGGAATGACGTGGGTGACACCATCCCCAGAATCAATGACAGTACCTGTTAATGATCTGTCAATAACTTTTGAAGAAGTCCAAGATGCAGCAAGAGCCAAGACAGCTTGTACTGCAATATAGAGACCTGCACAGTTGAATGATTCAAAGAAAATTTCTGCCACTTGTTCTCTATTCTCAGGTGGATTCAAAGGTGGCTCAGTTAAAAGGAAATAGTGATCTTCTGGTTCTACTCTCAAATATTTAAAGATAGAATTTTCCCAAAATCTCTCCATATGGTCCCAGTTCTCAATTTGTCCATGTTTAATAGGGTAAGATAAAGAGTAAGATGGACCTTGGGAGGCGATCAATGCTTCGTTCCCGATATAAAAATCCAAATCTTCCGTGCCTCTTTTCCCAGCCAGATTATTTGATAGTAAGACATTTGAACTCAAGTTATCAAATGCAGTAGCAGAAGTAGATTTAGCATAATATGAGTTTTTATTAGTACCAGTACCAGTACTAGTAGCACCAGTAGCAGTAGTTGAAGAAGAGTAGTTAGTGTTGGACATATTCATGGATGTGTCCAGCTTCTTAGAAGAAGATGTAGATTGGGATCCCTGTGAGGTGGCAATAGCCGTAGGAAAGATCCAGGATGGAGAATCATTACCAGCAAAACCCAACTTGGTTAGCCCAGTACCGTTATCCATCACAATAGCAGGATTATTTAGATACGACATTTGCAGTGATAAAATACCAAACTTATAATATAAATAGCAGAATCAAAGGAATAAATATATGTATGTATGTATGTATGTATACGTGTGTATGTGTGTGTGATACTAATTTAAGGAGCAGAGAGTCCCACCTTATTGTTTTGTTTTTTGTCTTAGAAGAGGAAAACTAAATACACTAAACCAAAATAAAGAAGGAAAAACGGATCAATTGAAATATGGTTAGGAAAATATCATTAATCAATTATTTAATGGTACTCTCATCTCAGCTTTCTCAACTTCAAAACTCCAAAAGCATCCTGTCGCACTATCGATCCAACTTCTCGCAAGTTTATTTCAAAAGAGCTTCTCCCTCATTTCCTTCAAACGAAATTTTTCAACTTACCAATTGCGGCTCGAAGAGGGTAACCACCGGAGTCTTCCGGGAACACACATTCAAAAAGCAAAAAGAATCCAATCTTGATAAGAAAGAGAGAGTAGTGAAAGAAGAGGAAGAGAGAAGAAAAGCCAGTCTTCTACTGTAGTAGATCAGCCATCTGATAAGGAAAATAATTAAACTGACAGTCAAACAAGCAGCCATATGCATATATGTGTGTTCTGAGGTTTGTCAGATAGATAAATAAGTAGAGAAAAAGAGGGACAGAGAGAGAATACATTATATTGCAAGAATTGAATATCTATTTACATGTTAACTTTTAGTGGTAGATCAACACCTTTCAATAATCTGCATAGCTCACAGACATCCAGCAATATCTTGTCCACTGGGTTTTATTCCAGAGAATTGTCCACAGATTTGACTGAGTCAATAGATGATTTATTTAGACAAAATGCTTCTAAACTGTTGAATTACGAGTATACGAATAACAGAACCAAGAATAATGGTCATTACCATCAATATAGTGAATATGGCCACTCAATTAACATGTTTGATGACAACGACGATAGCAATATTATAGCCCAGATGGAATTTGATTTAATGTCTCAGCCGTCGCTGATTATGGGCGATAAATCCTCTGTTTTAATCACTTTAGACAACATTATTGAGGCTATTAAAATTAAGGGATTTGAAGGACAACGGCATTTGGTCAAGTATCTGGAGAGTTTCCTAGGTCTGTTGGCCAGAGAATCTAATATCGAAGAGCTACATTATTATCAAAAATATATTAACACAAAAGTTATTCAGTTGGTCCGAGACACCAGCCATAGTAAAAATAATAGTAAAAAAATTATAAATGCAAAAATTGGCGGTATTATTGCCATACAATGTTTAATAAGATTCTATTCAAAGAGTGAAGATATACCGAACTATATCCATAAGCTAGTGGAAGCACTCTGGGGACTCCTTTCATCTCCTAATATTGAAGTCGTTAAGTTGGTTACTCAGACTCTTGGTAGTCTCTCTAAATCTGATGGTCCACTAATATCAGATTATGTGGAGGATGAAATTAAGCTTGGTCTAGACTGGTTGATTTCATCTTCTGAGAAGAAACCTATCTCCAAACATGATAACAGAAAACATACTGCTATTTTAATTTTATCTACAATTGCAGCAAATTCTCCATATTCAATTTTCCCACATATTAATCTCATATTGGACAATATATGGAAAACTTTGAAGGACCCAAACAAAGATTTAAGGATAGATTCTGCAATCACTCTAAAACAATGTCTTTTGATCATACAAAGGAGAGATAAGACACTTTTCAATCAGCAGGTAGCATCCTTTCTTGGAGCGTGTTCAAATGAAATTAATTCCAATAACATAGATATAATACATTCCTGTCTTTTGGTGTATAAAGTTTTAATATCGCTAAACGAACACGAGATTTTAGATAAAACTTTTGATGAGATCTTTTCACTTTCATGGAACTTTAAGGATAATAAAATAGATTATATTAGACTTGAGAGTTATCAGTTATTTACATTATTATCTTCTTTTAATTCAGATCGGTTTACTAAAAACTATCTTAATCAAATAATGATGATGTATCTAAATAAATTACAAATGATTAATAAATCTACTTCCTATATCGATAAGATTGACCATCCAATTTTAATAAGATCTGTAGGTGATATTGCATTTCATTTAAGAAAAGAAATAGATCCATATTTACCATCTATTATAGAAATTTTAAATCATGATTTAAACATGAAATATAAAAGTAGAATATTATTTGAAAAGGAAATTTTTTACTGTATTGCCAGATTAGTAGAGGGAACTCAGTCAGAAATGATGCTTTTTCTACAGAATTGTTTGCTTGCATCAATGCTTAAATGTCCTCTAACCGACTATATGCAATTCACATTACAAATTATAACAAGTAAAATACCTGATTTAGAAACTGCAATTAGTGATAAATTATTGAGTCTAATATCGTTAACTTTATCTGGTAGTTCATTTACATTGCTAGGTTCCCCAGGAGAAAGACAGCCATTTACTATGCAAAGAGCAAGAGAATGGAGGAATGAAAATGAATTTCGTCAAAAAAATATTACAAATAATGACGAAAATGATAAAAAAATGATTATACAGGCGTTAAGGATGTTATTAACATTAGATTACAAATACCAAATGACAGATTTTGTCAGAGAAACAACAATCAGCTACATAGAACATGAAAATACACAGATAAGAAAATTGGCAGCTGTCACATCCTGTCATTTACTTATTAAAGATAATATTGGAAGGCATACCTCATTGAACTCTTTAAATATAGTATCTGAAGTGTTATCTAAGTTATTGACCGTTGCAATTACTGACATAAATCCTGAGGTTCGTTTAAAAATATTGGAAAATTTAAACCATACTTTTGATCCACATTTGTCTCAACCAGAAAATTCGAAGTTATTATTTATGCTTTTAGAAGATGAAGTGTTCATTATTCGAGTAACTGCATTAAAAGTTATCGGTAGACTTACTACTGTTAATCCTGCATATATTGTCCCAGTTTTAAGAAAAACTCTCTTAGAATTATTAACAGAATTAAAATATTTAAAATTACCTAACCAAAATGAAGAATGCCTTACAATGTTATGTACTCTAATAAGTTCTACTAGGGAGATAACGAAACCCTACATTGAACCAATTTTAGATATATTATTAGAAAAATTACATGACTCGTCTTCTTCAGTGATTTCAAGTGCGCTGAGAGTTATCGGTGAACTTTCTGTCGTAGGTGGAGAGGATATGAACAATTATTTGGATAAATTAATGCCTCCTATTATAAAAGCCTTTAAAGATCAGTCGAATACGTATAAAAGAAGCGCTGCATTACGTACTCTTCGTCAGTTATCCTCTGCATCTGGTTATGTGATAAATCCTCTTTTAGATCACACTGAATTGCTTAGCATTTTGATTAACATTCTGAAATCAGATTCTCCTCAGCACATAAAACAAGAAACTGTGAGTCTTTTAGGTACTTTAGGTGCTTTAGACCCATACAAATATCGTGAGATTGAAGAGATGCCAGATGATGCTACGACTTTAGAACAAAATTCAATTCCAATTGATATATCATTGCTGATACAAAATATTTCACCTTCAGTCGAAGAATATTATTCAACCATTGTTGTTAATACTTTATTAAAAATTTTAAAAGATAATTCTTTGAGCGTTCATCATCCAACAGTTATACAAGCCATTGTAAATTTATTCCAAATTCTAAAATTAAAATGTGTATCGTTTTTAGGACAAATTATCCCTGCAATTATTAATCTAATGGATGTGTGTCCAGACTCTCTAGTAGAGTATTATTTGCAACAATTAGGTGTTCTAATAACCATTGTAAAACTACATATACGCCCTTATGCAGATAAAATTTTTGACTGTATTGAATCACATTTTTCAGATAATAAACTTCAACTAACCGTAGTATCTGTAATTACATCATTGGCTTCCTCTTTAAAAAATGAATTTAAGAGATTTGTTCCTCCAGTTTTAACCTATTTCATGAATAGTATAAATAAAGATACATCAAAGGATAAAACTGTAACCGATTCCATATTGACTTGCATTGTTTTATTAGGGGATAACTTAAATGAATATTTGTATTTAATTATTCCTTCTATTATCAGAATAGCAGAGGTATCTCATGGTCTGATTAAAAAATCGTCTATTGTAACTTTAGGGAAACTAACCAAAATTAACAATATAAATACCATGTCTGCTCGAATCATTCACACATGTTGTAGATTGCTATATTCCACAGATCCAGAAGTTGTGCGTTTAACCATGAATTTATTGTGCTTACTTTTACTACAACTAAAAAGTGATTTTATTGTGTTTATCCCTTCTATCAACAAATTACTTATTAACAAAAATATTCAACATACTGTTTATGACCAATTAGTTAACAAGTTATTAAGCAATGAGATCCTTCCATCTGCCCATATACTAGGGTTAGAGTTGGAAGAAGATAAAACAGAAGAACAAACAAAGAACCAACAGCCAGAAAAACTTACTGTAGATCAATCTCTTTTGAAATCCATGTGGAATTGTTCTCAGCAAAGAACAAAGGAGGACTGGCAAGAATGGTTAAAACGGTTGTCGATCCAGTTGTTAAAGGAATCGCCCTCTCATGCTCTTAGAGTATGTTCGTCTTTGGCTAGTGTATATTTACCATTAGCAAAAGAGCTTTTTAATGCATCGTTTGCTAGTATATGGCCAGAATTATACACTCAATACCAAGAAGATTTTGTTCAATCTTTATGTTTGGCATTATCATCACCACAGAATCCACCTGAAATACATCAGATGTTATTAAACTTAGTTGAATTCATGGAACATGATGATAAACCATTACCAATACCATCTCAAACGTTAGGAGAATATGCAGAAAAATGTCATGCTTATGCCAAAGCACTTCATTTTAAAGAAGCCAAATTTTTACAAGAACCAATCGACAATACAACGGTTGAATCATTAATCAGTATTAATAACCAAATTTACCAAAACGATGCTGCTGTTGGTATTCTTAAATTTGCCCAACAACACTATAATTTACAATTGCAAGAAACATGGTATGAAAAATTACAAAGATGGGAAGATGCAATGGATGCATATTCAAAACGTATCAAGGAAGGTGATACTTCACCTTCTGTAGTACTTGGGCATATGAGGTCATTATATGCGCTAAGTGATTGGGATAGTTTAGCCAAATTTTCTTCAGAAAGATGGGATTCTGCATCAGCAAGCTTACAAAAAAAGATGGCACCGTTAGCAGCAAACGGAGCTTGGAGTTTGGCCCAGTGGGATAAGTTAGAACAATATATTAGTGTTATGAAGGACAAAACCCCAGATAAGGAATTTTTCAGTGCTATTCTTTGTATACATAATGGAGAATATGACTTTGCAAACGAACATATATACAATGCAAGAGATTTATTGGTTACAGAAATATCAGCTTTAGTAAATGAAAGTTACAACAGAGCATATAATGTTATAGTTAGAACACAACTTATCACAGAATTAGAGGAAGTAATAGCATATAAAAAATTACCGTCGCACTCGGAGAAACGTCTTATTTACCATAATACGTGGAATAAAAGATTACTTGGTTGTCAAAAAAGTGTTGATGTATGGCAAAGGGCTTTAAAAGTTAGATCATTGGTCATCACACCTAAGCAGGATATGCATATTTGGATCAAATTTGCTAATCTTTGTCGAAAGTCAGGTAAATTAAATCTTGCTGAAGCTGCCTTGAGTAGGTTATTAGAGGATACATCAGACATATCACCATCGTTACCTGCAAAAGCACCACCACCAGTTGTGTACTCTCAGTTAAAATATTTATGGGCTGCTGGTTCAAAGCAAGAAGCTTTAAAATACTTGATTGGATTTACATCTCGTATGGTTCATGATCTAGGTTTGGATCCAAGCAATATGATAGCCCAAAATGTGAGTCAAAACCATTCACTATCGGCTAATAATATCGAAGAATATACTAAATTATTGGCAAGGTGTTTTTTAAAACAGGGTGAATGGAGAATTGCATTGCAACCTAACTGGAGAGATGAAAGTCCTGACGCCATTTTAGGTTCCTATTTATTAGCTACTCATTTTGATAGTAATTGGTATAAAGCTTGGCACAATTGGGCCCTTGTTAATTTTGAAGTTATATCTGCAATTTCATCGGGTAGAAGAGTAAATACTGTAAACACTGATGAACAACCAAAAATTATAGAAGATGTTGAAGAAAGAGTTAATGAAGGTAGTAGTATTTTAAAGATAGATGGGAAAGAATATTCTATGGAAGTTATCCAAAGACATGTCATACCTGCTATAAAAGGGTTTTTTCATTCTATTGCATTATCAAAGACTAGTGCATTACAAGATACTTTAAGATTGCTGACATTGTGGTTTACATTTGGGGGAACACCTGAAGCTTGTCAAGCTATCTATACCGGGTTCAACTTAATTAAGATTGATACTTGGTTAGAGGTATTACCACAGTTGATATCTCGGATCCACCAGCCGGATGAGTCTGTGAGCAGGTCTTTATTAGCTTTATTATCTGATTTGGGGAAGGCCCATCCACAAGTAATGGTAAATCCTTTGATTGTTGCAATAAAATCAGAATCTGTTTCTAGGCAAAAAGCAGCATTTTCTATTATTGAAAAGATGAAAATGCATAGTACAAAACTTGTTGAGCAAGCAGAGCTTGTTAGTAATGAATTGATACGTGTTGCTGTACTGTGGCATGAATTGTGGTATGAGGGTTTAGAAGATGCTAGTAGACAATTTTTTGGGGAACACAACACAGATAAGATGTTTGCTACATTAGAACCGCTTCATGCATTATTAAAAAAGACACCAGAGACAATGAGAGAGCTATCATTTCAAAATTCTTTTGGACGTGATTTAACAGATGCCTATGAATGGGTATTAAATTTTCAAAGAACCAAAGACACCAGTAATTTGAACCAAGCATGGGATATTTATTATAATGTTTTTAGGAGAATAAGTAGACAACTACCTCAATTGCAAACATTAGATCTTCGCCATGTTTCCCCAAAATTATTGGAGGCAAGAGATTTAGAGATGGCTGTACCAGGTTCTTATTCTGTTGGTAAACCAATTATAAGAATATCATATTTTGATCCAGTATTTTCAGTCATATCATCAAAACAAAGGCCAAGAAAGTTTACAATTCGTGGTAGTGATGGTAAAGATTATCAATATGTGTTAAAGGGCCATGAAGATATTAGACAAGACAGCTTGGTGATGCAGTTGTTTGGTTTAGTAAATACATTACTAGAACATGATTCTGAATGTTTTAAGAGACATTTAGATATTCAGAAATATCCTGCTATTCCATTATCTCCAAAATCTGGTTTACTTGGATGGGTTCCAAACAGTGATACTTTCCATGTCTTGATTAGAGATCATAGAGATTCTAACAAAGTTCCATTGAACATTGAACATTGGGTGATGTTACAAATGGCTCCAGATTATGATAATTTAACTTTATTGCAAAAGATTGAAGTATTTCAATATGCAATGGATAATACGAAGGGACAAGATCTGGCTCAGGTTCTATGGTTGAAGAGTCGTTCTTCAGAAACATGGCTGGATAGAAGAACTGTATATTCAAGGTCACTAGCAGTGATGTCTATGGTTGGTTACATATTAGGGTTAGGGGATCGTCACCCAAGTAATTTAATGTTGGATCGTGTTACAGGAAAAGTTATCCATATCGATTTTGGTGATTGTTTTGAAGCTGCTATCTTGAGAGAGAAGTTTCCTGAAAAGGTGCCCTTTAGATTGACAAGAATGTTAATTAATGCATTAGAAGTTAGTGGGATAGAAGGTAATTTTAGAATCACTTGTGAAAATGTTATGAGAGTATTAAGAAACAATAAGGAGTCGTTAATGGCGATCTTAGAAGCTTTTGCATTCGATCCTTTAATCCACTGGGGGTTTGATTTCCCGACTGGTAAAATTATGGAAGAAACTGGAATTACATTACCAATGGTCAATCCGAATGAATTACTGAGAAAAGGTGTCATAACTGTTGCTGATGCGCATAGAATGGAGGAGGAACAAGAATTAGAGTTAAGAAATGCAAGGGCACTATTAGTTTTGAAAAGGATAACAGATAAATTAACAGGTAATGATATTGTAAGATATGAAAACCTTGATATACCTGAACAAGTAGATAAGTTGATCAAGCAAGCTATGTCTATCGAAAATTTATGCCAGCATTATGTAGGTTGGTGTCCATTCTGGTAAATTTTTCTTAATCAATATTTATTTTGTTTTATTTTATTGTACATATTTATATATTTCATATTTGAGTCTATAAACAATTCACATTATATTGGTCACAGTATTTCTTGGTTATTGCGTTCCATTTCCCTACCAATTCATGGAAATTGTTTAACAAATCGTAATTCTCATCAAATGCATTCTTATTCAAAACATGGTTAATTTTTAATTCTTGTTGGGCATCTTTGAAAGATTCAGCTAAATCACGATTATCCTTGCCATATAAGTAGTTTAAGCATTGTAATCTACCAATTATAAGACCTACTTCCTTACCTAATTTTGCACCCTGTGGAAACCCAGCATCAAAACCCTCTTGAAGGTTAATTTCTTTAGAACTTACAATTCCATCCAAATAACCTCTTTTATTATGTTGATCTCTTAACTTGTCAATATCTTTATGAATAATATTATCTTCTTCAGAAGTAGATCCCCATACATCATCAAATAGTTCAGATCGACTCATTTCCTTGTATTTTTGGATTGTAAAAGATGGCACAACGATAGCACAACTAATCTTATAGAGGAGTTAAAAGGGAAATAAAAATGAAAACAGGCCCTTATGCTCTCGAGAATTGTTGAAGCGATTGGACTTCTACTTATTTCTATCCATATAATCCCTCTCATAATGGTGTGCGCTTACTAATCATTGTGCGTCAAAATTGTCAAACATCAAAATTTATGTAATATTCTTGATATTACTGTTTAGGGTTTTGTTTAAAAAAATGAGGGTCGACGATATTTTTCTACACTTTCCGTTTTGCAAAATTTCACAAACATACATAAAAACAGGAGTAACCAACATAAGTACAAGAGTGCAACCAAGAAGAACAACAACCAAGCAACGAATAAGAAGAAAAGAAGAAGGAACCAAGGATTACATAAATTTAGATATATAGTATATAAGTGTATACTATTAGGTTATCTTAGATTAGGGATATAGATATACAGATATATAGGAATATTACATCTAGAGATATAGAACGAGTCTATACCTTATATCTATTCAAGTGAAATATTATTGAGATTTCAACAAGATTAACTGTTATCAGAAACACATAATTTCAGAGTTATTACAATTTAGTAAAAAAACCTTGCCTCCTGTGGGATTTGAACCCACGATCCCCGCATTACGAGTGCGATGCCTTACCACTTGGCCAAGCAGGCGATAAAAAACTCAGTCGGAGAGGAATAATAGTTGTAAACATTGATATAGATATTATTATAATGTTGGATTTTTTTGATTTAATTTAATTGATAAAATTAATTAAATAAAAAGGTTTTTAAATATAATTCTTTGAATTGTCATTTTTTAAATTATTTTTATAATGTTACCGATTTTTTTGTTGTTATGGAAAAATCATTTTTAGAAAAAAGTATTTGAGTATATTAATATTCTATTGCTATTTATTGTATAATCAGATTAAATTTTTTCCTAAATTTTTATCTTACCGAATATAAGGATTTTATGTGCTGTTTTATCGTTTTATTCAATTACAAAAAAACTATCTACTAAATTTAAAAGAATAAAAATGTAAAGAATAAAAATTTATGTGATATAAAAAAAAAAGTTCATTGAACATTAATAGTAAAAGAAAAAAAAATAGAATAAACCAACTCTGAATGTTGAAACTCCAATTTTCATAGTAATAGTTGTAATTATTGTGTTATTAAAATTTAACGTTTTAAAGGAAAATGTAGTATGGATGATTGGTCATTGTGAAATATTGAAAGCTTTTAAAACATTAATATGAAGTACCTTGTTTCATTCATATAAAGATTGAAAAAAACACTATTAATAATATACATAGTCATATCAATGATTTTATTTTATCTTTTTAGTATTTTTTTTTTTTAAAAGAAAACTTTTACTATAAAAAAATAATTAGAAATTGGCATAAAATTGATATTATTCTTAAATTTAGATATTTTTTTGAAGACTTTTAGTTGGAAATTGCTGAAATCGAACGTTCTAGAATAAATAAATAGACTAATTATATTTTAGTAAACATTAATTGATAATAAAATGTGGAGAATGTATTGTTTGCTTATCAGTGGATGTAAACAAACTTTATCAACAATTTGGTGTCGCACGTGGACAAAATATGCCAGATATGAAAATATATAAAGCCAACATTTTTTTTTTCATATCATGTTTCTTCCCTTGTTAAACTTGTATAATCATCCCTGTTTGTTATGTATAAATAAAAAAAAAAGCGAAGAACTTAATCATAGATTTGTACACTAAATATATTAATATAACATTAAGAATGTATACTATTTATCTAATATCTAAAGGTGCTAATTTTCAACAGAAATCTTGAAAAATATTGTCTGTAAATAACGTTAAAGGCTGTTACGTTGGATTAGAAGTAAGCAAAAGTCTAGACCTAAATTATGAGTGTTTTTGAAAGATTATTTGATTAATGTTACTGTCAATTTATTGAGAAACTTATTCAGAAGACTTCTAATTGTTTAAAGTGTGTGTGCTAGGGTTAATTAGCAATAGTAACATTTATATTTTATCACTATTTCTTAAGCAGAATTTAATAGATATATAATATAAATAACGGAAATTATATAATTGGTTGATTGATCAAAATCAATAACTATGTAATCTTCAAATGCTTAGGTATGATTGCTATTAATATTTTATTATATTATATAAGGGACCTGCCTACATTCTTAACTAAAATCTGCTTCTATTTTATTTGCATCATTTTTCTTTTTTTTTTTTTACTTTCCTTCTTTTTAATCTTTTTGTTAATGATGTTTTGTTGGGAATGGAAGATTTTTCTTCATATTTTTTTATATATGAGTGGATCATAAAGTTTTTGTTTGAAATTAAAATAAAACACTTCTTATCAAAATAACTATTATATCTTTTTCTAATACCTAATTTAAAAATGTTATGCTGAGGACATAGACATATTGAGATGTATATCATAGCTTGGCATTTTAATAATAGGAATATGTCACAAACATATAAATTTAACTAAGATGAATTGCTAAATGTCACAAGTAATTCTCTACTCTGTTTGTATGGTGAAGTGACTGAAAAGTCAAAATGCGCATGTCTAAAGTATACATATTTTAATAAATTATTGAATATGGTTATTTACCCAAAACAAGGCTTGAAAGAGAGGAAAAAAGATAGGAGTATAATTTTATGTTTTTACACATGTTATAAGTAAGTTTCCAAAAAATCAAGATAATAAATTATTTTATGTTGGTGATAATGACATATACAGAAATTTTTTTTTTCATGTTGAGTCCCCAATGTTCTACTATTCACATATTTTCGTGAAAAAAAAATAAGTTCTAATATCAAAAAAAGGATACATATGTAAACTTACATAACAGATTTGCTTTTTTAATAATTTCGTTTGTTTTGTATTTTTATTTTTGCCTGTAAAGGATAACTACATAGCAGACATATACTTTGTGTAATATGCTATTTAGATATATATACCTTCCTCTATAGTAGATGGAATATCTGTCATACCATAAACACCCATCCACGAAATGGGTATTTTGAATTGAGAATCTCTAGACACTGAATATTTCTCATTTATTATCATTGGTAAGCAACTTCTAACAAAATACTTGGCATCCATTGAGTTATCACCTTCATGAACGAGCATAGTGAAGTATTTAATTTCACTCAAGGAGGAATTGAGGTTATTTAATAGGTGGTAAACGATCTTAAAGATTGTTTGGTTTGTGGAGATTTCTTGGATTGGATCACTTAAATTGAATTTGAAGAATTGGGATGTATAATGTAAGTTTGAATTGGAATCGAATTTTAGATTTAACGATTGTTGGAAGTTTGATGTTATATCATTTATTGAATTGACATTGCAAGTGCCAATAGATATGTTGGTAGCGGTGTTAGTAGATATGGTATTAGAAATAGCACTCGTGAGGTAATGGTTATTATTAGTATCGTTGTTGTTACTATTATTCATTCGAAAACTAGTAACAATATTTGTATCGAATACACCGTAAGAATCTAGTATAGACAATTTTCTAATCTTCAGTCTATTAATCAAGGGGCTCAACACCTCAATGATAAAGTTATTTATATAGCCTTGTATAATTGGAGTTCTTTGTTGAAGAATATAAACTGACCTGTCTTTATTAGAAAACAATTCTAAGGCAGAAGAGTATAATTTTGGCCTTTGGTTTTTTATATCCGTAAGGGATGAACTATAAAGAGATGGAGAATTATTGTTACTTGTGTCATTATTAGAATCGAAAGTATGATCTAAGGGACCAACAAAAGGATGTAAGTATTTAGAATCCAAATCTTCTACAAAATGGAAATCATCATCAAAGGAATGTAATATTAAATCTACAGTCAATTGTGGAACATTACCAGTCGAAACTAAAGGCAATACTAGTGTCATTGAAAATGAAAAAAATTAGAAAAAAGAAAAAAAAAAATAAAATAAAAAACAATCGATTTACTCCCAAATATCAAATATGTGAATATGATTGAAGTTTAGTATCTTCCTGCTCTTTCTACCTGCTCTCTCCCTTTGACTCTTTCTCTCTCTTTCTAGTTGGCAAGCATTATTTTATAGTAAAATTTATTGAATTCATCATATAATCACCACCACGACCACACATCAAATCGGTTTATATTCACAAGAAAAAAAAAAAAAAAAAAAAAAAAACAAAAAAAAAGATGCCAAACATCCATACCTCCATAAGTGCAACAAAGAATGAAAAAGCTACCAAACCCTAACTAAAAACCTAATTTGTATCGGAATTTAACTCTACAAATAAAGCAATGACCTAACTTTTATGTGTAAAAGGAAAGGGGGAGTAAACGTATCCAGTCTATATCTAAGTTTATGATTAGAGATTGAATAATTACTTACTCAGAGACAAAAATTTGCTTTTGTAATAATTTTAATTATCATTTACCGACATTAATACATCAAGTAGAATCTTTCTGTTCGTTTTGTTGTTTTTTCTTTTTTTGGTAGATCCTACAATCAACAGAAACCCAAAAAGAAAAAGAAAAAGAAAGAAGAAAACAATATTTTCAGCTATTGCACTTGGGACACATAAGTTGGAAGTACTTGAACAATCTGGTTTAAGCATGCCCACATGCAATGGCATTCAATCTAATCATATGTAATATATGTGCTTGTGTATCTCTTTTCTTTCTTTTTTTTTCTTTACTTCGGTTTGTTTCATTGGGGTGTGTGACACTGACGCATGTCACAAATTGAGTGCATGACACAAATTGGCTGCTTTTGTGTTTTCTTAGTAGGGAAAACCAAAAATTTTCGAAAAAGGGAAAAATACCAGAGAGTACTTCCTAAAATGGAAAAAAGACAACATCACTTCAAACGAACAGTTGGTGACTATGGTGCACGGATGTTTACAAATAGGAAATGCGGAAGAAAAAAAATTTTTTTTTTTTCATTTTCGTTTCTTTTTTTTTTTCTGTGTACAGAAACCAAAATTCGTTTGTGTTGAGAAATCAAAGTAGGAGGGAAATGAGGGAAGAAGAAGAAAAAGAAGAACAGGAACACAGAAGGGTGTGTATGTGCAGTGGGATTTATGAATGAATATCATTTCCTACTTCTAAGCAGTGTCTATTGGATGAACTTGTATTTTATATTTAAGTTGGGTTCAAGTCATTAAGATTCTGTTAGTCTATGCAGTTTTGTTGTTGTTTCTTTTTTTTTTTCCCTCTTTCACCCTCCGTTGCAACACTACAGTTATACATATTAATATACTTGAACATTAGACATATTCACCAGTAACAACAAGCAAAAAATATATATTAGAGTCACTCTATTTTCACCATTTCAATGGAACTTCAAGATCCTTCAATATTATCTGCCACTACAGCAGAGGGTACCACCTTTCCTGTGCCTCAGAGACCCTTTGTTACCAAAAATTCAAAGAATTCCGCTCATACTAATAAAAATAATAATCATTTTGACAGCAAGCTTGCAATTATCAATCCAATTAATTCCTTTTTAGATAAACTAGCAAATTCTAACAACAAACTTAATAGACCCCTTCAGACATCTATCTTAGACTATAAACCCACCTCAAATAATGACTCAAAGATCATATATTCCATAAACGAATTATTGGAATTCAAATCAAACGTCCCCACTCAATTAATTCGCAGTAAACTTGATGAATTGCCATCAAGAAAGTTCTGGAGATTACATCAAAGGTTTAATCCTAACTCAGACGCTAACTATCACCACCATCATATTCACGCTCATGCATACAACAATAACAATAACAATAGCAATAACAATAGTAAATCTGTATCAAACCCTAATAATAATTCAAACCCTAACAGTAACCCTAATGGTAGATTGGGTAATAACAATAGTGATTTCTTAAGACATGAGAGAAGGAACAGCAGATCGAAGAATAAGCTCCATAAACAACAGAATAAGCTTAGTATGGCTTCAAAAAATAGTAGTATTGGTACAACTAATGCTAATGTTAACACTAATAGTTCAGATTTAGGTGATAAATTATTATTAAACGATGATATCCTTGAATTTGACGATAATTTTGTGCCAAGTGGAAATTCAATACAAGATTTTGAACTTTGGAAAGCAAAAATGAAAGAAATTGAACAGAATAAAGGTAAGAATAAAAATAAAAATAAAAATGACATCAATTCCAATCTTCAGGATACGAACACTACTAATAATATCAATAATGACACTAATATCTCATCCACTACTGTTAAAAATGATGTATCCAGTATAGAAAGACCTATCTTGAATAGATCTTCAAGTAGAATCTCAGATTTCTTAAGACTATCGAACGCTGAATCTGATGCAAATAGCAATAGTAATAGTATCAAAAATAGCGAAAATAAATTGAGTACAGAAATAACGTTTTCTTCTAATATAACTTCAGTTACATTGGAGTCCACTTTAAATCAAGGGTATGGAATCGGTATTGATCAGTCCTCGAATATCGTTAATGTCTCTAGAAGCTCTTCTTCTAAGTTTTCTTCTTTCTTCAATAGCAACACTATACCTGCAAAGGACGTGGATAGTGATACTAATAAAAGTAACAATAATAATAATCAAATAGATACTACTACTGCTACTACCAGTAACAAGACTAAAAGTGGTACTTCAAGATTAATGAATTTCTTCAAAGAAACTTCTAGATCAAACACCCCAGTTAGTGAAACAACAACTTTGCACGATAATAATAGTAATAGTAATAGTAATAGTAATAGTAATAGTAATAGTAATAATCAAAGTAACACTCAAGGTATCCCACAAGGAAACTTCAATTTACCTGTACAAAATCATATTTCTATTGGACACCAGCAAAATACATCAATTGGATTGCCATATCCACCACAAACACAAACACAAGGTTTAAATCAAATCCAACAACAGCAGCAATCTCATCAATACCAACAAATTCCTTTGCCAACGATGCAAGGACCAGCAAACAATACGTTTTTCCAAGGTTTATTGAATAAAAATAAATCATTGAAGAATAACACTAATAATAATAATAAACTTGAAAATAATGAAGGTGATATATCAAATAATTTAACTTCAACAGTTGATAATCCATCAACTATAGTGCCAACAAATAATAACGGTGTCCCAAGTCATTGTAATCAAAATAATATGAAAAATGGAATGGGTATTACCCCTCCACCCGGTATGTTGCCTCCTCCACCCGGTATGCCACCACAAAATTTCCGTATGCTGCCACCAAACATGATGGGACATCCAATGATGCAAGGTATGCATCCTCCACCTCCACCTCCAGGTATCATGCAATTTCCATCTGGTCTTATTAACAAAAATAAAAATAAGAATGATATAGATGACAATGGCAAAGATAATAATAAAAATATCAGCAATAACCCACAACAAAGGTTTTATCCTATGATGCCACCACCTAGTGGATTCATTCCAAATATGCAACATTTGCCTCCGAATACACAACAACATCCTCAATTCATGCCAAATATGCCACAGTTCCCTCCACATATACATATGAATGATTCTAATGTTAAAGACAGTAATAATACTGATACCAATAGCCAGATTACTACTGATCATAATGTTAACGTCAATCAGCCAAATAATAATGTTAATAATTTGCAAAGATTTTTCCCTAATATGGCAACGAATCCTTCACAAATTCCATTATCTCAACAAAAATAAGTATATCGATCTGAATAATGGATAAAAATTGTTCCAGAAAGATGTATATAAAAAAATAAAAGAAAAAGTGAATACATGTTTATTTTATTAATGTTCCTTTGGAACAAGATTTCAGTTATCTTTTCTTGGCTTTTGCATACTAAAAATTATATAACTCTATGCTATTTTTCACAGACATATATGTATGTATATGTATATGTTTATATATTTATATATTTACATACACATATGTTCAGTTATTAGAATATATTGCAGATATGTTGTGTTATAATAATATTGCTTTTTATCTTGGTTCATTAATTATCAAAGATAAATAATATATATTTAGTCGTCCTTTAGTTCATTTTTATTATCTAATTTATCATCAACATTTTCGTATAAAGTCTATAATCAGTAATACATATAAAAAATGCATATTAAAAATTTGGATCGCTTTCAAATATCGTGTTGATTTGATTTTCAATGCCATTATATATGTTAAGTCCAGCCTTATCAATATTATATGCATTATTTGTAGAGTCTTCATTTTCCAATAGTTTGTTGCCAAACCATTTGTTTGAGTTGAAAATAGTAAATTTCTGAGAAATTTCGTCAACTATTGAAGACAGTACAGATTTTTTAATGTCTTGTAATTCAATATGGCTCAATCTTTTCTCAAATTGTCTCCATATCCTACTCTCATAATCTAATAACAACGCATCCTTCATAGGAGAGCTCATTTTATCACCAATTCTGTCTCTCATAATTGACAATAACTTGGATTTATCCTTTACAGACATCCACGTATCAAAGATTATCTCTAATTCTTTAACACGATAATTAGTAACATCAAATGTGGTCACAGTATATGACAATAAATCATAATATTCACCAATAACCATATTAAGTAAAATAAATTTGAGATCAGAAAAGGATAGTGCACTGACTTCTGATCTGAGAGGTAGCATATTTTTGAATATACCGTTAATATTGGCTATTCTCCTTAATATTGGAAATAAGATCCATTGTTTCAACTTCGGAATATAAGTTTTACCTTCAAAACTCTGAAATCCATATCTTTTGGGAACAGTGTATTCAGTTTGTAATGATTCAATAGCTTTATTAGGAATATACACCCTCACCCCATGGAAATATGTCAATCTTAATGGAGAAATCATATCTAATCTACTGAAATGATGATTTCTACAATTAACGATATTCAATTTTTCATGAAGATGGTATTTTTGAGCATCATTAAGGCCCCTATCATAATTTGTGTGTTTAATTTGTTGTTGTCTCTCCTTTCTTATCATCTTTTGAACATCTGCAAATTGTTCGTAAGTAAAGTCATCTTTATGATCAAACATGTATTTTTCAAGATCTAATAAATTTTTAGAAGCTAATTCTTCACCTAATTCAGGATTAGTTAACTTGGTTTTATTTATTCCCATGATTTGTTCCTTAATTTCATTATATTTATTTGGTGGTATTATATCTATTTTTTCTTTCTCATATGAAGCAGAAGAGACACTTAATCCAGTAATATCAACATAAACACCAGAATCAACATCAATAAATCTTGCGTCAATATTATTCTTACCATTAGTATTAGTTCGAACAGAGATAGAAGGTGTGACATCTAAAAAGTATCTTCCATTACCCTCTCTTGGGTCTTCAAGGATCAAACTTTGGTTAAAATACTGTGCTAATAAATGTAAATGTTTGATTGGCATCTGTACATCAAAATCATTATCCCATGGAAATGCTAATCCGTTGTATAAATGTGCATATAGAGTGCCATGTGATATCCAAGAGACAAGCCCATTGCTTTGGACAAACCGTTGGAAAACTCTTATAAGTGAATTCATTCGTGCCTTCTTATTTATGCCAGTGTCAGTTGCAGCACCATTATAGAATCTTTTATCTCTATGGCCACCCCCACCCAATTTACTGCCTATTAAATTATCTGCTTCTTGTAAATATTTCGAAGCAAAAGCTGGATGTGTCCTGTATGAAGTTTTAAGATTACTTAAGTAATCTTTTTCATGTAATGACAACTTTTTATCATCTTTCTTATTTATAGATTCTAATTCTTCAATTTTGGATTTGACATCAAATTTAAAATCATCCAAAGTCAATTCAAATCTATCGATTTGATATAGACTACTATTTTTATTAGGGATTTCGAGTTCAAAAAGTTTATTTATTGAAGTATCATTAATAAAATCTTCAAAGATTTTAATATGGTCAAATTTATAATCATCTTTCTTCTTTATATTGTCTTCAACAAAATTTGATAAAAGGTCTGATTGAATCATATTGTTACGTTGTTCTTGCTCTATATATACTTGGAAGGCAGATGTATTGGAGTTAAGGATAGTCATTGACAGGGGATTACGGAAGGTGCTCAGTAGATAGTTTCTCGCACTAATTTGATAAACTTCAGGCCTGATTTTTGTCCAAATATTATTGACTTTAAATGGCAAATTAAAAGGGCTCTTATATAATGGATCATTTTCTTCATAATCTATACAGAATTCAGATATATTATAATTTTGTATACCTGATTGAAACGACGTTATGCCTCGATACCAAAAGTTATCCTCATATTTTGATCTATCTATCAGAAATAAAAAATCACTCAATTCTTCTTCTATCTCGACTAAAAGATCATGATCTATATATGTCTTTGTTGCCAATTGACAATTTAACTTGCCTTGAAATTTATTCTTAACTGACAATAATTTGTTATAATCATGGTAATCAGACCAGTCATACCATGAGAATGGTAATTTAAAGTCATCAGATGATTTGAGATGTCTACTGTCTATTGCGTTCTTTAAAATATGATACAGGTATACAGACCATATCAATCTTGGATCACTATCGTAGAAACTTAATTCTTCGATTGAGTTTAATTGCTTGGTCTTATTTGAACCCATAGATACGGTCAAAAGATTGGATTTAAAATAATAATCATCAATCCAACTTGGACTTGTGTCAAAAAACATTTTCCTATAAAGTGCGGAGGCATGTTCGATTGTTTCAGCCGGAGTTGATTTGAGTAAAGATAGTAAATCGAAAATAGGTTTAGTAAAAGAATATATTGTAGAATCTGGACTTGTCCCAGTGTTACCATTATTATTTTTATTATTATTAGTAGTGGTGGTGGTAGTAGTGCTAGTAGTGCTGGTATCATGGTTGGAAGAATAAAAGTTGTTTAAACTATCTTCAAAATAGCAGTTATATATCCATATTGAAACAGCAATCTGTAGTAAAATAATAATTAATATTATTACTCTGGTAGATTTTATTCTAACTTTTCTAAATCGCTTTAAATATGAGGGGAATAATATTCTAAGTGGTGATATGACCATTGGATTAAACGCAAATAATTATATTTTGTTGAATATTTATGGATGGATGGGTGGATGTGAAGATGTGTAGAACTGTGGAAAAGAGCTTTTTTAATTGTTTATGGTGGTGACACTAATAAGTAACACTAAAGATAAGTTTTAAACTTGTGTTTATTCTTATTGGATTAGTTGATCCCTTTATAAAAAAAAAAGTGATAAGGAAAAAAAAAGAGAAAAGGATTAGTAATGTGTTTCTTACGAGACTATTAATAACATCTACGACAGCTAAAGAGAAGCAAGTTCTTACTAGCCAGACATGACGTTGGAAAAGTAGAGGGAATGTTGTACTCCGTTTTTATTTAATTCTTCTGATAAATTTCAAATGTTTCATCTCATCTGGTGTAATCCTTTAATAAATTTTTTTTTCCTTCGAGAAACTAAAAAAGAAGGCAAGGTAGAAAAACAAAAAAAATAAGAAAAACCCCTCAATCATTGTTTCTTCTAGAGTACTTATATATTTAGGCAGTGCCTGACAATAGATTTCAAAATAGTAGGCTTTTATTCTTTTCTTTGTCATACAATACTAGATAACAATAGATATGTAAGAAAAGTTTGTGTAACTGTTTATCCTATTGTTAATTCACAAAATCTACTAATTCAAGATTGAAAAGTGCAAATCTCCTTTAAAAAATGTCTACAAGTTCAAAAAAACAAATTGTCTTTTTCTGTTTTCAAGCTAGAAAGTATTTTACTTAAAGTGTAAAATAGTTTTGTATATTTGTATTTCAGGCATTCAATTAAGGTTGAGTATTATTTCAAGGGTGTATATAGGAGTATGTAACAAGAAAATAGTCTTAAAGAAAAGACTAAAATGAACATCAAACAAGCAAAAAAGTGGAGAAGGAGGGATATAAGAATAGGCATTTCCACTATATAAATATAAGTAGTTTTATTGGACAAGGAGGAGGCAACTGTTCCATGTGCATGAATAGTGAATATTATACATGATTTTACCTGTAAAAAAAAATTGGCCTCCTTCCAGCAAAATTTTAAATAACCTCTAACTTCTTTTTTTGTTTGTGTGATGTATATTTTTCTGTAACAAGATATTTTTACAAAGGTCTGTGTTATTACAATTTTATAGAAAATTGTTTGAAATGTTCACAACTGTTACAGATTAAATTAGGATGGATTTCACTCTAATTTCCCCATTTGGCTAAAAACCAAAAAAAAAAGAAAAAGAAAAAAAAAAAAAAAAGAGGGGATAATATAGGTTACAATTTTTAGGGGAGGATTGTACTTATCACTTTTTTTTAAAAAAAATTTGGAAACTTTAGGTTTTTCTTTCCTATTGTGTTTGGTCTCTTGGCATTTTTGCTAATTTTATGAATTTGTTTCCTATTTGGGAAAAGATATAAGGATGCAGAAATTATGGAATTATCTGCCGTAATAAGTGATTCTTCCTCTTCCTTTTCCTTGTTATTTGGTTTGATAGCTTTATAAAAGACATCTTTACTATGCATACTACTTTGTAATGAGAGAGGATGGATACTAGATAGCATATGGTTTATGTAGGAGGGTGAAAATGAGAGTAGTTTTGTTATATGTTATAAGTTATATTTTTGTTAAAATTAATTTACTTGACTTTAACCTGTTTAGAGCCAGTTTTCCTTTTTTTTTCGTTTCGCTCTAATATATTAACTTTTTATATTATCAGTTGAATATTCTGTCTTTCTTGTGATTATTCAACTAAGTTATTAACCGCTTAAAATAACTGTTGTTTGGGTTCATTCCGGGGAAAGGGATTTTTCAAAACAAAAATAACTAAATAAATAAATAAAATTATCAGAAATGTTAGGATTACAACCATCCTACTATTTCGTCTCTGAGGAGACTTATATTATTCGGGCCAAGGGCTAAATTGCTTGACCGTTGAAATCGGACTTGAGTCAATCAAAATAGATGTACATACAGACTTTCAATTTTGGCCCAGTCTATTTCCCCTTATAATATTTACTTTAACAGATCTCAAAAAAGTCAATTTTATTAATAAAGTCATTAGTTATAACAATAAATAACACAAATTTGTATGTGAAGAGGTGCATATATTGAGTATTCGGAATCATACCTAAAGTGTCATCATTTACATATTTTCCTATATTTAGTAAAATAATAATAAGTGGTCAACTCATACATACATATACATATATATATATATATATGTGTGTGTGTAGGTTTACTGTTGAACATTAGTATCGTCATCACTTTCATAAGGTATATTGTGTTTTTTTAATAAATTTTTCAAAAATCCAATTTCTTTATATGCATTGGCTAAATCTTCTTGTAATTTTTCATTTGCAGCTGTGAGTTGTGATGCATTTTGTTCGCTTAGTAGTTTTTGCAACGTCCATTTCTCGATATTAGAATTTTCTGTTTCTTTCAATTTTTGTATATATTCAACCGATCTACTTAAGATCGCCGCTTTGCTAGTCTCTTTTACAGGTAATAACACACCCAATGCATTAATTGCCATATTAATGTTTTCTCTACGGCGTCTTTCCACTTCTTTATGTGAAATCCTTCTTTGTTGTTTCCATGCTTCTGATCCCACAAGTGCAGTGGTCCTGCGACCTTTTTTATTTAATAAGCCTTCCTCGTTCAGGTCTGGATCTTCTACTCCTATGCTATGAAAATGCTCTGTATCTCTTAGATCTTGTAACTCCACAGGTATAGAGTCGTCTGTATTGTTAATCGTATGACGATCAATTAGGTCCGCATAGTCATGTGGGGTCTGTACCTGCCCTATATGTTGTTGGTGTTGAGTATTCACATGAACGCTTTTACTTCTCTCTTCTTCCTCAATTTGAGTTTTATTGTTATCTGATGATCCTTTATTGGGATTATCTAGAGTAGTCTTCGTCATAGACCCTGTTGGATCAGATTCTGTACTGGAATGTTTCAAACTATGTTCACCATCATCATTGTTATTGTTATTGTTATCACTATTGTGATTGTGATTATTAAGGGAGCTTCTATTAGCAACATTTTCTATGATATTGGAAGCAACATTGTTTAATAATTGAGTTTCCCTATCATGGTCATTTATTCTATGACTATTACTATCACTGTTGCTATTGTCATTACTGGTAGTAGATAGACTTGAATGATTGGTGGGGCTTAATAAAGAGGTTTCAATGGGGACATGTTCATTATCATCATTGACATTGATAATCTCTATGTCTCTATCGCTATCAATTTTTGGTCTTTTTGGATTTGGTTCATTGTCTACCATATCTGGATCATATTTGTGTCCATTATGTTTTTCTGAGTCACTCATCTTGATTGAAAATTGTAAATAATAATTAAAAATCTAAAAAGGAAAAGTGAAAAGTGAAAAGGAAACTAATTGTAATATTGTATCAGTAAATAATTCTGTTTATTCGAGATGGAACTTATCTCGAGAGTTTAACCAATTATATTTTTATTTTTCTTCAATACTAAAATATGCTTCAGAAGAAGTGTTTTAACGTATTATCTATCACTCAAGCTGGGTTCTCTTTTTTTTGACAATAGAATATGTTCTGTAACAAAAATAAAAAAAGAGAACGAAAACTGTGGCTACTAGCAATTAATTGAATTGGATCTTTGAGTTGGATGAATCTGGAAGACACTAGTCAGGCATATATGGGCACGTATATACATATAAACAAGAAATTACCAACAATTTGTTCGATTCTTGGTCCTATTGCGATGTTTACACGTGGATATCACGTTTTCCGTGAAATAAAAACAACAAAAAAGGAAGGAAATAAAATGTCTCCTACTCTTCGTCAATGGTGATATTGCACATGTTTTTGTGTTTTATTCCGCGTATTCCTGAGTTTAATTCCGTCATATTTGTCTGTTTGAAAAGAGGTTTTTTTTATTTTCTTGAAAGGATGTAAGTTTCCACCTCATCCCTCTTTCTTTAAAGGAAACTCTTTTTATGTCTTTACGTCACTACATAGAATTAGTTATTAATTCTAACAGATGCCTTATAACTTATTCATGAAGATATGTGTTTAGGGGCAATCGAAGAGATAACCGGTAATATTTGGGAATAATATTAGGGGGAAGGCAGGGAAGTCAAGTGACATACAAAAAATATAGTTGATTAGTTGATAAATATATTGCAGCACACATGTGAAGAAAATCCTACCCTAAACTTGACTTCACAGCGTAGTCAGGTGAGAGTATAGAGAATAAATCTAAATAAAGCCATATAGAAAGAAATTGTCTACTAATACACATTGAACTAATATATCTGTGTATCATTGTACTCTTCTCTATATAGACGTATATATATATATATATACGTACTTATTATATAGATTTTTTTTGCTGTTTCAACCAGATATTAGAGATCTTAAAGTCATTGAAGTGCCCGTGGTAATACTACCAGGTATATCTAAATGGTGATGAACAACTGATCTTCTCTTTTGAGGTGTGCCATTTCTAGCTACTGACATGGAAGAAATACTATTCACAGGAGTCTGGGCCAAACTGCTTGCTTCACTACCAATACTATTACCACTACCTGGACTCTTTAAAGTTAAATCATTCAAATTTTCAGTAATAATATTATCTACTTTTTGTGCCTCTAGATTTGTCTTTCTGTTTCCTATTACTGAGTCTTCTTGATTATTTACTTTGCTATTATTATCCTGCACAGCCCCCTTACCACCATTAATTAATGTTGTTTCAGTAATATCATGTTCCAACTCTGTTTCTGGCACAGAATACAACATATCTTTACTACATGGTGTAGTAGTGGAACTTCTAGATGGGTGAGCACTAGCAGATGTTTGTATTTCATTGGACAAATTTGAACCACCTTTTTTCTTTGCTGAATCACTGTCGCTCTTTTTAACCACATTTTTGATGGGTTTCATTGGAGATGTGGCAATGTCAACCATTGACCTTGGTTTAATTGTTGGGGGTTGTGGTGAACTGTTTGTATTGGATATAGGACTAGTAGTGCTTGAGTTATCAGTTGTCTGTTTCATATTAAAAAATGGGTTCGATGTATGTTGTGCAACAGGAGATTGAATTTTCATTGTATGAGTTGAACCAATATCATCTGTAGAACTATTAGTAATAATACTGTCATTTTCATTTGTTAAAATTGTACCGTCCGCAGAAGTAGCTTTCCTGATCTCTGGGACTTTTGTTAATGTACAATTTGCACCGTCAGGATCAACACAAGTCTCTACAGCTTGGAACCATGGATCATTGAACAAGTCTTCTAGAGTGTACCTTGTCTCTGGGTTTGGGTCAGACAATCTCCACGCAATACGTGTACCATTTGTAGATTTGAAATGCCTCGATAATGAAAATTCACTGCCTGGACCAGGTTTATAATAATTCTTGTCTCTGAAATGTGGGTTCTGGTGTGAAACATAATTTTCATAAGAAGCCTCAAATTCTCTAAATCTTGCATCTGTGTTACATGATTCGATAAAAGGGATTGTACCGTTAATCAAAGTGAAAAGCATAATACCCAATGCGTAGCAATCCATACCTAATGGGTTATAAGGTTTTTGGAATTTTTCTGGATAATGTTTTTTGGTATCCCAATACATGACTTCAGGTGGAGTAAAAGGTGGCGAGCCAATCATACCTTCACATAGTTTCACTGGAGATGAGAAATCATGAGGGTCTGTATGATACCAATCAGAGATACCAAAATCTGTCAATTTACAGACCCCATCTCTCGTTATTAACACGTTTTCTGGCTTTAAATCACGATGTGCAATACCGTTATCATGACAGAATTTCACACCTTGTGCGACCTGTTTGAATAAACACCATTTTTCATTGATAGGAACAGCCTTCCAGCCAGTTCTCTCTATTAATTCGAAAAGATCTTTGACACCCAGTTCCATAACAAAACCCCAGCCTCTAGTCGTATAGGTTGTTGTAGGAACTTTTACTAAAAGAAAAGTTGGCATGATATGAATGTTATTCGACAAAGTCTTAGCAATAATGAACTCTTTAGAACATCTCTTGTAGAATTTTTCTGGTGTTTCGTCGTAGATCATATTTAGTTTTTTCAAAGCATAGACATCCTTCTGTCTATATGAAGATCTGATCTTTCTAACTTCGCTGGACCCACCTGAACCAATAGGGCTATTGTCTGCGTCGAAGACGAAGTTATCAGTTAAATGAACACTAAATTGTTTCATGTGGTCAGGTAAATAACTGTTTGGATCCTCGATGGGTAATGGTAACATTCTAATCTTGGAATTACCGTCATGTAAATAGAAACTTAGATCATCCGCCTTCCCCTCATTTCCAAAGGCAGTGCCTGGTCTACTGTTGATACCATATGGGTTGTAGATAACTTTTTCAGACGGCAAATTGTGTATACTTGTACATGTCATAATTTTACCATTGTTGTTGTTGTTGCTATTATTAGTAGTAGTAGTAGTGGTATTTGAATGAGAGACAAAAGTTTTTGATCTTGCTGGTGTGGCTAAATGATGTGTATATGGAGCGCCAGGATTCTTTTTGGTACTAATTGATTTGGCTCTGTGGATCTCTGCTACAGTTGCTCTATTGGTTAATGGTCTTTCGTCGCTAGTAGTAGTATTAGTATCCTTTTCATCATGCAACGGGGTCATAACGAATGGGTTTATGTTGTGCGCAGTCAAATCGGCCAAGGCCACAGAAGAATGTACTACATGGACATGGTTAACTTCTTTATTGGCGTTTCTTAGCCTAGTCACAAAGGAGGGTGATCTGTGACGGGCAGTACTCTCTGCATCTCTTTTAACGTTAGAGATAGGGGAGTTAGAATTGAGGTTGGAGACACCGATATTTGATGTGGGGCTGGTTCCATGAGGGATATGGGACTGAGTTGAAGTATTGTTATTTGGACTATTAATTGCGTGGGAGGAAAACGACTTTTTCCTTGATGGGGCAATGGAGTTACCACTTGCGATAACGTTGTATGACGGTTCTGGATGTTTATTTGCATTCAGTATTCTTTTTCCTAGAAGTTTTAAAACAGAGGGACTCTTATGAAGGTCTTTATCTTTGGAAGCAATAGAAGATGTAGGCATATTAGATTATGTGAAGGGGAAAAGGGGGAAAAAAAATACAAAAAAATCAGCAGAAAGGAAAAAGAATTAGATTAATCAATTTCTAAATTGTTGATGTAATTTATCTATATATATATTTATTTAAATATATTTTTCTTTTTATTATTAAGTCCAGTCAGACAACACCAAATATATTAGATGAAGCTAGATTAAATGTATATTTATTTGCTTGGAAATAAATTTTTTCGCAAAACAGTAGATATTATACCCCTTATGATGTGAAATTTTTAATGCTAACCGATACGTTAGAAACAAATAGAACAACAACGATATTTGAATATTAATTACAGTGCTTTTGAGGGACTATAGGGGTTTATAACGTCATTACAGACTTCTGGAATTGATTCTTAGATTATCTGGATAGTGCAAACTTATGTAAATAAATCAAGTACACAGGTAAAAAATGTCAGTTGTAATATATTGTGAATTATTTTTCAAATAAAATGATGGAAAGGAAGAAAAAGAAAAAGAAAAAAAAAAAAAAGAAAGAAAATCCAGAGTTTTTTTTTTTCTGACATTCAGAAAAATGAGACGTTTCCACTTTTGTCCATCAACAATTCCAAATTCCGTTTTTATGTGTGAAGTGGGTGGGGGAAGGGGAGTTTTTTTGTTTTCTTTTGTTTTCCTCGAACAAAGAAAATAAAAGGAAAATGGAAACGGAAACAGAAATTAATCAGCGGGATCAGCGGGATTCCATTCCGTGGCGGAAATAACTGAAGGAAGAAAAAAAGGAAAGTAAAAAAAAGCAAAAAAAGGAAATTTGTCCTTTTCTCTTTTCTTCTGTTTTCCCCACCCATCCCTAATTTTTTCTTTTTTCTTTTTTCTTTTTTCTTTTTTCTTTTTCTGTGCATTTCCAAATATTTTGTTTCTCTTACACGACTGAAGTTGCACGTGACGTGGTACAAAATTGTTTTTTGGCGGTTCGGCGGTTCGGCGGTTCAAAAAGAGTAATCAGAGATCACAGATAAGAGTTTTATGGTGTTTTAGATGGTTTTCAGGATTTCCAATTAGGGCTTCTTATAGGGATCTTCAGGTTTTAAAAATAATAAATGCACTATAGCACATGCACTTATCTACTCTATCTATAAGCAAATACATGTTGAACCTTCCCCCCTTCCCCTTGAAAATTTTATCAATAAATAAATAAATGACTCTGATGACTATATTAATCAATATATTTGATATAAATATATAATATATCTTATATAAATATAGTCTGTATATACACTTCTCCGCTTCAAAGGTGTGAAATATTTAAATACATGACATAAAACTTATTATCAGTTTAAAAAAAACGAAATAGACATGAAAAACTTTTTTTAATTGAACTGTTCACGTGATATTTTATCTAGTACATAAATTTCAAAACCAGGACGGACTCTGTTGTAGTATGGTATGGTGAAATTCTTTGTGTATTCCAGGGAAGCGCAAATAATATTAATAGTCATTCAAGTAATCAAGACAGTAATCAATTATAGGCGATAATATAATTACTAAAACGGTCTTATATATTGAGCGGCTTTAACGAGCTAATATATTTATTCAAAGTTACTTGGCTTGTTCCTTCTATTTATGTTTATATATAATATATAAATTATTTACAGGAAACGGTTATGGAAGATGATCTTTTATCTCCAGAAAACGTTGTCCTTTTATATGTTTTCTGGAGCTCGATCGATTATTCAGATTAGTACATTAATGACTTGACTGACTCACCCTAAAATTTATTACATTAATTTAGGTGCACTAGTGGATTAGAACTGCACCCCAATTCTCTAATCATGGTGATTAGTAATACACGTGGGACTTATTAAAACAATAGGTAAATTCTAGATTTGTTAAATCTTATGTAATCCAATCTCTTTATTATGCAGCATCTAATGTTGTAGCACGTTTATGGCTTATTAAGACAATAAACAGTTCTAGATTCATTCAGGATCTTATGTAATCTTGATGGTTATAACTTTTCTATTCCACAACAGACCCTGTTATAGTTTGGACTTAGGACCAATTTTTTTTTTAACAGTACTATTGAACAAATAGTAAGGGCAATAACAAATATATAAGAACGTTATATATATCTAGGAGAATTAAACGATTATTGCTTTTTCTTTTTTGTATTATACAATGTGCTACATATTTATAAATCAACCAAACATATAAATTTAGATACCAAGATACTGGTCCTTTATATATGAACTATGGGTTGATAGTTTCTTATTTGAGGTTCTGTAACGACTGTCACCGTAGATACATTTCTCCTTAATTAGCTATTTAATGTTTCATGAATGTTTCATTTTGTTACATAGTATTCAACAATCATGTGGGATTTACCAACAAACCCTAAGTCCTATAAATCCAAACTAGAACTTTTCTTGACAATCATCACAAAACCCTAACAATATTTTTATAATCATAATATCAAGGTTGATCTACGACAGAGACGACAAGTTCGAGCGCAAGTGGTTTAGTGGTAAAATCCAACGTTGCCATCGTTGGGCCCCCGGTTCGATTCCGGGCTTGCGCAATTTCTTTTTTGACAATATGTAATATTCTTGATATTACTGTTTAGGGTTTTGTTTAAAAAAATGAGGGTCGACGATATTTTTCTACACTTTCCGTTTTGCAAAATTTCACAAACATACATAAAAACAGGAGTAACCAACATAAGTACAAGAGTGCAACCAAGAAGAACAACAACCAAGCAACGAATAAGAAGAAAAGAAGAAGGAACCAAGGATTACATAAATTTAGATATATAGTATATAAGTGTATACTATTAGGTTATCTTAGATTAGGGATATAGATATACAGATATATAGGAATATTACATCTAGAGATATAGAACGAGTCTATACCTTATATCTATTCAAGTGAAATATTATTGAGATTTCAACAAGATTAACTGTTATCAGAAACACATAACTTCAGGATTATTACAGAAAAACTAAAAAAAGCGTTCCATGCGGGACTCGAACCCGCAGTCTTCTCCTTAGGAGGGAGACGCGTTACCATTACGCCAACAGAACAGACATAAAACACTTTCCCCAGTTAGTTGCTCGTATATGATAGTATTAATTAGTTGGACAACGTCGAAGTGAAAACAATACATATACGGCCCTTAATATATTATATTGCTATATTGAGCTATTAGGAAATAAGAGTTTATTACTGTCATTTCCATAAGAATTATTTTTAATTAGTTTTTCTGTATATTATGTGGTGTACGGATGTACCATAATATCAGGAAGACATTTTATTTGTCACCAAATATGTTTTTCGAAGATTTGAAAAGAAATGAAAAACTCTAAAAGACTTGAAATAAATACAAGAATGTATACTGTATACGCTGTATAATAAGTATATACATGTATTTAATACAAAAAAAAAGCAAGCATCTATAACTTAATGATGCCTGCCATTACCATGGACGCTGAGGGCTCTAAATTCCAACTTGTTTTAAGTCCAAATAAAATCTTTAATCTTTTTGGTAATATTTGCCATTATATAATTTTTGTGAACCCCAATTTATTTTATTTTAAACTCTATTTAAGTCACAATCCTTTTGAAACCTCCACATACTCTTTTCTTGTAATGTTTTTATGTAATCTTTATGATAGGAAAAAATGATAATCAAGTTACTATATGCATCAATCAATTTCTTAAAACAATTAATTATATCAATGAGACATCATTATAATACCAATTACTTTTCCAACATTATTTCTTTTATTTTCCATTAACTTAACTATAACTATCCTTGTACATTTACCAAAATTGATATAGTACTAAATTTTTTTATCTTGATAAAACAAGAATTATCATAAATGTTTGAAAACAATTATTACCTCTGAGAGATACTTAGTTATATACACAAATAGAATAATAGCATAAATATTTAAACATATTTAAATCTGTTTTATAAAAATTATACAAATATGATTGATTTTAAAAAAAATTATTCAGATATGTTTTTAAACAGAATCTGAATGGAATGTTTTTAGGTATCTTCAATAAAATAAAAATATTGGAAATTTAACTAACCATAGTGTAATTCCAATAATTCAAAAATTTGCCTAACTATACTTTAACAATTTATTAAACCTATAAATTCAATTGAAATTTAATTTTTTGTAAATCACTAATTCTTCATAAAGTAATACTGCTGTAACCATTAAAATATTAATTAATTAAAAAAAATAAAACTTTTCTTAATACATTTTTGTATTTTTACTTTAAAGTCTATATACACTTATCTACTGTATAGAAATAACGATGCACACATACAAATATATATATTATTGAAGAATATTAAATGCCAATGCCTCTATTTAATAATTATGTTTGCCTGTATATGGAATGTTACTAAATCCAGTATTCATTTTGAAAGGTGAATTTTCAAGATCAAGGTCTTTGAAATATGCTCTACTGGGTGTGAAAATTCGGGTATCGTTGTTTTGTTCAACACCTACAAATAATGGGATCTCTAATGGAACAGGTTTTTTAGAATTGGGATTAAAATCACTTTTCATCTTGTCAAATGTTATTGGTATTGTATAATCTGTATTTTCACTTATTTTTTGAATATTATTATTACTAGTTACCATAGTAAGGTCAAATGGTTCATTTTCTTTGTTCGACTCCATTATATTATCATTTGATTGAAAGTATTGATTATTACTCTTATTGTTATTGCTATCAAAATACACAGATGTATCATTAAAACCATATTTATCCAATTTTCTATCATTTAATTCATTTAAATTTAAATTTAAATTTAAATTTCTAATATAATTCTTTTTGAAAAATTCCCCCTGAGGTGGGATAGTAGAGACCAATGGTACTGGTTCATTTAATGAATCTGTTAAATTTTCATCATAAGTGTCAATAACGTCTAAGGGCGAAATACTATGACGTGGACCCTTTAACTGGTGCAAAGAGTTAAAGGAATCATTATATAATTTGAACATTGGTTTTGAAACAATGGAATCAGAATCTAAAATATCTAATTCTAAAATAGAATCCTCAGCTGTTAATAGATGGTTCTGATAAACTCCATTTCTACTCTTCTCAGTTTGCTTAACTATCAAATCGTCTACATGTTTGCTAATTGTCACATATATGTAATCTCTAAGACCATTATGTTTCCCCTCTCTAATTAACTCGAAATACACGAAAATACAACAAATTAATGCAAAGATTAGCTTTGCCATAAAGAAAGTCCAAAGAATAAAAGAAAATAAAACAAAAGAAAGTAATACAGCTTCTTCGTGATTCGTGACTGCAATTGCTCTTATTTTATTTATTAATCCTTCGAAAGTCTCTAAATCATTTAAATTCATTCCATTCCCATTATGAACAGTGATAAGGATTGACCACAGAGTCAATCCATTAATCACTTGTCTTGGAGTATCACAAAGAATCAATCCTAGACAACTTTTAAGTTCAAAAAACACAAAAAATGCAAACCACTGAAATGTACCATGCGATGAAATTTTATCAAAAATACAAAACTTAGAATAATTGGTAATTGAAATATAATTTCTTGAAACATTATTAACGTAGCATTCTGTAATATTATGAGTTTGATAAATTCTAATCCCTGATATTATATTCCACAATAGAAGTACAATCGAAAATAAAATGCATGCACTGAATAACCATTTAGATATTCTAAAAGGCAGATAAGGTTTAATAACGTTATTGGACCATTTATTATATGCTAGTAACTTAATACATGTGTAAAGATCCGATATAAAAAATGCAAATTTCAAAATAACAAAAAGCCATGTTCCAAATATATAACTTAATAATGTTTTAAACGAATAGTTCCTGAATAACGACTCATCAACGTCAGTAAAAAGCCTTTGATTGATATGCTTCTTCCAAATGTTGCTTCCCATCTACAAGCTCATTCAATTCAAATAAAACACAGCTACACACTCCAATAGGTAATATAGCAATAAAGCAATTAATTAACCAGTTAACGGCGTAATGAACCATCTAATTATAGATACTGGGTTAAACAGTTCATGAAACATTGAATCCTAACCGCTTACAAGTCTTCGATCAGCTAAAACAACTGATATCTAATTGAAACTTGAGATAAGATTTACTCACAAAAATATTCTTATTTCCTTTTCCTGAAATGCAATTTTTTTTTTTAAATTTTTCATTTTTACAACTCTTGAAAAAAATTTACATTCTCCAAACGATTTGAAGAATGTAAGAAAGTTAAATTCTCGAGTAATGAAACAGTGGGAAATAAAAACTAAAATCGAAAAAATGTATGAAGGTAACGAGGAGGACGGGGGGAGGCAAAAGCAACATTAATGGTGATATTGGAAAATTTAAGATATTCATTATGTAATCTTATTCTTTGGAACATATAAAAGCTATCTTTTTCGTCTTATTGTTGAAATTGTTATTGGCGAGTCGAATTCATAACCATATTTCTAATCTCATACATAAAACTATTCCTATCTTGGTTTGTTAAAGTCGAATTTGTTGTAAGAATGTCATGTTTATTCATTATATCTGGTTTATTTATTCCGGCCACAAACCATGAACCAACCATTTTGTTCCATTTATTCTCTTCATGATAGAATTTCTCTAAGGTATACGAGTCAATAAAATATTTATTTGTAATATTATTATCATTATTGCTGTTAAAATTCCACATTGATGAAGACCTTATTAATTTTTGATTCATTGAACTATATTCTCTTGGAAAATTTTTTGTAATCTTCCTTGTTAGAGGTTCATCCTGCCTACTACTATGTGATCGAAGGAATATAGAACTATTCTTTTGTTTTATTGTTGACGTTGGAAAATCTGGTATGTCTACAAAAGGATCTGGTTCATCTCCACTAATACTCACCCATCTTTGATTTTTTTCATCTAAAACCATATTATTTACAATAGTTGGTTTTCTTGAATGAGATCTTCTTTTCAAATTTTTTAAACTGTAAATTTGATCTTTATTCTTAGAGTTCATTCTTTTCTTTCCATGGATATTCATTTCATCAAATCTATGCACTAAATCATCATCGTTGTCATCAATGTTTTTAATCCACTGGCTTGTCTGAGGATTATAATAAATATTTTCGTCGTCAACATCGTTATTATTATTATAATGCTTCACACTTATAGTATCAAGGTTGTTTGAATCTATTGTTTGTTTAATAGTTTTAATTCTGGACATTGGGTTCCTCCTTAATCTACCTGAGTCCTCTCTTGCAATACTATTAGAGTCTTCATTACTATCATCTTTCGAAAATGACAATGGCTTCATTCTATTATGATTGGATAAAGTAGAAAGATAATGCGGCTTTAGAATATTATTATCAGGGAATCCATCATCTATTGTCTCTTTCTCATCAGAAAACTTGTTCAAAAAATCTTCATCTTTATCTGCTCTTGATATAATGACTGTATCATTATATTTGTCTAATAATTGGTTATAACCATCATATCCGTAATTTGGCTCGTCGTCTACATATTCTCTAATCGGTGAAATGTGTGTGGACCCTGTATTATTCAGTTTAGTGACAGAGGACTTAAATCTAACAGAATTCGACCTAGTAGGTTGTCTTAGATTATGATATGAAACAGAGTTCTTCAATTTATCATTAGAATTTAATATTATCTCGTTATTTTGATTCCTAACATGTAAATCCATCATTGATTTTGGATGTTTCAAATATTGTTTCTCTTGTGATAACTTATTATGAGGTACCACATTGTTGACTTGATGTGCAAATAAATTACTCCTCTTTGTTGGAGATCGATCTTCTCTGTGACTTTGTATCATTTTATCAAAGTATTGTTGCTTGGATTGGAAGTCATGGTATTTATTATGAGATGGATTCATAGCCCTATCATTTTGATCGTTTTGATTCCAATAGATATCTGTAGATTGATTTACAACTGCTGTAGCGTCAGAGCTGATTGTGGATACAGAATTGGTGCCTAAGTTTGGCATGGACTTTCTATTCAATAAGTGTTTTCTATGGAACAATCGTTTTGCAGCATCTTTAGTATATTGAGTTTCAACGTCTTCAAATGATGAATCGTTCATTTAAGATCCTCTTGCTTAAAAAAAAAAAAAAAAAGAAAGGTTTATAAAATTCTCTTTGTGTATATTTGTAGAAAATAACGTAATTTGAATTCTCTGTTGTTGAATATCAAACCCCCCCTTTCAGAGTGTATATGATCCCTCTTTAATCAAAAGTACTTATTTAAAAATTAACTGTTTATTATTGTGCCGATGATCTGATTCCAGAGATTTTTTGCTGTTTACATTTTAAAGAAAACTAAAAAAAAAAAAAAAATTACTAAACATCATTAAGAATTCTTTTGCTTAAAAAGAAAGCAATGCATATATAAACGACTATAAAAAACATGTACTTGAAAGAATGAACACCAATTGATTGTGGGGAATATAAATAAGCTCTTTTTGAAAATATTCTTGTATCAGATCCTTTTTCCCTTTTTTTTTCTTTGCTACATAAAATATTTTCAGATTGCTTTGAGTAAACAAACAAATATAGTGATTAATATTAGATGGCATCACCTTGCAAGCCAATTAATGTCAGACCTTGACGTACTCTGACTCTATTTGTAATTTTATTATCACCAAATACTTCAAGTAACTTCAATTGTGGATTCTGTTTACCTAATAGTTCAATGACTTGATCAGAAACACAACGAACAAACCCCAAATCAATATATTGTAATTTAGGACATTCCATCAAAGCAAAAGCCTGATCTGTCAACAATTTCACACTATTAAGATCTAATGTAATTAGTGAATTCTTGGCAGAATTTAATAACAATTCCTGTATTACAGGGTCTTGTAATTGAATACAACGTCTAATGCTAAAAGATTTTAATGAAGGCAGCGAGATTTGACTCAAGAAATATACTAGTGAGTCTGTAGATAGTTGATCTAGTTCTGCAAGGCTCAAAGTTTCCAACAAAGTGTTTACATTATTATTTCCAGAAAGAAATGCACCCATCCCGTTAATGACAAAGGAATCTGTCAATTCCAAGCAACCATCTAATGATAAGTGTTTTAAACTAGACCCCACCTGACCCAAAATATTAATTATAACTTCATCACTTACATCCTCTTCATTGTATGGATACTGAATCTGTAATGTATGGAACGATGAGCATTGTAAATATTGAGGTATTATTGCATAATTTGATATTGAATCTAACCTGGATAATCCAAGAGATTCTAAAACAGTCTGTGATGTAGTCAATAAAGTAATCAAATTTTTATCGGTAATTCGGTGTGTATTTGATATGTGAAACTCCTTTAACCTGCTAGCCATTATTTCAAAAAATTTATCCCATGTTTTTTCATTGATTAAAAATGGTCCATCTAATTTCAATGATTTTAATTTTGTCAATTTCTCTGCCAGATAGATTAGTGCTTCATTATTTAATTGTCCACACATATTCAAAGTCAAATATTCTAAATGTGGTGAAAAGATGGCAAGTATCTTATAACCTTCATACGATATCTTAGAACAATCATGGAATGTTAACGATTTCAAATCGGTCTTCAAAAATAGTTGTAGTGTAGTATCATCAAGGGCTCTATTCTTGGACAATGCCTTGGCTAAGGAATCCAGATTCTCATTGGAAATACCACCAAGATTTTCTCTTAATTGAGTGAATAGTGGATTATTGCTTGTCTCTGAAGAATTCTTCTCCCAGGTGACAATATTTTCAGTGATTTTATTTACACATAATTCCTGCAAACTTGGCAATGTCTCTGCTTTTCTATCCAATAGAACCTCTGCTCTCTTTTTTCTCTTACGTCTGTTCTCTAAGATTTGTCTATTTTTGATTTTTTTCAAATCCCTATCTTGTAAATTGTCTGCACTCTTAGATAACACCTGTATCTTAGAACTCTCTTCATCGTATTCCTCTTCATCACTATCTTCATTAAACTTATTTATTTTTGTTTGGTTTACTAAGTCCTTATCAGTTTCTGTTTCTTCTTCATCACTGCTACTAGCACTATGACCATCACTTGAATCTTCGATCTCATCATCAGACTTCGTTCTTTTAATAAGTGTTTCATCATCTACCGAATTGTCTAATTGCGGTTCCTGGCTCTCCTTTCTATGAAATCTATCCTTCCATCTTTGTTTAATAGCCTCTGCACTAATACCTTCTTCTTGTAAGAATTGAGTTAGTGCAGAATTTGGTCCTTTAATTCCACTCGTTCTATTTCTACGTCTACTTCTATACATTGACAGTTTACTACACGTAACCAAAAAAGTAAATTAATCCAAAGCACTTTTCCTAGGTCTCAACTGTGGATTTCCAAAGTATTCAATAACGTTAACTAATCGTGTTCACAAGAGAAAATATTGTTGTTTGCCAGAATCTTTCTTTAAAAACACAGCGAAGGGAAATCCTCAAAAGATAAAATACAATTAAGTTATATTAAAGAAAATAAATGATTTCTTGAAGTTTGTCCAGATACAGGAGGAGCACAGCTTTTGTGCATTATAAACTATATAATACTCAAATAGTACGAATGGATCAAATCAGTAATATGTGTCTTGAGAAAGATCGGGATCTTTCACTAGTTTAATTTTTTTTTCCTTAGTAAACCCAATCAGCATGTAATAAATAAAGTGGAAAACGTTTAGAAGCCAAGGAATACACACACACAAAGACACCATTCTGATGATGTGTTTTAAACAACATATTCACAATGCACTGGATAAGCCATGGATAAGATTGTTGAAGATACTTTTTTTGCCGGGCCAGCCACCACTACAAGTAGATCGTATAATATCATCGAGATTGATATGTTAAACTCTAGTTCTAGTTCTAGTTTTAGCTTTATTCTCCTAGAATAATTTTTACCATCAAACCTTTGATGATGGTAAGATAGAAAGGTTCATAAAGAGAAGGGACAAACATGTACAAGCAGGAGAAAAGTAACCAAGAAAAAATATAATAAATGAATACTTAGATATGAGAGAGAGAGAAATACACACACACACACACACACATATCTATATATATATATATACCCTTCTAAAATGTAAAATATTGTGAATGCTTCCTGATTATTGTTGTTCCCCTATATATTATATTCTTGAAATTACACAATTAATAAGAATTAGCCACAATAGGAAGCCTACACACAGGAAAAACAAGAACATAGTCTTCGACTAAACACTTTATAAAATCATCAATCTGCAGTGACATTAGGATAAGGTATGTCACATACATAATTGTATACTAATGCCAAATAACTATTCCATCTTATCACGTTTTCCGTTGTGGATCGATAACAAATATAATCCCACTACAGCATCTAATAATTCTTGCCTCTCTATATATTTGGATTGGCTCCCTTGTTTTTCATGGTTCCTATTATTGTAGTGACTCGTCCAACAAGTTCATTCTATATTTCTGTCACCAAAAGTAACCTTCACCTGCAATCTAAATAAGCATTTTGTAACAGACTTCATTTCACTCTTCACGGGAAGTTGGTATTATTATTATCATTATTATTATTTTTTCACTTCTCTCTCGAGCAAAACAAAATTAAATCAATAAAGAAAAGTGAATGTATAAGAGGAAAGGAAGAATGAATGAATAGAACAAAAAAAAAAAGTCACAGTGACTATTAATGTTACTAACAAGTTTTAAAAAAGAAATGGAAGAGAATTAACAGAAGCTGTTTTAATAGATATATATTGCTTCATAATATTGGAAAGTTTGAACGGTAAAGATAGCTTTATCCGTTATTTCATTTATCTTTTTCTTTTAAGATCTCATTATGATGAATAACAGAAATAACAAGAAACTATGCATGATATGTAATGTGAAAGAATCAAATTATAAATGTCCAAAATGTGGGGTATTATACTGCTCTTTGATATGTTATAAAGATGAAATAAAACATGTACATAACAAAGAGACATTGACCACAAAGCCAACCCCAGAGATAGATAACCCAAACAAAAGATTGCGTAATGATACATTCAGGAAAATATACGAGGAATCACCAGAATTGCAGGATCTGTTAAGATATAACACAGTTAAATTTCATTTAAATAAAGTTTATAAAATCATCACTGCAAGTAACAATAGTGATTTAAATACTGAGAATAAAAATCAATTGGCTAGTCATTATCTAAATACTTTAAGGTATGGTGGTATACATTACAATGAAGCTATTGAAGAATTTTGCCAAGTTGCACTGTCTAGATTAGATGATACTCAATGATGAAAGGAAAAGAGAGAGAAAGATGAAAGGGAGGGGAGGAGAAGGAGAAGAAAAAGAAGGTTGGAGAATATACACAATCAGTTGCACCATCTTAAAAAAACATTGATCTTTTTTGAATCAACAATAAATTGTTTTATAGTAAATAAAACAATATGTTTTGTTTTTGAATTAAACCATGGATAATCAGTTCAACAACAAAAAAATTAATTGTAATTTAAACAAATATTAAAACATAAAAAAAAGATTCAAACAACATAGATTTATCTTGCAATCTATTACTAGTGTTGTTTTTCCTTTTTCTGGTATTAACTATACAAGATTATGTTAAATTCATATTGGATTTTAACTAGTCATCTTGAAATAAAGAAAAAAACAATATTGGTAATAATTTAGGTATGAAGTAACAGTTTGGTAACAGTGGTTATTCCCCAGCAATATATTTTTGATATAAAATAAAGTAAAATACGAATAAATCCGATAAAATTTAACACCTATAATATAAAAAACTTTGATAGACAGTGACCAGATGAAATAAGAGAGGAAAATATCGTCATACTTTCTACTTTCTCTTTATATGTATTTAAAACAATATTATATACAAAAATATGAAACAAGAATAATTTAAAAATAGAAATTAAATGAGAAACTTCTAATCCCTCTTGAGGTAACACTACTAGATAAATACTATGCACGTGTTAGAATAATTCGTTTGTGCAATTTTTATTTCCACATATTATATCCTTTTTTTTTTTTTTTTTATTAAACGTCAGAAAGTATTATATAAAGTTAAAGAAAATATGTAAATATGCATGGTTATGGAACCATCCTTTTGTAAACTAGTTAATTAGGTTTAGTAGTTCATAAAGATGTTTTGCCTCATCTATGCAATAGAGTGGCCTTATTTTGGACCCGAATTATCTTAGTACTTGAAATTGTACACACACACACACACACACACACACACACACATACATACATACATATATATATATATATATATATATATATTATTTCAAAAGCATATTTTGTAGCAATAATAAAAATCCCACTCAATATATAGAGATACAGAAAGAATATTTCGTTATCTCTTGAAACTAACTTTTTTACCTATAATGATCTTCTTGTTTTTCATTTTTAGAAACGTCATATATATATCTGCATACAATATTCATTAGGATAAATAAAGGAAACCGACCGTGAATTATTAATCACGTTTTATATTATTCTGGAATATATCTTGAATGGTAAGAATATTCATCTATTACATATTTGCTTTTTACTACATTCCCCCCTCCTCCTTTCTCTATCCTTGAGCAAAAAAGAAATATTGCATCAAGCAAGTGTGGAAAAAAAAAGTCCATCTCCCGGGGGTGAGTCGAACACCCGATCTCAAGATTACTTCCAATATTACAGTCTTGCGCCTTAAACCAACTTGGCTACCGAGAGAACTCTGCGACGGGGTCTGTTGTAGATCAACCTTGATATTATGATTATAAAAATATTGTTAGGGTTTTGTGATGATTGTCAAGAAAAGTTCTAGTTTGGATTTATAGGACTTAGGGTTTGTTGGTAAATCCCACATGATTGTTGAATACTATGTAACAAAATGAAACATTCATGAAACATTAAATAGCTAATTAAGGAGAAATGTATCTACGGTGACAGTCGTTACAGAACCTCAAATAAGAAACTATCAACCCATAGTTCATATATAAAGGACCAGTATCTTGGTATCTAAATTTATATGTTTGGTTGATTTATAAATATGTAGCACATTGTATAATACAAAAAGAACAAGCAATAATCGTTTAATTCTCCTAGATATATATAACGTTCTTATATATTTGTTATTGCCCTTACTATTCGTTCAATAGTACTGTTAAAAAAAATTGGTCCTAAGTCCAAACTATAACAGGACCCAGGAACTTGAGCTCGCGTGGCGTAATGGCAACGCGTCTGACTTCTAATCAGAAGATTCTGGGTTCGACCCCCAGCGTGAGTGCTCTCTTCCCTATCTTCCATCCGTGATAGTTTAATGGTCAGAATGGACGCTTGTCGCGTGTCAGATCGGGGTTCAATTCCCCGTCGCGGAGTTTTTTGCATCAATATGTAATATTCTTGATATTACTGTTTAGGGTTTTGTTTAAAAAAATGAGGGTCGACGATATTTTTCTACACTTTCCGTTTTGCAAAATTTCACAAACATACATAAAAACAGGAGTAACCAACATAAGTACAAGAGTGCAACCAAGAAGAACAACAACCAAGCAACGAATAAGAAGAAAAGAAGAAGGAACCAAGGATTACATAAATTTAGATATATAGTATATAAGTGTATACTATTAGGTTATCTTAGATTAGGGATATAGATATACAGATATATAGGAATATTACATCTAGAGATATAGAACGAGTCTATACCTTATATCTATTCAAGTGAAATATTATTGAGATTTCAACAAGATTAACTGTTATCAGAAACATATAACCTAAGGGATATAATACAATTGCAAATATTTTTCCGATAAAAGATATTAGATAACTAATTGGTCATGAATGTTTTGTAATAGTTATTTTAGAAAAAATGTAGGTAATAAAGCACTTAGACAGAAATAAATTGAGTGTGTATATCTAGATATATTAGTAAAATAATTTCATACTACTGTAATTAATAACAGGTATATAATACTTGTAATTAACTATACTTTCTTGGATAATATAGATGTTGTAACAGTAATTTTGCTTATAGATTATATCGAATTAGATGGATGAAAATACACAAAAAATAATCAGTAAAGTAAAGACCAAACGCAAAAAAAGGATATATATATATATATTGCATATCTCTTTATTACTTTGTTTAATTCTTTTTACAGTAGTCTCACAAGATATCATTATATCTTGCAGATTTTTACACCATAAATAATTTTTCTTCCGACAATAGCATATTGCAAAAATCTTATAAAATAAATTGAAGAAATATATTAGATGCATACTTGTTCCTTAGGTTATTGAACTTATATGCTGTTATTTTAAATTTAATGAAATTCTTAGCTTAGAAAAAAAACTTCCTTTATTTTTTTTCTATATTATTCTTTATATTTTTTTATAGATACAATTCAGTATATAATTTCTGGTTAATATCTCTCAGATAGAAAAAATTAATAATTATTTTGTATATTATCTTCTATTCCATGCAGTTTTTATTTATTTATGATATTTCTTCTGTCATTAAGAGTTTTGGGTAATATTTTGTCTATAAGATATAATTTTTTATTATGAACCTAACTATGTTGTATAGTGTTGCAAAATAAATTTTGGGAGTAACTAATAAATGAATTAAATATCAATTCATATATAATCATCTTTTTGTTTTACATCAATATTTATTTACATATTTTTTGTATTATATGTAGCTACACTAAAGTTTGTCACTTTTAAATATTTTACAGTATTGTTTTTAGGATGTGTTTAATATATATATGTAGATTATTTGTAAATTATAAAATTTTTTTGAAGTTAATAATCATTTTTTAGTATTATATTTTTCAAGTAAGAAAAAAAATTTTTAATATTCTTTTAACGCTTTTTGATTACATAATATAATAAGTGTTTGGATGTGAATAATTCATTTTGGAATATAGATTTTAGCTTTGCTTTTTAAGATATTTTTTTTTAAAAAAATTTCTTATTTGTTTATTTTTTAACCCTCAAGTTTATCTTTTAATAAGCGTCTCATTTGTTACTAAACAATTAATTTTTACAAAGGAAAACGATTATATTTTTAAAGATGTACTTAAGTAAAAACAAAGACCGACAAACATAAAGTAAAACAATATTCACTAACACTTTCCTAACGAATTACAGGTATTTTACAGTGCTTATGGTTACTAGAAAAGAATATTCTAAAATGAATAAGGGACCAATTAAATTTCAATATACATAAACCCATAATAATTTTGTCTCATGTTTTCGTCCTTTTAAACTTTTTATATATCATCATCTTTGTATTGTACATGTAGAAGGAGATCTATAAATTATCATATAATTTTTATATCATATAAATATATAATAATAATAATAATAAAGAATGTATATGCTGGAATGATATATTACTGGTTTGAGTAACATGTAAATATATCAAAGAGGAAAAATGTTTGTTTTGCACATTCAATATTACGGAGATAAGATCAAACAGAATCGAAATAAATTAATATATTATGAAAAATTGTCAAAAGGTAAATATATATAAGTAGACGATTTTACTTATTAATTTTCCAATCCGGATGAATAAGTTATATACATTTTATCATATGTATCTTTTTGTATTTACATAATTATTAATTCCCAATCAAAAGATGGAGTGAAAATTACTCTACATATCAACATAATAATAATACATAATAATAACATATAATATGAGCACCGACGCTAAGAACATGTATACTAATATTATTCATCCAGAGGAATATATTACAATGTTAAATTAGTACAGGTACTGATTTTTAACAACATATTTAAAAAGAGCAACATTCCAAATTATGATAAAAGTTAACAGATTTTTCTTTTTACTAATCAATATAAAAAAAAGATAAAAGACAGTAAAAATTACTCAAATAAATAAAAAACTAAGAAAACTAAACAATTACTACATTTGCAACTATAAAATGACAAAAAACAATTCAATCTCATTCTTTGATTTTTATTGCCTTTGAAATTTATGCCTGTCAAAATTAAAACTGAAGTTAAAATTCAACAATATTAAAAGATATTATTTTTATTAAACACAGAAGAAAAAAAAGGTAATTTTTAGATTACAAAACAACAAAGATAATCCTTTTAAACTTTACTAACTCTAATTAAACAAATATAAACAACCTTTCAAATATTAAGTAATATATCAATTCAATTAATATACTACTAAAAACAAAAATGAAAAAAAAAAATGAAAATTCGCTAATAGAAGTGCAAAATGTTATAGTACAAGTTTTTATATTTTCATATTTTTTATATATTCTAACAACCGCTTATAATTATCCTTTGAAAATTAAAACTTTGTATATTTATCCATGTTCTATTAACTTTAGACCAAAACTATACAAGTTTATTATAGGAAAATTTTTATGGGATATATAAAGGACAGATTTTTTAATAATTTTCTTTATCAAGAAGTATCACGATGGGTTCACAGAAGTGATAATATAATATCATAAATATAGCATTAAAAAAAATAACTTTCAAATTATCCACTATAACTTCATTATTTTCAACTAATATAACATCATATTACAACTCATATAACAAGAAGAAAACTGACATTTCTTCTATTCTTGGTTCAAATCTTTAATATGTTAATAATAGTTAACTGTAGTGATATCAAATGTCTAATCAATAATAAACTATACTATAACGTAACGAATGTATTCCCTTGCTATCCATAAAAGTGTATAAATAAACTAGTATTCTATCCAAAATAACCTATTTCAGACCCTTCTCAATTTAAAAAATATATAAAAATATATATCAAATATCAAAAAACCCTAACTTTTTCTATACAAAAACTAATAAAATTTTTATAAAATCCAGTATTATCCAAAAAAAAAGTTTTTCTGCTTTCTTCTTCTACAAAAATGAAAAAAACAAAAAAATCATAATTTTTAAAAGAAGTTCTTCTATTATTACTAAATTTTCAAAAATCAAAAAAAAATAATTGAAATCATCTGATGTTTATTATGAAAGAAAGCTCACCTTACCTCACCTCACCTCATATTATTATAAGCACCAAAAACATAGGACAGAAATTCACAGATTGAAACCACAAGAAGTACATATTAAACAAAAATGTTTGATATACCGTTAAATACTTCAACATATGTCAACAAACATCGAGTGAGAGAAAGACAATTACGATACAGATATATCAATGAACATACCAAACAATACAAGAAATATAAAAGACATGTCTATAAAAAGAAAGTATTGAGAAGAAAATATTCAGATAAGAAGTATGGGTCTTCCTTGGATGAAAATTTTAATAATAGTGATAATAATAATAATAATAATAATAATAATCACCCTGAAAATAAAGAATATTTGATTGCTAGAAGAAATAAAAAGAAGACCAAATGGACTACAGTTTATAGACAAGATACTCAAGAGTTGGAAAGTGAAAATAATGCATTTGGATCTACAAAATATGAGGAAGATAGTGATATATCTGAAACAGAAGATACCAATAATGCTAACATTAATGATACTGATGAGGATGCTCGAATAAAACTTGAGAAAAATGATTATGACAACGATGATGATAATAATAATTTAGATGAAGAAGAAGCTTTCATATCAAGTAAGGATGAGAGAAAGTATTTTTCTCGCCACCATAAACCACAGCAGACATATGAGTTATGGATAGATCCAAATACTACAACCCATAGACCATTACAAACCAATATAATAAGGTTTCCAGAATGGTCAAAGATAGAAACCAGGACTAAATCAAAATTAAAAGAGCCTCTAGCACAAACAACTCATAGTCTAAAGGCATATCAAAAACTGATCCCATATGGTTTATATTTGCATGATCCACATAATATAAGAAGCTATCATAAAAGACCTACTATACAAGACAAACATATAGAGACAATGGTTATTTTACTCCGTATCCATATATCAAAGCTAAATTGGTCAATGGCATACAGAATATTTGCTTTACTGATCAGGATACCGCGTGTTGATATCAGGTCTATTTGGCAATATGGTGTGGCGATTTTAAATCAGAGTGAGAATCTGATACAATGTCTAACTTTCTTGGAATGGATGCACAGTGTATTTTCCTCAAAGAAAGCTTACCATCTTACTAATTTATTACAATCTGATCCTGTGTTCAGAGGCTCTTCACGTAACCATACAGCACAGTTCTCACTTACATGGTTATGGAACTCTTTAATATTTTATTCTACCAAAGGTGATCAAACAAGAAGAAACAAACATGATTATGAAAAAGGTAATATGAGAATAAAAGAAGAAGATGGCGAATATGATGAGCATTTTCTTAATAAATATGATAAAGAGGGTATGGAAAGATTGATTGAGAAAATAACTGAAATGATTTTAAGCCCACCGTTTATGGAGGATGGTGAGGTATGGTTTATTCTTGCGATGTGTCATATGATGAGAGCTGATTATACATCATTATGTTATTTAAATAGACGTGGTGGACAACCGTCATATGAAAGAGAAAAATTGTATGATCAGGTGACTTATGATATTAATAAAGTGATAAAATATTTAAAGGAATCTAAATCAAGACAAAATGGTGATTTTTTATATCCAAATGATTATATAATGAGGAGTCTAACACAGATAGAATTACGTGTATCGGAAGAAGAAGAAGAAGAAGATGATGATGATGATGATGAGGAGGAGGAAAAAGAAGCTAGTTTGAGTGATGACACTAATAAGCCTACACACATGTCTCTAACTAATAAAAGAAAAGAAATAAAAGAAAACAATAGGTATCAACTTGTATCACAAGCAATAAATGAGTCAGATCTACGACCTGAATTAGACTCTAGTTTATTCCAAGTTGAAGAAGAAAATAGTTTCTTGCAAACTCTAGACATGCCTGATTATTTACTTGAAGATGATTATAATAATCAATATAATGCCCATGATAATTTTTATACAAATAGAGATAGTGATGATAGAGAATATTCAAGTGATTGAACTGTTTTAGTAACGAAATAAGACATAAGAATTTCCAGCTTGCTAATACCGTTTTTCTACTCTTTTCTTTTCTTTTCTTTTCTTATTTTTTTATAGCCTAACTACAACTACTAATTCGTCTATATAGCAGTGAACTGATAATATAAGTTTTCCTGTTTTAAACCAAATCTGAATTGAATCAATATTCAAATGACAAAGAAAAAAAACTTCTATCTACCTCTTTATCCAAGCTGTTACTATTTTTTTTTGCTAAACAGGAATAATTGTCGCAAAACAAGGGTTTGTAAATATTTTTGTTATCTATTGAATTATTCGAATAAAAATACTTAGGGTTTCTCAAGAAATTTCAACTTTTACCATTGCGATTTTCCCTCTTCTCCTTTTCTTGCAATGGAAAACAGGAAAAGAAATTTTTTTCTGCTATTGTTTTTCAAACGACTCTTCTTAGCAATAATTACCTATTCTGGTAACATACTTCCACTTTTGGGCAGTCCACTCACAAAAGGGGCTTTGGAAACCCTAATGTACGCCCGCTTTTTTTTTTATTGTGTTCTATTGTCATCAACGCACTTGATTTCCGTTTTGGGCAAAAAACAATAAAAAAGGGGGCGTCTTCAATTGAATGAAATCCAAATCTTTTTGCAAAAAATGAAAAAAAAATAAAAAATCTCATTTTATTTCAAAATGGCTCTACTGGCATTTTCCAATCTGCATATTTTTTTTTTTATATATACGCTTTCCCTTACTTGCTTTGAACAATTCACATGAGTAAAGTCATCACCTTTTGATTTATTTAGACTTCCAGCTTTTCTTTCTTTTTTCTTTTTTCTTTTTTTTATTTTTTCCAGCTTTATAACCTCTATTGACAACTTTTATACAAGTGTTGAATTCTCTTCTACTTCTCCTTTCAACTGGGAATCTTTATAGAACTTCTATAAGTTGAAACGCAACTATTTGCTCTTTTCTTCTTCTTCTCTTTCCTTTTCCTTTTCCTTTTTTTTTTTAATACTCTCTTTCCCACAACTCTAATCGTAGTTCAGCTAAAAGCATCATTTAATTTTATCTCCCTGTCCTATTTCGCTTCTTTCTAAACTGTGAAATATCCAATTTATCATATACAAGATACAAGCATCTATCTTTTAAAAAAAAAATTACTTTTTTTCTTTTAGTTTTCTGAACTGTTAATATAGTACATATTACTTCATTATCCAAACACCATACATACTTATCTCTTTTCTCTTTTTTCTCTTTTTTTCGTCAATTCTAAAATACGATGGTGAATATCAGTGAATGGAGCTTATTAGCAGTGGTTTCGTTACTTGTGTCAACAGGTGACGCTTGGTCTCCTACCAATGGATATGTACCAGCTAACGTCACCTGTCCAGATGATATCAATTTAGTAAGAAATGCCACTTTTCGACTATCCAATAATGAAACTGAATGGTTGAAGAAAAGAGAAGTCCACACTTCTGAAGCATTAAAAGACTTTTTGACTAGATCATTAGCAAATTTCTCTGATACCTCTATCCTAGACGATTTGTTCGGTGGAAATTCCACTAAAATACCTAAACTTGGTATTGCTGCCTCCGGTGGTGGGTATCGTGCTATGCTAAGTGGCGCAGGGATGATCGCTGCAATGGATAATAGAACTATAGGTGCTAACGAACATGGTCTAGGTGGCTTGCTACAAAGTGCTACCTATCTGGCTGGGTTGTCCGGTGGTAATTGGTTGACCGGGACTTTAGCTTGGAATAACTGGACTTCAGTTCAAGATATCGTAAACAACTTCACTGTGGACGGATCCATCTGGGATATCGACCATTCCATTGTCAACCCAGGTGGGATCAATGTCTTCAAATCAGGGTCTCGTTGGGATCACATATCCGATGCTGTAGAAGACAAACAAAAGGCTGGCTTCAACGTCTCCCTTGCAGATGTATGGGGTCGTGCTTTATCTTACAACTGGTTCCCAAATCTTTACCGTGGTGGTATTGGTTACACGTGGTCTACTTTGCGTGACGCCGAGGTTTTCCAAGACGGTGCTATGCCCTTCCCAATCTCTGTGGCAGATGGTAGATACCCTGGTACTAAGGTTATTAATCTAAATGCAACTCTTTTCGAATTCAATCCATTTGAAATGGGCTCCTGGGACCCAACTGTCAACAGCTTCACTGATGTTAAATATCTAGGTACTAATGTCTCTAATGGTAAGCCTGTAAACATTGGGAAATGTATTGCAGGTTTTGATAACACTGGGTTCATTATTGCCACTTCATCCACTTTGTTCAACCAATTCTTATTAAGAATCAATGGCACTAAGTTACCCAAATTTATCGTCCACCTAGCTACCCATTTTTTAACAGATTTATCCAATGACTATAACGATATTGCAATCTATTCACCAAACCCATTCAAGGATACTGAATTCCAAATGGGTAATGCTTCAAAGAGTATCTCGGAATCTCGTGACCTATTCTTAGTTGACGGTGGTGAAGATAATCAGAACATTCCATTAAACCCATTAATCCAAAAGCAACGTGATTTAGATATTGTTTTTGCATTGGACAACTCTGCAGATACTAACCAGTCTTGGCCAGACGGTGCATCTTTAGTCAACACATACCAACGTCAATTCTCAAGTCAGGGGAAACACGCTGCATTCCCATATGTTCCAGATGTCAACACTTTTGTTAATTTGGGATTAAACAAAAAACCAACTTTCTTTGGTTGTGATGCTAACAATTTAACTGATTTAGCATATATCCCACCATTAATTGTCTATATTCCAAATGCCAAGTATTCATTTAACAGTAACCAATCTACTTTTAAGATGTCCTATTCAGCAAAACAACGTAGAGCCATGATTCAAAATGGGTTTGAAGCTGCTACTAGAAACAATTTCACTGACGACTCCAATTTCATTGGTTGTATTGGTTGTGCCATCATAAGACGTAAACAACAAGCATTTAATTACACTCTACCAAAAGAATGTGACAAATGTTTCTCTGATTACTGTTGGAATGGTACTTTGAACACAACTGCTGCATATGGTGTTGTTGGTGCTGCCGCTGTTGAATCAGCCCAATTATCTTCTGCAGAGGCATCTCTAGCTAGTGCATCATCAGCTTCAGCAAGTGCCACTAAAAATAAAGATGGTGCAACTACCACTTTGTCTTCTACATCCAAGAAAAATGATGCACCTGGTAACTTCCCATCTAACGGTATTTTTACTCTATTAAGTGTTATTGCCACTGTTTTGGGTTTATTATAAACATTCAATTTTTCTGAAGGATATTATTCATTTTTTTTTTCCTTAGAAATTTACTGAGATCTCTTTCTCTTTTTTATTTTTCTTCTTTACTGTTTATTTTCTTTGTTCATTTACCTATTAATTTACTTCTATCTCTTTTTATGAATTATTTCCATATTTTGTTTTCTTAATCCTAACGAATTTATGAATTTATGAATTTGTGAATTTGTCAATTATAATATATATATATATATTATTTGAATCTATGACTCTCTCCTCATACATATATACAACTTATCTACACATATAATATCAACTTATTTTGTATATTTAGTCTTTCTTCTTTTACAGAATCTCAATCTGAAGATTGTGAACGAATCAAAAAAACTTATCGATGAGTAGATATATAAAGTAGAAAAACACCTAAAACAATATCATACTGTATATATGATCACCGACATACACAGATATATTCAATCTCTTATTCTTGCGTAACCTTTAGTAATCACATTGTGAACACCATTACGTCTGTTTTCTAATGCAAATAACAGGTCTCTCATGACAATTCCAGGCTCTTCTCTAGCTTCTCTAAACCTAAGACCACTTTCACCACGGGCGGCAATCTCGTTTGCAATTTTTCCTGCTGATTTTATTGTGGACGTAGTTGGCTTTGCTACAGACGCAGTTAACCAGCCATATTGTTTCTTACTACCCGCTCTTAATCCGGCAGTAACATTTGAAGCTCTATGTAAAGTCTCCTCAGAATCCACTTTATTCTCAAGATCCTCCTTCTCTAAACCTAAAGCAATTCTCTTCTTCAGTCTTCTCTCTTCCTCTTTCTTCTGCGATTGTGCAATAGATTTCAATGCAATAGCCACTTCACTACGTCTTCCTGTATTCAATTGTACACCACGACGACGATGTCGTGAGATAATTAATGCATTAGTTATTATATCTCTCATATACGTTTCACATGAAGTAGAGACCATATTGAGGATCTCTCCATTATTTTTAGTCAAATTCTTCAAATAATTATGGTCAAAATGATGTTCTTTACTAACACGTTTCATAAATTTAGATAATTGATCAGGATGTAAAAATGGCAAATGAGGTGGAACTGTTGTTGAGTTATGCGAAGTATTACCACCAGTATTTGAATTACTTTTGGCTTGATTCCTTGTTGCAGTGACCGACCCAGTCAATAAAGCTTCTTCCTCTCTTATATCTACACCTGCAGAGAGCAGAACATCTTGCATCTTATTTGGGTCCGTCTGAGTTTTATTACTTACTGATTTATTACTGTTGGTACCATTGTTACTATTACTATTATTATTATTATTATTATTATTAGTGGTATTATTGTTTTTGTTGCTGCCTGTATTACTATTTTTTGTATTAGTGGTAGATGTTGATGATGACGACGATGTAGTCGTAATAGGTTTCTTATCTTGGTTCGGCAGAGTTGATGATTTTGTAGTGGTGGCTGCCGTGGTGCTAGTATTATTACTGACAGTAGTATTAGTAGCAGTATTAGTAGGGCTAGTAGTCGTAGCAGCTGCGGTAGTAGATGAACTAATGGTGTTTGTAGTATCTTCCTGTTTTATTTTAGTATTTTTATCATTTGAAGACATTTTAATTAAATATTTCTAAACTTGTTGACAATCTTTGATGACTTATTCCTATGTGGCAATATTAAGTGGTGATAACAACTAATGAATAAACTATACTAGTATCTATGCTAATGATATGCTATGTATTGTTATTTATTTTGTGTATGTCTTGTACGTATTATATTGGCTCTTTTTCTCTCCTTTGAACAATTCATTAATCGTAAAACAAAAAAAAAAGAAAATAACATAAAATAAAAAGAAAAAAATTACACAAGAAGAAAAGAGCAAAAAAAAATAAATAAAAGAAAACTACGACATCAAAAACATAGCAAAGTTATAGGAAACAACTTCATTGATGAAGAGAGTAAAGCAATTTGATAAAACCATAGTTCTAGCTGATAATTCGTCCCATAGACAGAAGCATGGACCAATAAAATTATTACAAGACGATTAGCAACAGATATATAATCCAGTGACTTGATGCTTGTAACTCATCTTTTCAAGGAATGTATTAAATAAACACATGTCTATATACATATATAATATTGTATATATCGTTACCCAATTTTTAACAAATGTATTATGAAAACAGGAAACAAATGATCAGTTTTGTCTCTTATCAGGCTCATCTAATTGTTGCGCAGTGGATTGACCATCTTTATGAATTAAAGAGTCTTGGAAAATCCACCCTAAACCTAGCGTTAAACCAAGAATGCTCAATAGATAACTTCTTCCCTTTGTTCTATTAGTTGGATCAGACAATTTGGATTTATTAATGTTGAGAGAACTGTCGTTTGTGGAGCCTATTACGGAACTTGTTTGTGTGGCTTTTATCTCATCTGCTTTTTCAGTGGCTGCTTCTAATTCGGAAGTGATTATCTTTTGTAATCTTTCTACTTGAACATGTGCAGTGTCCAATTCTTTTTTCAATGATTCCACATTCTCACAGCCTTCCTCCAGATCTATTCCTTTATGGTGACTCTTTTCATTTAACAATGGCTCATATGTAATATCTCCACCATCTTTATTTAGAATATCAGTAATGTCTTTATCCATTTTCTTAGTGAAAGATTTCAATGAATCTAACTTTTGTTGAACCTCTTTTAATTCGTCTATCATAGTGTTAACTTCCTTGGAATCTTCTTCTAAATGATGTTTGTCCAATTGTGACTCTTCATGGAGTGATACCTCATAACTTACGTCATCAATCTGTTTTTCAACCCTTTGCACCTGTAATTTCGCTTCATTTATTTGATTCTTCATATCAATTAAGTCATTCTCGTCAATAACATCAAAATTCACATTAGTACCACTATCTGTCACTTTCATGTCATGGCTTTGGATCCTTTCTTGTAACTCATGTTTTCTGCCTGACACTTTCAATCCTCTTTTACGACACTCCTCCTTTAAATTCTTTAATGTCATACGATTTATCTGCAAGTCCAATCTATTAACTGTTTGAGTGAAATTTCTTTTTGTAATGATCATCATGGTTGGAACCACCAGTTTTGTTAGACTTGACTGGATTCCATATTTCAATATTACACTTGGTAAAGCCATATTTGATAGTACAACCTGTATCCTTATTTTTTTTTCCTTCTTCTTCTTAATGCCTTCTCCTGCTACTTCTGTGTCTATAATTGTCTTAGTCGATATTGATGACCTCTCCTTATCTTAACAGGGAATGTAATACGATGGTGCATACGTTGTACTCTTTCCTGTTCTCCCTTATATATCCAGTGATTATTTACACGTAAGGGGTGTATCTCGAGATGCCAAATCACAAGAATTGGACCAACATCTAGTTCATCAGCATCGACAACAGTGTCTCAGTGTCTCTGTTGTGTTTATTTATTTGTCATTGAATGGTGATCTCGAGGAATTTCGTTGGGCTTTTTAGATTTTCCTTCTCTGCGAATAAACAAAAAAACAAAAATAAAAACAAATCACAGATCTATAGATCAGAAGATAGAAAAGAACACCCAATATAACAGCACTAAATGGCATAAAACACACACACAGAGATGTATACATGAAGACCTGTTTGCAGGATGTGTTTACTTCAATAAGGAGACCCTTTGCCTGTCTGTGTCGTGGTGATTGAAAAAATTAGATAGATGGGCACGAATCTTCATTTTACAGATACAGATACAAAAGAATACATAAAACTATTTATAGTATATATATAAGTGGATGAGTGTATGTGTTTATATGGTATTTTTTTTTCTTAATAAAAGAAGAATAAAAAAAAAGAAACAGCTGTCTAAGAATATATCTTTGCCCTTTTTAACCCATATATATATATATATGTATATATATAGAATAACAAAATGACCACAACTATAACAACAAAGAAAAAACAAAAACAAAAACACATGATAGAAAGGAGAAATTAGTATTGCCTAGCGGCCTCTTGACATGCTTTTAATTGTTGTAAATAGTAATCACAGGGACTCAATTCACCATTATGTTCATCAAGACACCTTGTAAAATTTCTAGCATCGATTTCACATGGACCTGCTGTGGTTCTTTGAGTTTCCTGGACTATTGGTTGTTGTTGTAATTGGGCTTGATACTGGTTTGCCTGCTGTGCTGCATCACTACTACCACCACCGGAGAATAGACCAGTGATACCTGCACCAATAGTGTGACCAACTGCACTGCCTACAGCCACACCGGCCGCAGTAGAAGCCATCTGACTGAACAGACCAGGTTGACTAGGAGCAGCCGAAGTGGCAGCAACTGTCGAAGGTGGAGGTGGAGGTGGTCTATGTGTTTGAATAGGCACTGACTGAGTTGGTGCAGGGGCAGCCATAGTGGAGTTTTGTCTAGCACCCATAGGTCTTCTACTGCCTAACATACCACCACCGGTAGAACTTCTAGAACCTCTTCTGGTACGTGCCATTTTCTCTTCTTTTCTTTTCTTTTCTTTTTTTTTTTTTTGTCTGATTTGTTGTAACGTTATTTGAACTGTATAAACTGATTTTAGTATATTATAAATAAATCAATTCCAATAATAATATTTTATTGGGATCAATGCTGATCTGTGTTATATTGAATCTAGCAAATGTAGTTAGTTAAGTAAGTAAGATGACTGGCACTATCCTTCTTTTTCTCTCTTTCTCCTCACTTTCTACACAGGCGTTCATTACAAGTGACATATATATAGAGAAAAAGAAGAAAAGAGAGAGGGAGGTGCACAAGGTGAATAAAACTGATCTGATGGTGGCAAACGTTCCCGCAGCGTCTTACTTCATTCCCTCACACCTCGAGGGCATCTTCTTTGATTGTGATGTTTCTCCAGCTCTTAAAATCGAAAAATTTCTTTTGCCAAAATTGAGCCACTTGAACCAATAAAAACTAAGAATTCGTGGACTCCGAGAAAAAAAAATAGAAACACATACAATTTACGAATAGCAAATATTATTATATATATGTAAGTATAAAGATAATAGCAACAATCCTCTGATGAACTCACTAATAGAGCATTCACAGACATTATACACTTGAGTGCACGTGTGTACTTACATGTTTACGTCTTTGCTGTATCCCAGCTCTATCCATTTGTCCATATGTATGTGTGTGTCTATGCATATATTTATATATATATGTATCTATATCTATATATATATATATATACATATATATGTCTATCTACTTATGCATATGTGGGTTTAGAAACGCCAACTCTCATCAACTGATTCGATCGCCCATTTAAATTTGTCTCGAAGTGTCTTAGGGAATATCTTTTCTATAGGGACGTTATATTTCTTGCAAAAGACAACTGATAATCTTGGATCTATATAATTGATCTTTGATGTTCCTAGAGATACTTCAGAATTTTCCTCTTTATCTTGTAGTTGGATCGAACTAACTCTGATTCTTTGTTCCAATTTTTCTATTTGTTTCTCACATTTCTCTACCGTATTATAACGTGATTTCAACTCTACTACACCAGTCTCTAATTCTCTTTTATATTGAAGACGCAATTGCTCAACTTTATCTAACCATTCTTTCAAAGTCTCTTCTGATAATAATTCTTCACCCTCAAAGTTTCTTTTATCATTATCACGAGCAAATTTAATCTCAGATTTCTCTCTTTCACGCTTAATGATTCGGTCATGAATCTGTGCCTCTTGTTCCTTAGTGATTTCTTTAATTTCCTTGAAAAATTTCGTCCTTCTTTTCAATGTTGGATCGATTTGTAACATAGCCTTCTTGAATCTAATCTTTTGCCATTTCAATTCTTCAATCTTTAAATTTGCACGTTCCACTGCTTGTGCATGGCCCTTTGTCACTGATCTTTGATGGTTACAAAGAATGGCCACTGTACGATTGGCTGCATTATACCTTAATAGTTTTTCTGCTATAGTACCTTTATTTGGTATCAAATCTAATTGATCTTGCATCGTCTTCGATGCATTATACGTACGGAACACTTTTGCTGTCAAACCAGGCATATAGTTTTGTAAATATTTATTTAGTATAGATGGATCCAATCTATCAAACAACTGATGTCCTGGCTGTTTTGGCGGTCTTTTAAAGATCATTAAGTCTTTGAAAACCTGTTTGTCTACTTCCACTTCTTGGTAGAATCTAATCGAATCCTTACCCAAAAAATCAAATATTACTGTATTTGGTGGTTTTAATGTAACATGTTCATATCTCAAAGAACAACAACCAACTGTGTCCGCCTCATCTTCGGATTTCTCACCACCGGCTCTTAATGCAAAAACATCAATAAGATATGTGGCTACTGCCTTTTGTCTCTCTAACATGAGTTTACTCTTTAGATTACGTCTATAATCCTTTCTAATTATATCAATGTAAGATTTCAGTTCTCTTGCTTTTTCAAATTTTTTAAAGTCACTTTGACCCTTTAATGATGAATTAGCTGCTAACCTAACATATTTATGTGACCCAAATATATTTTCTTTCCACATGGCTAGCCATTGAACCGTATTATCATGTCTAACTTCCCCCCATTTATGCCCTGCTGGTGGATCAGGAATAGGTGCGTCCTCACTAAGATTCAAAGTGATATCTTCCGGATATACTCTTCTCTTTAACTTCCCTGTTTTAGGGTGTGCACCACGTCCTCTAAATAAATCAGGTGGTTCCACTCTGAAATTACCAACCTGTTCCCTTCTACCATCTAACTCGCAAAACCTATAAGGTTCCTCTAGTTTCGCCCTTTCCAATCTATTCTGTTTCCTCTCCTGCAATGACAATTTTTTCTTTTCTTCTCTCTTCAATTCAAAATATTTATGCATCTTTGTAAAATCACATTTATCAAAAGTGTTAATCTTAATACCATTTAAAGTACCACCGTTTTCTTCTAACACTTGTTTAAAATCATGGAAGAAGTTTTTTTGGAATACTGGGTTTTTACCATGGTCGGTTTCTAATAAAGCTGCATAGAAACCTGCCACTTCTTCAGCCTCAAGAGGTAAATCTACAGGCTTGCCATCATAATATAATTTAACATGAGATGGTAATGGCTCGTAATCAGGGGGAAACATCACACCATTATGTTTCAAACTATGCCATTTAATCTCATCATTATTATTTTGATTCTCCCACCATTTGTATTCTTCTTCTTCTTCTTCTTCTTCTTCTTCTTCTTCTTTCTCCTCCTCTTTTTCTTTTTCTTCTTCTTGCGACAATTCTGTTTTCTTAACTGTTTCTTTCTTCTTCTTTTGTTTCTTCTCTAATTTAATTTTTTTTAATGATGTATCACTATCTATATCCTTGTCTTGTAATTTATTATTTTCTACTGAATTAATTTTTCTTTTCTTCTTATTCTTCTTCTTCTTTTCTTTGGAGATAGCTGACAGTGATCCATTGCTATTATATTCTACTTTCAATACATCAAATGATTCCATATTTGAATGATCCCTTTGAACGTCTTTGAAACTTGTCATTTCTTTCTTTACTTTTGGTTCATCATTAGATGGTTCTGACAATGTCTGTTTCAAGACCAGTTCCTTCTGTTTTATAACAGATGTCTGAGATAATGGAAGATCGTCATCACTTGAATCAGATTCTGAAGTAGACCCTAGACCTGAATTTTGACTCACTAGTTTATCCCAACTGGAAACGGTCATCATAAATGAACCAAGTGTCTGGCTATCTAATAAAAGATCAATGTGTATTCTAATATATTGGATATATACAGTTAATTAAAACCGCCGAAACTCTAGAGAGAATGAACCATGCAGAAACAAATCTCACGGATTCGGTTCTGTTCAAATACAGATACACTTTGAGCCCTACATAACTGATCAAGATAAAATGAGAAATATGTGTAATGATTTGCTTTCACAAAGAAAAATGGCAGTGTCACTATTTAAATTCTTTATCTCATCGGTTCTTAAAAAATTTTTCAATTTTCCTTATTGAGTAATTGGGTCTCTGCTACATATAGCCGTGAATAAAGGGGAGAAAAAAAAAAGAACTTCAACAAGATTCTTCGAGGTTGAAAGAATTTGATTTTAGAATATCATATAGAAAAGCATATTATATTGCACGGCACAGGATTATATATATATAGAAAACATGAGAACTTTAGGGTTGATCTTGTATCCCATTAGAAAGTTGAAATTTAGATCTGCTGGATTAATATGTTACCGGTTTGAGTAACATGTAAATATATCAAAGAGGAAAAATGTTTGTTTTGCACATTCAATATTACGGAGATAAGATCAAACAGAATCGAAATAAATTAATATATTATGAAAAATTGTCAAAAGGTAAATATATATAAGTAGACGACTTTACTTATTAATTTCCCAATCTGGATAAATAAGTTATATACACTTTATCATATGTTTCTTTTGTATTTATATAATTATTAATTCCGAATCAAAAGATCGAGGGAAAATTACACTACATCTCAATATAATAATAATACATAATAATAACATACAATATGATCACCGACGCTAAGAACATGTATACTAATATTATTCATCCAGAGGAAGATCAATGTTTTTTCTGAAATGAAGTTGGTTTGAATGTTCTGCACATGTATTCTTGTATTTTCGTTCATGTTCAATATTTACTTTCATAACCAATGGATTGAAATTGTCAACTATATTTTGTTTATTACACTATATTTTATACATTTGTGTAAATATTTCTGTATATATTGTACTGTTTTTTTTTTTATTCTTAGTTTTTTTATGTATAAATTATGACAAATATTCAGAATAAATTCAACTATTGAAATGCTAAGATCTATTCAAAAAGAAAAAGAAAAAAAGGAAAAAAAAGAGAAATAAATGCAAATTCTTTTCTTACCCTAAAAAATATTGTACTATTTGTTTTTTTCTTTGAATTTATTCATGCAACCCTCTCTTTTGTTCTTCTAATCAAAAGAGAAATACATCCAAAAAATGTCCAAGAAAATATTTTTAATTTTTGTGTAATCTTTGTTCTAAAAAAACAAAAAAAAAAAAAAAAAAACAGAGAAAGAGAGAGAATAGAAAAAAAAATTGCATATTGCTTATATACCAGGAAAGGCAGATCCAGAAGAAGTCCTGTTATCTGTCATAGATTATGATTTGTAGGTCAGGTGTATTTATCATTATCTTGGTCAAAAAAAAAAAAATTTCTTATAGTATAAATTATTCTAAATAAAATCTCGGAGTAAATTTTTATATATATGTAATAATATATGGATATAAATTTTGAAAAATCCAATACATATTGATTTATAAATTATATTACCTAATTATCAACTATAGAAACAGTTTCAATGCTCTCTGCTGGTTTAGCAAAAGGGTTTTTTTTTGAAAAAGAATCTTTTGAATTGAAAAGTATCATTGAATCCTTGATAACAGGTGTCACCACAGGAGATACTAATTGTGTATTTTTTGCATCTCTTGATCTTTCACTCTGATTCTTTTGAACATACCATGATTCAATATGCTTTTTTTCTCTTTCTTGCTGCTGCTGTTGTCTTGACATAAATTCTGATGGGACATCAAAGTCTGGGGGCACTCTTCTATTGGTAGCACATTTCAATTTCCTATAAGCCATTATTGTATTGGCTTTCTCGATACCAAACTTTTGTTTTAGTTTTCTATAGAATAATCCACAAGCATTGCATATTTTTCGTTCACTACCATAAGGACCTGATCTCCATTCAGGCGTTTTTTCTACACTCAAACAGTGAGAACATGGTTTCCCATCCATTTCATGATTTCTTTTAATATTACTAAAGTTGTTACCTACTTTTTGAGTAATTTTCTTCTTGCAAATCATTTTGTTATTCAATTTGAAATTTGTTGATAGATTTACTCTTGGTATATTTATATCATGATCTTGATTACTAATAATATTTGGTTTTGATGTTACCACATTTACCGAATGAACAGTCTCCAACTTTTTTTTTGGAATATAATAATTATCGTTTTTATTACCATTTTTATAATTAACTGTGAATGGTAATGTAAGAGAATTAATGTGATTAAAATTTTTATTATCAATACTGCTGTTACTCATGATTTTTTTTTTGGTTTCATGGCAAACATTAATTAATCGTTGGCTCAACTGATTTAATTCATGTATATTATTTTGGTGGTAAGATTGATACCATTTCATTGAATTTTGCCTTTTCAAACTTTGAAAGACATTGTTAATATTATTATTTATATGATCTATTTTTGAAAGAAATTCAATAGCCTCTGATTCCGTATCGGAATTTTTATTAAATTCTAAATGTTGTGGGGAAGGATAGGAATAAGAAGATGATTTTGTTATTTTATCATTTAAATAGCTATTGCAGTGTTTAAAATGTGAATTGATTGATGGAATTAGTACAGTGGGTAAAACTAGTTTGTGCGATTGCTGTTGTTGCATTTTTTGTACCTGTTGTGCTTGTTGTACTTGTTGTCCACTTGTGTTTACTTCATCCATTGCGTTTAACAACAGATGTATTGACATCTTATAATTATTACCATTATAGTTATTATGTCTAGTACTGTTATTGTTTTGATTAATTAAGGACATTGGATTCATATGAGTTGTTTTGTTTCCTTTTTTTTTTATCTTTTTTAATGATTATTTGTGTATACTTCTATGTTTATGTTTTTACCTATAAATATATGTTTTGTTCAAGTTTAACAAAACTGAAACTAAAAAGATGTAGATAGATATAATCTTTTTCTTTTAATTTCCAAAGTTCCAGATACTTTATATATCATATAAGTATAACTGTTTGTTTTTATTAGAAATATACAATACTATAATATATTTTATTTAATATGTAAAAAAAATCTATTGCTTGAATTACCTTCCTATTGTGTCATATTGATTAATTTTAACCTTAAATTATGTTATATTTCATTGCTCGAACTTTCATAAACATTTAATTTTTTTGAATCCATTCCTCCCAAATTCGTCGACAAATAACTTTAGTGTTATCTATTTACTTAACTATTTATTATTAATATTAAACAATTTTTTAAGTTCTTTGCTTTTATTAAGAAACTTCGACCTGTTTTCCCCTCTTTACTATTATTATTCTCATTTTGAAGGGACTAAGCTTTTATTCAGTTATAAAACTATTGCTTTTATTATCAACATATTTTTTTCTTTTAAAAAAAAAATCCATTTTATAATATTTCTATTGCTTTAAAAATTATTCTTGACTATATTCTCCCCCTCTAGACTTGACTAAAGGATATATATATATATATATGTGTATGTATGTGTAAACCTATATTTGTTTTAAGTGGCTTTTTTTTGTGATATATCTATATAATTCACTTATCAGATAAAGGGAAGAATGAAAAGATGTAAAAGGAGACAATTATTTACTTTCCTATTCTTTAAATAATGTTTTTCTTAACTTTTTGTTCAATTGGACTTTTTTTTTTGTTTCCTATAAATATAGCAAGTTCTACAGAGATCGATAACATAGCAAATGAAATTGTATTACAAAGTCAAACTGAATTTGACATTAATACCCTCTGGGAAAAGATAGATATTTTACAAAGGGATATTAATAATTATCAAGATACTATCCTGTCAACCTTGGCATCAGATAAAACAGAGGTCGAATCTACCATCTTAATAGATTCAAACACTTCAAAAACAAAATCATTTAAAGGTAAATTATCCTTAATACCTTTGCGAAAAGACACAATGGAATCATTGCTACCTAACTTAGCCATTGATGTAGCTAAATTATATAGCAAGTATGGAATTTTCTACGTTAAAGTTGAAACAGTTTGAGTCGTGATTAAGATCACACCATTTACTTGTATCATATAAAGATTTAATATATGTTCGTATGTATATATTTAATTATTATAAAGCATATTAGAAGGATTCTGGGTTTACATATCTTAACAGCAACCACGCATATTCATCATGCACATATAAACACAGAGGAAAAAAATTTCCTTCTTACTTTAACTTGGTAAAACAATCTTAAAAAAAACAATAACACATTATAATATTGTAGATATCAAAGATTTAACTGGATGTGTATATAACAAACATTATCATGCATAAATACACATGAATATATGCATGTATGTATGTATATATGCACACACAGCAAAAGAGAAAAGATTATTGATTATTCAGTGAGGGTGAAAATTCAAAAAAAAAAATGTAGAAAGAAGAAATATTAAAGATAGACTTGATTTCTTTTTAAAGAAAGGGTTGATATTCGATTAAAGTTAGTGATTGCAATTCAATATATTAATCTAGATTATATATATATATATATTTTGATAAAGTGAGAAGTAAACTAAGATATACCGAGAAAGAAGACACATTTTAGAATAATAATCATGTCCACACGAAAAAAAAATATATTGAAAGTTATCATATTAGGCGATTCAGGTGTAGGGAAGACTTCTTTAATGCATCGTTATGTGAACAATAAATATTCACAACAATATAAAGCCACAATTGGCGCAGATTTTTTGACGAAGGAGGTCGATGTAGATGACAAAGTGGCAACCATGCAGGTTTGGGATACTGCAGGACAAGAAAGATTTCAATCTTTGGGTGTTGCATTCTATAGGGGGGCGGACTGCTGTGTGTTAGTGTATGATGTTACTAACACCAAATCATTTGAAAACATTAAGACTTGGAGAGATGAATTCTTAGTACATGCTAACGTATCATCACCTGAAACTTTTCCGTTTGTTATTTTGGGTAATAAAATAGATTGTGAAGAGAATAAGAAAGTTGTTAATACAAAGAGTGCTCAGGAATTGGCTCAATCGTTAGGTAATGTCCCTTTGTTTTTCACTAGTGCCAAAGATGCAATTAATGTAGATAATGCTTTTGAAGAGATTGCCCGAAATGCTTTACAACAAAATCAAAATGATGCAGATGCTTTTGAAGATGATTTTAATGATGCTATTAATATTCAATTAGATGGTGAGCCTAACTCTTGCAGTTGTTGATAATTACAACTTCATATATATATATATATACATATATATGCATATATATGCAATCCAAACTCGTATTCTATTAATTGGTCCGTCCCCTTTCTTCTTTGAATCAAAGTATCTTCCCATCATTACTGAAGTATGTCATACCCTTTAATGTAGCATGATACAATTTAATTAATTTATTTCTACATACATATATATATATGTATCTGATGTATAAAATATAGTCTATCTCTTAAATGAAACATTCCTACCCTTGGTAATATTTTTCCTTTTCTTAGCTGCTTTAACGGTCTCATGAATTTGAGAAAATGGATCGAATTTTCTTTTCTTCTTCTTGCTATTGTCATCTTCCTCAGAAACCCTCTTTGAACTAAGAACTTTCTTCTCTTTTGAATAGTCAATAATCTTGATAGGTTCTTCATTTTCACTCTTATGTTCATTTTTCTTCCTTGAATTTGTAGAATCTCTTTTAACCTTCTTTAATACTACTATCTCATTCATATCCTCTTTCTCTTCTGTCACAATCGATGGTATCACATCAATATTAGTGGAGGATTCAATAGCAGAAGTATCAGTTGTAGCAAACGACATTTCTTCATTTGGAACTGGAATGGTATATTCAACTTTGTTTGATTCATCTATCAGTTTAATAAATGCTTCATGGCGTGACTGTAAGACAGTTTCAGGTACTATCTTTGGATTATTTTCTTTATAGGATATGATATGCTTATTATTGGTCAATTGACCTAAAAATTTAGACTGATTCATCCCAATTATGTCTTTATTATCTTTAGTTTTTTCTATAGCCTCTTCTGAATATTTTTTTTCTAAGCCATTGAACTGTACAAACATATTTCTTACTTGTGAAAGTGTTAAAATATCGGTTTTAGTAACTTGATCAGGTACTATTGAAATATTGTTCATAGAAGTTATGCTTGAATTATTATTATTGCTTTTCACACTTGTTAAGTAATTTTTAATCATGTTAGCAATTTGTTTGGAGTTTGATCTAACAGTATCAGTAATAAATGTGTTAACAGAGACAACTCCAGCAGCATCTATTGGAGTATATGCTACCAAAGATATTAATAATTGATTTGGCATTATGTATCTTGGTGATTCATCATCCCTTCTTGCCATTGTATCTCTCCAGATATATAATTCTTTCACCAATTGCTCTTTCTCTAATGGGACATTATACTGGTACATTAAAGTCCTCCAAGGATCTATCTTTTCAATCGGACTATAAACTGTTGGTATATTGATCTTGGGTCTATATTTAGAGTATTCAAATCTTCTTTTTGCGACTTCTCTTGATTCTTTAAGCACAGAAGCTAATTTATTTTGTTTAATCAACTCATTTCTTAATTGATCGAAGATGTTCAAAAGGAAATGTGTATCAGCACGTGCATATGCTAACAAAGGTTTGCTCAATGGTCTTCTTCTCCAATCAGCTAGTTGATATTTTTTAGATGTTTTAAAATTGACAAATGTTTCTAATAAATATGCCAAACTATGTTTAGGGAAGCCCAAAGCCTTTGACGCATGATAAGTGTCAAATAAACTTACAATGTAAAGACCCAAATCTCTTTGTAACCAGATAATGTCCATAAAGGCACCATGAAACACTTTAGTGATCATTGGATTTGTAAAAATTTTATTTAGTGGGGACAAGTCATCTCTTAGAGCGATTGTATCGATTAAATAATCCTTATCTCTGGTACTAATTTGCATTAAACAGACGATACCATAGTAGGATCTAAAATCGTGATGTTCTAAATCGATAGCTAGTTCTTTATAATTAGATAGATCCTGGACCAAATGAGGGATTTGGTCTACTTGATCAATCCAAATGGGTTCTGTGTCGTTCCATGATTTAAATGGGATTGGGTCTTTAATCACGAGGATATCATGATTATATTCTTGGTTTTCAATTTCGTATTGATAAGGCTGAGGGTAGTGAGATGGAATGTTGCCATTTGTGTCTTCATCTACTAATTTTAAACATTCTTCTAATGGTTTTAAAGCATTTGGTTTCTGTATCAATAACGGTTTGAATGGATGGGATTCACTATTGTCCACTGGTTTTTTAAAAGTTAATTGTGGTTTCGAGATTCTTTTATTATCAAAATGATCATTTGTATCATTTATATTTTCTTCTAGATATTGAAATTGAGAACCATCATTTAATTTGTTAAAATTCTTACTGTTGTTGTTGTTGTGGTGGTGGTTGTTAATTCCATGACTATTATTAAGGATATCGATGGATCTATCTGCTCTTTCAAATAAATTATCGATGAAATTAGTGTAGTCTCTCCAATCTTGACCTTCCAATTGATCTTTACCAGATTCAATGGTAGGAGCATGTTCATCAATAGAGAAAATGATAGAATTGATCATGTCTAAGAGATCATTTTTTAAATGATCGACAGAATTTGCAATGTCTTTGTCTAAAGTACTATAAAACTCTATATCTTGAGCAGCCAAAGCATTAGATGCTCTAACCGTTCCTACAACTTTAGAGAGCACCTCTTTTGTATTGTCGTTGTTATTCACTTGTTCTTTACTGGACATGACTATTAGCTACTTCAGTAGTTTGAATGTGGTTAAGAAAGGGCAAATATGTTAATAAAACCCTTTTTTTCCCTAATAATATAACGTTTTTGTTCAAACTGGCAGGGGTGGAGACTCACTTTACTTTACTTTACTTTACCTTGCTTCACCTCATTCCCATCTTATCTCACCTCATCTCCTCTCATCTTTTTAATCTTCTCTCTCTCTCTATAGTTTGTACTCTTTTGAAAAAAAAAAAATTTTTTTCCTTTCCCCTCAGTAAAATCGAAAACTGAAAAAAAAAAAAAGAACACAACACAAATAGAAAAATCTTCACAAAAGCGGAATTTGATTCCTCTTTCGGAATAACACAAGGGATTTAAAGGGAAAAAGCGGGAAGTGCGGAATAATTCCGAAATTCTACAGGATTATTCCGTGACATTCCGTCCACTGCCTTTCTTTTTGTACTTCTCAGCTAATAATCATAATAACAGCAATAATACACTTACATGAAACAAAGAATATGATAAAGGTAGTCGTTTGAGTTACACATTCACAGATATCCACATATATTTTCCAGCAAAGACAGCTGTCTTTTCAGCTGAAACAACTAAAAAATCAGAAAAAAAATCAAAAAAAAAAATCAAAAAAAAAAATCAAAAAAAAAAAAATAAAACAGGAAAAAGAAGGAATTTGAGACGCGAAATGTTCTGATCTGTGCTTTCTATGTTGTTGTTGTTGTTGTTGTTTTTTGTTTTAGATTTTTAGTATTTTCGTGTCACTTTGCAAATTTAAACCTTTTTATTTAAAAATTAAAAGAAAAAAAAAAAATAAACAAATAAACAAACAAAAACATGAGTAGAGGGTTTGATAAAAATTGAAATTGAGAAGAGATGAAGACATCTTGGTTCCTGGTTTATGTATTTTTTTTTTACATTATTTGTTTGCTCTATCAGGTTTTGATACAATAAGTTGACACAAATAGAATTCAAGGTTTTTTTTACTGCCAGCACTTTTAACTTTTGCTTTACTTTTTCTCTCTATCATTATTTCTCTTGTTTTGTATCTTTTTATACTGGTTGTTGATCAACCAGCATATATTCTCAAATTATAATCATTAGTTATAATCACTACTACAATAGTAGAAAAAGACAAGTATTCAATTGATACATATAATTATCCTTTCCTTACCTACCATCCATCTTTTTACACTTTTGAATATTTTTTTTGTTCATGCCATCTTCATTGGCACAAAGTGCTGCAACTAATGCCATGAAAAAAGTCGTTAATAATCAACATAATCGTTATCATCATCCTTACAATAATCCTAATAAATTAAAAACTATGCATTCATTGAAAAATGGGAATAAAAAAATTCATATTGATAGAATCATAGAATCTGTCACTGATGCAAAGAAAAGATTATCTCATACTGAATCCTTATTAAGCAACACTAATACAATATCTACCGATATTACTACCACTACTACTGTTACTTCTACAACAACAACAACAACCACTGCCAAAAAAAATAATAGTAACAATAACAATAATAAGAATAACACCAATAGTGATAATGCTACTAAATCCTCTAAAAGAAAATCTAGAGATACTGTGGGACCCTGGAAATTAGGTAAAACTTTAGGTAAAGGTTCTTCAGGTCGAGTAAGATTGGCTAAGAATATAGAGACAGGCCAGTTGGCTGCCATTAAAATTGTCTCCAAGAAAAAATATATGAGAGTAACGTATAATAATAATAATAATAATAGTAGTAGTAGTAGTAGTAGTAGTAAGGACAACAACAACAAGACTAATAATAACCAGTCAAACCCTAATATACAACAGAACCAAACTAATAATGCCGCTATGCCAGTTAATCCATATGGTATTGAGCGTGAGATTGTTATTATGAAGTTAATATCACATGAAAATGTCATGGGTCTATACGAAGTATGGGAAAATAAAAATGAACTATTTTTGGTGTTAGAATATGTAGATGGTGGTGAATTATTCGACTATTTGGTGTCTAAAGGTAAACTACCCGAATCTGAAGCAGTCCATTATTTTAAACAAGTCATTGAAGGTGTAGCATATTGTCATTCTTTTAACATTGTGCATCGTGATTTAAAACCAGAGAATCTTTTATTAGATAAAAAACATAAGATCATTAAAATTGCAGATTTTGGGATGGCTGCTTTAGAATTGCCAAATAAACTATTGGAGACATCATGTGGTTCCCCACATTATGCATCTCCAGAGATAATTATGGGGAAGCTTTACCATGGGGGACCAAGTGACGTTTGGTCTTGTGGTGTAATTCTTTTCGCCTTATTAACTGGTCATTTGCCCTTCAACGATGATAATATTAGAAAATTGTTGATGAAAGTGCAATCTGGCAAATTTCAAATGCCTGACACATTATCAAATGAAGCAAAGGATCTGATATCGAAGATTCTGGTGGTTGATCCAAGGAAAAGAATCAAAATAACGCAGATCTTGAAACATCCATTGATAACAAAATATGCACAGTTTGATAGGACGTATTATGGTGTCTTTAATTCTATATCTAATTTAAACGGCTTAAATAACATGAATCCATCTATTGTTAATATTGTATCAAGACAAGATATTGATGAGTCTATTTTAAGAAGTCTACAAATATTATGGCATGGGACACCGAGAGACATTATAATAGCTAAACTTTTACAAACACCTTTATCTGAAGAAAAAATTTTTTATTCGTTATTATGGCAATATAAACAAAGACATACAGAACCAAAAAATAATTCAAGTCAGGATACTACTTCTACGAATCAACAGGCAGCATTGACAAGTAGAAAATTACAAGAATTAACAAATGAAATTGATATGACATCAAATGTAAAACCCACCTTGGAAACTAATTCCAAAGACAAAATTGAAAAAGAAGATGATTTTGGGCACAGTTTTGGTTATGGAAATTCATTTGAACATATTTCAAAAGTAGAACGTACTACTGCCACAGATGCAATAAATAATAATAGTAATAATAAACTCGCCACACCTAAATTAGAACAGAAATCTCAATTCAGTATATCGACCTTAATGGAGGACTCTACTGATGATAATGTTATCAATATTCCAAGATTACCACCAGCAGTTCCTGCTTTTACTGTATCATCTTCTAAGGTATTCAAAAAGAGTGGTTCGATGATGTCAATACATTCGAAATGGCCACTGAAAAGTCCTAGCCCTAAAAAACCCATACATAAATCGGAATCACGTAAGTCATTGGTTAAAGCAAAAAGAAGAACATTACACAATTCGGAATCTAAAAGATCTCTATACTCTTTACAATCAATTTCAAAACGTTCTTTAAACTTAAATGAATATTTAATTGATGAAAATAAAGATTTTGTTCCTACTTCAGATTTATCAATATTACCAAAAGTTGATTCTGGCAATGAGTTTGCCATCCTTTGTGAACAACTGCTATTTGGAAATGGTCTTGATAGGATTCTTGAAGAAGAAGAAGGAGAAGGAGAAGGAGAAGAAAACCGAATGCCAAATGGGAATGAAAAAAGGAATGAGAAGATTAATGATATTACCTTTGGTGGAGATAAAAATACTGATGAGTTAGTTAGATTAATTGATAATTCTAGTTTTTTGGTAACCTCATCGCCTATTAAAAAAAGTAACCGAGTAGTAGGAGTTTCCAGAAATACATCAATATTGGGGAATCAGTCATTAGAATCTACTGATAATGCTATTGAATCTTCTTCAGGAATCTCAGAGTTACCATCAAAAGGTGTACTATCATCATCTACGTATCGAACTACCAGACCTGATGAACGTAAAGAGTCGAAATTAAGAATTACATCCGCTCCTATGGACCAACCAAATATCTCTTTAGATCCTCGCAGAAATGTTTCACAACCGGTAAAACATAGTGTGTTTGATACTCTGATGAAATCGCAAAGAAGGGGTAATAATAGTTTTAGTTTGAAACAGGATAATCAAAAATGGTCTGATTATACATCTAAACTAAATAAGGAAAGGAAGATTATTACGCATAATCCTTTACCAAGGGATAAATCAATTGTAAATATGACTTTGAATGAGGATTTATCCATGGATGACACCAGTGTTTTAGCACAATCTAGTACCATACAACAAACACAAAAACCATTACTTTCACTACCATCTACTTTATTAAGCCAAACTACAACTTTTAAGGATTTAACTCAATTTCTGAAGGACATTGATGTAAATGATGAACTAGGCACAAAACCAACCCCAGTATTAGTAAGAAGATCTTCTCGTCGTTTAAATAAGCCTACACAACCTGCACCTATTACTCAACAATATATACAGCATGATAATGAGACTTTTAATGAAGATACAGATTTATCATTAGCACTGGATATACCTACTACCACTATGACAGCACAGATTATTAAAATGAAACCTACTACTCAGATCATGGATACTAGAGTGACTTTAGTCGCAGAAAAACCATCAATACGTCCTTTTACTTCAGATGATCATGAATCAATTAACATATTTGAGGATGTTAGCACGACAAGTAATTCAGATACAAATACTTTGAATGAGGATACTATGTCAAGTGACTCAACATCAATTTCACGTGTCCATCATCGCAAGAAGGTAGCTTCTATTGATACTTTAAACACATCTAATATAGTATTGACCCCACAAACAAATGTTCGTGTTAGTCTCTATGCAGGTAAAACTTTGTTACCATCGAAGGATAATGCTAACATCGAACGTGAGACTACAGAAGAAATTATTTCTAGATTTCAGTTAAGTTATAAGGATATAGGTAGCAAGAAATATAATAATGAGATTTGGGCATCCTCGACAAAATTAGGGTATTTAAATAGAGAGAATAATGCAAGCACAGATTATATGTTTAAAGATTTAGAAGAAGATCTAGAATGGCAAGATGAATCATTAGATGTCAATAAATCTGCAGTAAACCACGTTTCTAAATCTGATGAGGCAGCTATAAAAAAGGATGATACTAATGACTTAGGAAATGTTAAGAAAGGTGATAATCGTGTTACTATGTTATTTGATGAGGAAGAAGAAGAAGAAAAGGAAGAGACTAAGAACCATCATGAAGAAGATTATGGGAATGTGGATATTAGCACTAAAAATAAAATAGGAGATGCACATGAAAAGATAAATGCCATGACACATACTTTTGTACAACATTCTGGATTATCTAAAAACATTTCTGAGGTTGAGGATAGCATTAACAAAGATAAACATAGTGGCAAGTATAATACAATTCAGCAAAAGCAACAGCAACATCAACAAGTTGATCCAAGGCGAATATTAAGAATGAAAACAGCAAAACCAGACTCAATGGAGATTGGTTCCAAAAGAGTAAAACGTGGTTCGTCTAATTGGTTTAATCGTATGATTAAAAATATTAAATGGAGTAACAAAAATTCTAAGAGTAAAAAAAAAACGAAGTCTATTGGTAGTAATAATAAAGAAAATAATATGGTTGATTTACCACAATAAAAGTAAATCCTGTTTATAAGACATTTTCCCTTAAAAAGGGAAGATTTTGTAAAAAGATATATGTCATTAGATAGAATAAATTTAATAACATTCCTTTCAAATTGGTAATATTTACTGAGACATAGAAGGATATATTGATATTAATTGGGACATAGTTTAATAAAAAGAACCTAATCAATCTTGAAAACTTCATGGCTGAATCAAAGGTATGAGATGGTATTGTATATCTTCCAAAAGATACTAGAAGAGTATATTCGAATATATTTCCTTTTTTTTTTTGCTTTTTTTTTAGACGTTTTGGTTAATAATTATACATTTGCGTTTCTAACTAAATAAAAGAATTTTAATATATATATATATATATATCCAGATATAATTCCATGTAATATTAGTGATGTTAAGTGAAATATCAATTAGAAAAGAGGTAATTATTAGGATGGTAATGCTCATGATGATGTTGTTGTTGTTATTATTGAATGAATTGTAAAAATCAACGCTTACGTTGTTTTTTCCATTTGAAAGTTCTTATACCATCCTTAACAATTTTTTTTCTTGGACCGTTCTTTAATAATTCATTATTATAATTCATTTTATTTTCTAATGATAAAAGTTCATTAGATCTTTCGATGTGTCTTTTGATATTATTAGCTAATTTTAAAGATTTTCTTTGTTTTTTCTTTAAATCCAATAAAGGATCTCGTATTATTTCTTGTGAATCTAATGAAGATAACTGATCAAGGGACAATCTATTTTCTTTTCTATCTAATAAATCTTTTGTTGTATTAAAAAATTTCAATGGATCAAATGAGTCTAATTTTTCCTTAGAATCCACAAAGACTTTATGATTCCCCTTTGATTCGAATTTCAATTGGTCTTTCAACTTATTTATCTTTGCAACTTCATTTAATCTTAAAGTTCTAATATAATTAACGTCTTGCGTTTTTAATAACTTGACTTGATCATTGGTTAGGCTCGATGATTGATCATTTGAATGTCTAGACTTAATTAATAGACCATCATTTCCCAAACGGGCTTTAATCATGGCATGGTAGTATTCATCAGGATTACGTTGTTTTGCCTTTGCCTTCAAATATTTTAGAGTTGTTTGTTTTTTATGATAATCCTGACTTCTCTTTTGATAGTCCTTATGTTTTTCTAAGAGACCGAGTCTCTTTCTCTCATTTAGTTGAGATCTTTCTCGATGCTGTTTTTTCTGAATATCATGAACTAATTTAGCCATTGTTTTTTGTTCTTAATTTATTTTATTCAGTGATGTTTTTATTTTTTTTTCTAACCCTGAATGTAATTGTATGTTTATGTGGGTGTTATTTGAATATCCATATGTAACCAATACAGATGTTGCCTTGATAATACAAGAATCAGTCAGCAGAGGAGATGAGATGAGATGGGAAGAGAAGAGTTGAGTTTCTTTTAATAAAATTTAATAATTTTCGTTGTATTTTACTCAAAAGAAAAAAAAAATTTTTTTTCTTTTTTCCCTTCTTCTTTTTTTGTTTTTGAATAAATCCAAATTCTGTATGGAGAGAGAGAAAGAGAAGAGAGTGTAGAGAAGAATACTGGGGAATAGTATAGAGAAACCTGAGTGTACATGCATTTGCAATGGACTTGTGTTGTGTTAGTATACAATAGTTTTTATTTGAAGATCAAATAAAAAAGGGGTAGTGTGCATCATGAATAGATAAGTAGAGGGGGAATTAGTTAATAGCAGACAAGAACATACAAATACGCATAGATATACAATTATAAAAGAAATATATATATATATATATATAATGGTGGGACAACAATTTATACCTTATAGATATGGAGTGAAGTGGGCAATCCAAATGAGAAGAAATGCAATTATTATATCTCCAGATAACAAATATGTGGATTTGGGGATTGACGGTTCTGCTGTAATATATAATATGGCTGATTTAAATAGTAATAATAGTAATAATCATAATATATATATAATACCTAATATAATTGAATGGGATACCACAGAACAGAAAATGTTATGTCATTATATAAATGATCATATGGTGGGTTCCCCTATCTCCAGTTCGTGTAATAACATCAACGGTGTTAAGAATGAGAGTAGAAAGGATAACACAATGTTTATTTGTTTAATACCTAGTTTTAAGGGACGTTTCAAGATGATAGACTGGCTATTGCACAAATTTTGGATATGCTGTGAAGAAGAGAAGGATTCTAAGAAAGAAAAAGAAGAAGCAACGCAACATAACGATAATAATGACACTAAAGGTGGCAAGAGCATGATGGGACCATTGCATGTTAGCCCAAGCCTAATTCAATACATCAAAGATTTGATGATTCATCTGAGAATGCATAGATTGTTGGTACCTGGAAAAGGTGGTGGTATTCATACTGGGACTTTAAACGATATGATTATGTTGTGTGAACTGATTGGTTCTGAGATCCATGGCAGGGACTACGTTATACCAGAAGACATTAAGCAGGGGTTCAAATGGTACATACCATGGCATATGATACCTCTGCAACCAGATCAATGGCAGTTAGATACAAGTTTATTGTATGGCAGTGATCCTCGTTATGTGAAGCAATTTCACGAGATTGTGTCCAGTGTTCGAACCGAGCCTGGCGCCCTTGAGTATCTCATAGTTGACGATATTTTGAGAAATGTGATACCGGCGATTTGAAATAGAGGAAGAAATAAAAAAAAAAATTTTTCTTAAGTTGATATATCTGAAGAAGTAGAAAGTGTGACAAATGTCCAGGAGAAAAGTCTTTGATTGTCACTCTCGCTATATAAGCATCGCTTATCAATTCTATCACACATCTAAATAGTGTATATGTTAGAAGGAACTATTATTCTACTTTTTTTTTGTTCCATTTTCTCTTCCTCTTTTTTACGTCTTTATTTATTTAGTCATTTCTAAGCACATCTCTGTTCTTTTTACAAGGGAGGAGAAAGAAGGATTATTCCAGGTTAATTAGCATTCAATCCAAAAAAAAAAAACGACGGTACTGTATCTCTTTATACACACATACATACCTACATTTACATATATATACATATATATATATATATATATATATATCATTGGGTTTAACAATGAGCAATATCAGATTTATGAACCCTTGCACCATTCAGTGTGACTCTTGTGGAGAAATCATTCCGCCCCGTAGAAAGTTTAATGGGAATAAACAATTATTGAAGGAAAAATATCTTGATAAAGTGAAGATATATACCCTATCATTTCATTGTCCACAATGTCATAATTTGCTAGTTTTACAGACAGATCCACAGAGAGCCGACTATATCACAAAATCTGGATGCCATAGGTTGTTTCATGATAGCAGCTCGACAGAAGGTGTCGATACCACTAAGGGAGATGATGTCGATAACGATAAGACAAAACAAATTGAAAGCCGGTTGAAAAAATTACAAAAACAACAATCGCAGATGGATGAACTGAGTAAAATCCAAGAATTACAGTCAAAGATCCATCAGCAAGAAATGTTGACTATGGGTTCAACCAAAGTGGAAAAGTGTGATAGTGAAGGTGATGCTGACGCTAATGATGTTGTTCCTGGTTTTACAACCAAGTTTTATTCGGAAAATTCAATATTCCCGAGACCTGAAAAACAGGTCTCAAAACAATTCGAAGAAGAGTCCACTACTATTAACACTTCAGATTTGATTAAACTAAGAACAACACACATTAATAACAACAACAACAGTAAGAATAATAACAATAAGACACTAGATAAAAAGAATTCATCTTTATCGTTAGGAGTTATCATTAAAAACAAAAAGAAGAAAGGTAGAATTGTTAAAAAAAAATAAAGTTTGACACAAACTAATAAACACACTTCATTTTATTATTATCGTTATTATTATTTTGTAATAATGTCTCCTAAATACCCATATCCATATAAATTAAAAACCTCAGAACCTCAGTTACAATATGAAAAGTTTAATGGTGCAAATTTTGGATACATGCTTTGGAATGTACCAGATGGTGTTGAAAGACTTGGAAGAGTGTTATTGGTTCACGGTTTCGGCGAATATACAAAGATTCAATATAGATTAATGGACAACTTGGCTCTTCACGGTTTCGAATCATTTATCTTCGATCAACGTGGTGCCGGTGTAACCACAATTGATGGTGTTAAAAATTCAAAGGGTGTAACCAATGAATACCATACTTTTAATGATTTAAACCATTTTATTGAATTAAACTTGAAGCAGTGTAAAGACTTAAACATACCTTTGTTTATGTGGGGTCATTCAATGGGTGGTGGAATTATTTTAAATTATTCATGTCACGGTAAATTTAAATCTGATATCTCAGGTTATATTGCATCAGCCCCATTAATTATATTGCATCCACATACAAGACCAAATAAGATTACCCTTTTACTATCACCAATGTTAGCGAAGTGGTTCTCAAACACTGTGATCGATACAGGGTTGGATTTAGATGGTATAACATCAGACCCAGAGTATAGAAAATTTTTGGCTAATGACAAGCCGATGAGTGTGCCATTATACGGATCATTTAGACAAATTTATGATTTTATGCAAAGAGGGAAATTCTTATATCAGAATAAAGATAATTATATACAAAAAAATTGTCCTAAGGATGTCCCAGTGGTAATTTTTCATGGGAAAGATGATATTATTAATGATCCAAAGGGTTCAAAACATTTTATAGATAATTGCCCGGCAGAAGACAAACTATTGAAACTTTATCCAAAAATGAGACATTCGATCTTTTCACTGGAAACTGATGAAAATTTTGATGTTGTTTTTACTGATTTATTGCATTGGTTAAAGGAACATATTTAGTCTACAGTTATAGTATATATTATATATTAATATTATATTAAATAGGAAAAAGAAAAAGAAAAAGAAAAAGAATAATAATACTATATTAATATTATATTAATACAATATTGTTTGCTTATTCAAAAAAAAAGTGGGTGGTTGTAACATTAAAGTAAATTTGGCTTTTAAAGCAAATCTTTTTATGAAATGAACTCCAAAAAACTTTATGTATTGTTTGGTACACTGAAAAATAGTTTATTTTGATACTAATTTTTAATAGAACAATATTAAAATAACAAAAAAATTAATAGTTAATATTTTACATTGTTTATTTATTGAGATTTAGTGTTTCTATGTATTGAGTAAATTAGACACAATCTCAATATTATTCTATAATTACTGTATAGTTATTAATATAGGAAAACTAAGCAGATTTTTTTGTCCTTTTTCTTTTTACATATAATAGAAATAATAACATGCAAAAAATATAAATAAAATAAAAAATTAGTACGAAGGGATATCTGGTTTTATATATTTAAATATTGAGTTGTTAAGTTATTCTCTTTTTTAGATAGAAAAAATTGATCATCTTAGTTTTTTTAGTACTATCTAAAAAATAAATATTCAGTTTTTTATTAATTGGTTTTTGTTTAAACTTCCTTAGTTTATTTATGTTATTCTAAAATACCTTATTCCAGCAATATTTATCTATTTAAATAACGGTTTATACATTGTCGTCTATTTAAGTAATATACTTTTCACATCTTGGGATTAAATTTTTACATTTAGCTTGAGAAAATTTCAATTTCAAACCATGCTATCTAGACCAAAACAGGTTAAAATTGTACTCAAACGAAAGGCTATTAATATTTTCAATAAACAATTATTTTGATGAATGAACCTAAGAAATAGTTTTAGAACATCACTTTATGTGCTATTATATAGTCCAATATAATAATTTTGTTCTTTATAGTAAAATATGACAAAATTTAAACCAAATAGCATCTCTTTCTTTTTCCAAAAAAAATATTAATCAATACACACACAAGAGTAACTTTGGAAAAATAAAGTCTTTACAAGTTAAGATCAAAAACTTTAACATATATTGAACATATTTTGTTTGCATTTTATATCCTATTCTCAATATAAAGAAAATAATAGAATGTGATCGAATTAAAAAATCCATAAAAAAGAGCATAAATATTTTTTTAGAAATTATAAGACTGCAATATAGTTCATTTAAAATCTATCCAAATAAAACGCGTCAAAGACTGAATAGTTTTTTTCTTTCTCATGAAATTAGAATACTACAGATTATTATAAAGATAAAAAGTTTAAAAAAATGTCATATTTGAAAAACCATGATTGCAAGGATATTCTTATACTTCAGCTATTAAGGGATCATAATTCTATTCTATTATTCTTAGATTAATCTACGAAGAACCATATTTTTATACAAAGTCTAGATACTTTAGAAAAGTCCATCAAAAAATTAACTAGTAATAACTCTTTGAATATCCGTAATTCCATAAAATATAATAGTTAAATGACCACTATATTATTCAACCTTCTTTAACCTACCCAATAAATAAAAAAAAATTTAACCTTTATGGTTTGAACATTGCATAAAATAATAAAAATAAATGGTAATATTCTTGCCAGTTGTCATAGATTATTACACAAAAATCATCAACTATACATGGAAAAAATTAAAAAAAAAAAGATAGAAAATGGAGGATGACTCAAATTATATTAACTTTGTGAATAATATAATTCAAAATAGTATTGCTCAATTAAATAAGATTTAACCATATTCTTGAACAAGAAATGTAAGATATCTTAACGAAATCTATATCAGATCAGATATACAAATTAAAAAAACTCCATGGAACAATTCATAACAACTTTATTTGGTGGCTTTTTTATTTTTTTCGAAAACTCATATCAACCCATTATTATATATATTCCATGATTGGAAGGGAACAAATATAGGTATATTTAAAATACGAAAAAGATCTAATATAATATTAAATTTCATGACTTAAGTTTACCGTTTTTTCTCTTTCATCTTTTTGATCTATCATAGTTCACTTTCTTAATTATAGATATATAATAACTTGTATAGTATATAAAACAAGGAAATATGCTATTTAATTCCATATTTATCATAACAATTGTTCTATATTTACAAGTACTAAAATGCAAAATATCAAACCACTACAACTTATTAATTCTTGAAAATAGAAAACTATTTCTGTTTAAGTTTAAATATCTTATTTTTTTGTGTGGAACCACCGACTAATACCGTTGCCACTATTATCGTTATTACCAACTATGCTATTTCTTATAGTCCTTTTATTGCTAGGCTCTTTACCCACAATAAGAGATGTAATGCGTGAAAATCTTTTCTTTGAATTATTCCTAGTTAACGTAGTATCTTTATTACTTTTGTTATTAACAAACAATTTATCTTTTAGCAAATTATTATCTAAACCAGTTTGTTCTGTGTTAAATTTTGGACACTCATTGTCATTATCTGCAGAAAAATCTAAGACGCAATATTTTTCATAATTGAATATATTGTCTTTACCAAAGAATGACTGCTTATATTTATTTATACCTTGCATGTCAATGACTATCTCTATAGTATCATCATTTTTTCTTGTGCCATTTTTATTTGACTGTTTAAGGTACATTGAATGACACAATCTTTCAATATATTCTCGATTATTACTAATATTATGACCAGGGTACTCATTTTTCTCAAAAATAGTTATCAAGTTATTCAATCTGTGGTTCAATAACAGATATTCTTGTTTTATTTCCTCAGTATTACTTATCAAAATATTATTACTATCATTATTATCTTTTATATTATCATGTATCTGTAATTGTGATTTAAATTCATCTCCAAAAATCTCTGTATTATCCTTAGTAATGTCTTCAAACTCTAAAGTACCAATAGTCAGATGATTTGCATTATCAATTTCCTCTTTTCTATTAATACTGTAAGAACCATTGTTATTATTGTTTAATATCTTAATCAATTCTGTTTCGTTACAATGAATATCAATAAAAAACCGACTATCAAAACTATTACTATTATCAATATAATTATCTTTTTTATTATTAATTACTTTTGGATAATTAAATTTAAATTTTTTTGGAGTAAAATCTAACTTCTTTTCACTAACTCTTTCTATGTAATCAATTAATTCATTCTTATGCTTATTAATAAATTTGTCATTCATTGGTGTTAACCACTTTTCTTTCACTCCAAAAAATGTTAGACTGGAGAAATTCAATAATATTTTGCTCAATATAGTTAAGTTACGCCTCATTAATTCTGAGCAGTTACCATGAATCAATTTGAAAAGTTGTGGATTTAATATTATTGGACAAAAGAATCTTAAAAATAATACACTAGACACACAATACAAAGTAACTTCTTGTAATTTATTCTTGTCTAAACATAACATTTCTAACTGCTGTCGAATCAATTTTATAATATATTTTATTTCTGTAGGAAGATCATTACTAGTAGTGTGTATTATATCCCAAAGCTTATCTAACCAGTACAAAAGATTTTCTTCGTTGGTTTTAATCTGTTCATCAATTTCCTTTTTTGTATTTAGCAAAATTCTTTGAGGATCAGTCTCAAAAGATATCTTATCATTGTTTTTGATAAGGTCTTTAATAGTTTCACCTACTGATTTAAATAAATATTCTTCACCAACTCTATTAAAATACTTTTCGACTGAAATAGTGAACAGAGAATTACCACGAAATATAGAGTTGTAAGTTTGTTCGGTAGATCTTAATATTAGTGAAGAAGACGAGCTTGTGAGATAGTTGTTTCTATTCATTTCGTAGCTAATAATATTATGAAACCATTCAAGTTCTTTCTTGTAGTATTGAAATATATTCAACATTACTCTTGATAGAGGCTTCATCAAAGAGATATTCTCTTTCAACTTATCAATTACAAGCTTCAATATTTGATCCATTGGACACCTTAACAATAAGGATTTAAATTTTGAAAAATTGCTATCTGCTAATACAATTTGTAAATTAGTATCAATCTTCAGACATATACTACCTATTTGAAAGTGTGTATTTTTTAGGTCATATATAGGAACCCAAACTTCTGTATTGAATTTCTCGGATTCAAGTATGGTTTGATTCATATTTATTTCACTTATTACTTGAGTTTTTATATTACTCGTCGAATTGTATATATTGTGCACTATCCTAAATTTTAATTCATATATTGGAATGATTTCTTGAATTGTAAATTCTTCTCTCCAAAAGGGCAAATTTGTGCTATGAACAACAGCTGTTTTAGCAATAAGTTTTCCGTTTGCCAATATTTCCACATGTAAACCATAATCACCCAAAGCATCAAGATGAATAATTTCCAGATTTGCCTCAAGTATACATATTCTTAATGTATTTGAAAGCCTCAATTGATTAGAGTTATTCATATAACTTAAAGATAATCTTTCATTTATAGCAAAAGATAACATTGACATGTACCATTGTGTCATATCAAATTTTGATGGAAAAGAAAGTAAGATTTCTTTGCACGATGGATAAGGCCTATTATTAGATTCGTATATTCTGAAATGAGTATTCATCTTAAATCTCTTCCTAATGTGACTATTTTCACTTAGAAAGATACAAAAATTGTCTGGTGTTAATGATGAATCCACACAAATAATTTCTGACCGTAATAAAGTTGTTAAATCAATTGAGTAAATTAGACTACCATCAATCTGTGATAATAATTTTATCCTTCCATGGCCATCAATCACTCCTATAGCTGGAAACCATTCATAAGTCCTTTCATTATGATTTTCAAAAAATGGCAGTGATTTCAGAGCTATATTGTTGTTATTATTATCCGTCATACTCATATTATTATTATTTTTGTTATTATTATTAATATCATTATTTACAAATATGTGTCTATTTGAAGAAATTGGTCCAAAAATATTTAATTGGCAAATATTATTGGTCGAATCTTTTCCTGTCGTTGGGAATATGCTATCAGTATTATCATGTTTAAATAAGCATAATTTATTATATAGGCCAGCTGGTTTCATTGAACTCCACCAAGTAAGAACTATCAATAATTCTTTGAACTTTGATGTTGAAAACACTTTAAAATAGTAATCTTTTGATTCTGATGAAAATATTTCTATGTGGATGATTGGTACAGGATCTTGAGATTTTACTAGTCTGACAACTGACCCTTGAAGACTCTTAATAATTGCGTGATTAGGTGTCTGCTGGAAAGATTCTAGTGCAATGTCCATTTCATGTATTGATAAGTTAGTTGTAGATGATGTTGCATTGATCTGTACCATTTCTTTTTTACCAACAGAATGAATTAATGAACCTCGATCGGTAATTTCTAAAAAATGTGTTTTCCATTCTCCTGAAAACAATTTACTGCACCATTTCACCTGACCAAGGAATATTCCTTTATTTTTTATTATACAATTGACATAATCATCCACTGAGAATTGCTGTTGCAGTTTATTTATTTTTTCAGAAACCGACTCAATCATCAGTGAAAACTATATTCCTTTGATCTAAATAGTTTTCTAATTGAAATATGTAATGTCTTTAATAAGCTAAAATTACAATGTCAATGTTGAATTAGCGTTACAGAGGTAGTTAACTTAGATACAAAGGGTTTAGTTGATGCACTGCTCTAGTAGCTTTACTTCTAATCATCATGAAAAGTTGTTGTTTAGCAGGCTCTTTTACCATAAAAAAATGAATGAGCTAGAAAAAAAAATAAAATAAAGAATATTTCCGCGGACTCTTCTAATTTTTTCGAAAATACTTTAAAATTTATGGAGTCTGTGTATTTTTTTAAGAGAAAAAAAAAGAAATAAAATCTAAGGTATTAAAAAGAATCGCGAAATAAAATAACATTCAATTGAAATAACTAACCTGTATTGTATTTTCTAGCCCTTAACATATATATAAATTCGTTTTTTGATAATAGAGATCAGCATTGAAATATTATCCAGAATAAACAATGTTGAAATAGAATGTTCTATGATAAAATAGATAGAACAATAAGATTTTAGCAGACACTAAACGATAAATTGTTGAGTAATAATTATTGAGAGGTCACCAAAAGTTGTTGAGTTTATTTATTAAATATCTTACTGTTCGTAGAGGAAAATGGCTGAATGTTAACATATATAAAGCCAAGGATTTCATCATACATTATTTTTATCTTATTTACAATCTTTCTATATTATTATTTCTATGTTGTATATAGAGAAAGAAAGTGAAGAACTTTATTATAATTTTGTATACTAAATCTGTTTAATATAATATTGAGAATGTTTACTATATATCCAATGAATAAAGGCGCTCATTCCCAACAAACAAAGTTTCTGTAATTATAGTTTCATATAAAATTTTTATATTGTTTAACATACGTTATTGACTACTCATAAAATATCTGATTTATGCATTTCCATTAAAACAAATAAGTTATTATCCTATACCTTTTAACTTGTAACAACAGTTATGTTAGAAATATGTATATCTTATGATTTTCCTTTATTTATATTATTTACTACACAAAATATATTCATTATATTAAATAATATATTCAAACTAAAGGGTTAACTTCTATGTTATATTCAGACACTATTTTTCTTGAAAAATACGTTTTTATTATACTGAATAGGAGGAAATGAACCACTTTCCTTGTTATACCTTACCTAAAAGACAATTTTTGTGTATTTAATATTCATAAATCTATCCTTAGTAAAGTATAGGAATTAGTGTCTTTTTCTACAATATATTTTTGATCAGGAGTAATATTGGGAACAGTCGATAATTGAGATTGTACATTTTTGTTAACTTGCATATTATTATGTAAGGGTTATCTCAAGTGATATACTAAAATATGGATATTAATTATATATATAAACATTTACAAATTATATAATTGGTTGATTCTAACTATTAAATAGATTAGTCTTGGATATTCGTTTTGTTCGTTAATCTCTTAAATAGATTATGAATATTAATGCTGATAATTACCTCTGACACTATCTTTGAATAATCAAGGGTCTCTTAAGTAAGCTTTTTAATAATTTGCCACTAATGTCCATCCGACGATCATATGTTAGTTTGCATACACTCACAACCTTGGGCCCAGAGTTTCGGTTGGTCCAAGTCCTTCACTCCGACATTAGGCGTTACGTGCAGACTGCGTATTTCAGCATTTCCAGTTAGGGCTCCTTACATATTATTTATCATTATAAAATAACTTATTTGTATGTGTAAGTAATATCAAACATCTTATTTTCTTATGTGACATAATACATAACATAAAATATGAAAATACATATAATCTGCAAAAAACAATGAAAGAATTATTTTTTCTTTTGTCAACAAAACAAGTTTTTAACACTATTTTTGAATTTGAATAGCTTTCAACACAAGGAGATAAAATAAGTATGACTATAAGTCATTAAACTATTTCTAAAATAATATTATGCAATACCTTATAATGGAAACAAATATAGTTAAAAAAATCTTACATAAAATAATTATCACATTAAACAATAACAAATTTATATACTTTTTTACGGAATATTTATATTTATTTAACACATGATCTTTAAATAATAAAATATTTTTTATTTTTTGAAATAAAAATAATATTTATTTTAAATTTCCGATTTTTTTAAAAATTAATTTTATTCGTTTATAATGATACTATTTAATATTGGTAAAAAATAATACTAGACGAAATATTGTTGTAACGCTAATAGGGTTTATAAGTTGTGATTTTTGAAATGCCAACTATCTATTAGAGATAAAAAAAAAAAAAAAGAATTTTTTATTTTTCTAAAATTCTAGAAATGGTAAAATGCTAAAGGAAAAAATATATCTAGGTATAATTTTTTATGTACTTAAATAGTCGTTTATATTATGTTAAATAATAAAATAAGGCATACTGATTCTAAATTAGAAATTTAACAAATTTTGACCATAAAATCACGGAAAGTAAATAGTATATAAACAAAGTAATAATAACTTTATTATGCCATAATACATTCCAGATTTCCTATTTCCCTTAAAAAAATAAAAGTATAAAATAAAGCATAAACAAATAAGTATAAAAATTTTTTCATCAAATAAAAGTTTATTACCTTAGCTTTACACAAAAATATTATATTTTATGCTTGTTTTATATGGTAGGTAATGAAAATAGTTAAAAATCTATAAGCTGTATATATTATTAACATATATGTTGTTCAATACTATAGAATATATCATTAAATTCAAAAAAAAAGAAGAAAAGAAAAGAAAAGAAAAAACTAGATTACTGCAGACATCATTTAAATTATGAGCTTTCTTTCAAATTTAACTAACCTATTACTTGATATTCCCTGGTATTTGACTTTGTCAAAATCTTAAAAAACTTGTTCCATTTATATGTTTTTACAGCTCTGGTATAAATTATATTATGGTAGCCTAATAGCAAAATTCATTTATTCCCATTGTCAGTCTTCACAGTTAGTCATTGGTATACATCTATTTTACTCTGTATTAATTTATCTCTGTTTTGAACAATATTATTCATACTATAGCGATTTTTATAAAAACAGAGATGTTTCTACAATGATCTCTAGACTAGAGTTGATGTACTTTTTGGTTGGTCTTAAATATTATTTTCATCCTCTTTATTACATCCACATCATTAAATCACCTCCCAAATAATACCATCAAGATTACATGTATGGAAATACTGCTAATATTTATAAAGACATAATAGTACTAGCTAGTGCAACAAATCATATACTTTTTTTTGTTGGAAACATGCCTATACCAATATATGGTGTTGATGATGTTATAGTACCATACTGAGATACTACATACCATTATTATTTTTTTATTAAAGTATTATTACTAATTCAATTGAACTCGGCACTGACTTTATTGATGTCATAAATAGTATCTAAAACATTCACAAGAGTATTCAGTAAGTCCACAGAAACTCTCAGAAAAAAAATTGACGGAAGTATGTAAGAGAGAATACACTGTTTTAATTATGTTAAACACTCTTAGAGAGATAAAATCTCCATCAGGTAGAAAAACTAATTCTTAAAGTTGGGTATTCATGATAAAATACAATAACTTTTATGAAACAAAAATTATGGATCAAGAATTCTATAAAAAAGGTACATCAATCACAAAGCTGTATTTTCACCGCCAATTGGATATAAATTTGTTAGATTTTTTTTATTAGTTTTTTCTATAAAATAGAATATGGTAATTTTTAAGTTGATTAGTATTTATATTGTAAACCACTCCCAGGTATGAATAACCTACTGGGAAAGTATGAAAATTAAAAAGTGGTCCTTACGGATTAGAATAATTATCCCTAACATGGGATTATCACATCAAGAAAACTCTGGAGGAAATAGAATTCCAACAGTATTTTGCTTAATTTGGTATTAATAGAAAGAGAGAAAATAGGAATATGTTTTGCATTATCTGGTAGGTAGATGGCTTATTTGGCTCAAGTATTTCTATCCAGGTACAAAAAAAAGATAAGAAAGATTGTATTAAAAATTTGTTTAAAGATTTATAGATGACACCCCACTCGATATAAACTCTTTTCTGTTCAGGTATGGATTATTGGAATGAATTCTCAGCTTGAGTACTTTTATATTGTTTCATAACCTAATAGATACACTAGTATTTTTTTACAAATACTCAAAGACTAGATATCGGAAAGTTTTTATATCTGCTACCAAAAAAATTAAAGAATATGAAAGAAATTTATATGAAAATTACTAAAACAGTCTTGGTTTATCCTTGCACCATCAAGATCAGAGTTTTAACATATAAAAGTTATATTAATAATTACCTTAACATATACACAGATGTATTATAAGCAGGCTATCATAGGTTTAATTAATTTATGGGTATATCGATAAATATGTTCCTGCTTTAAGATCATGAGATGTCAAGAAGATTCCTTGCTTATAATATTATCTACAGAAACAAAGTAGGTGGCAGCTGGTGAAAAACTAAAGAAATCTACCTAGCTAGATGAAATATTGAATGTGTTACAAATTAATCCCACTAAACATCAATTTTTCATTGATAATAAGATAGTAATTGAACTAACAGATCATTGAATTGTTTAATCAAAGACGAAATCCAATGGAGTAAGGTACTATTCTTTCAGAGAACTAATAGAATTAGAATTAATTGAAGTTTAACACATTGGCACTAAAAACCGAATTGTAAACACTTGTAAAAGCTTTTACCAAGAGGGCTGTTTAAATATTTATTTGAACTAATTTTTAGTAACAATTATTTTGATAATCATAAAACATCTGTTAAGGGGACCTTTTGAGGGTTACTTAAATCCAATAATCATCTTAAAGAAAAAATCTAGTTTTCTTTAGAAAACTTTGTGTACAAATAAAAGATTGAATAAAGTTTCTTTGTCATTCTTTGTATATGTTGCCATAAAATTAACTTTATTATTTTGCATATTGTCTAACTTAATAGG